AGATTTTGATTACCACATAGTGGTTTCTGTCAGTATGTCCAGGGATATTGATTATGTCTAGCTGTTCCCTCTAAACCCTCTCTTTTCTCTCTCATGTCTGTAATTGCTGACAAAATATTTCAGATTCTGCCAAAACCAGTTTAGCTCAGTGGATAGAGCATCAGCCTGCAGAATGAAGGGTCCCGGGTTCGATTCCAGTCGGGGGCATGTACCTTGGTTGTGGGCACATCCCCAGTAGGGAGTGTGCAGGAGGCAGCTGATCGATGATTCTCTCTTATCAATATTTCTAACTCTCTATCCCTCTCTCTTCCTCTCTGTAAAAAATCAATAAAATATATTAAAAAATATTTCAGATTCCTACTTAGTTGGAAAATATTTTGAGACTACTAGTGATATTCATCAAGCGAGCATCTCACTTCTATTGTTCAAGCTTCAGGTTTCTCTAAGTGCTCTACTTTCTAACAGACTATTATTGAATATTAGTTTGCACAGGGCATACAATGATTATATGCCACTCTGGATTGTGCATAAAGATTTTAGCTTCAGGTTCATATAACTGGGAATATTACTCTACTAATGTTATTAGGCTTAATGAAGTCAGCTATGAAAAATATTCAGATCTCAAGTTACCTTTAGATCATTTGTCTGGGAAAATGATATCACAATTGCTGGCTTTGAGCACTTTCCAGTTATATATCACAGCTTTTTTTGTTGTTGTTATAGAGAAATTGTTCTCAAAGTGTGGTCTGACCTGCAGTATCAGCAGCAACCTATTCGAAATGCAAATGCTCAGGCCCCACCTCAGACCTGTTGAAACTCTGGGGATGGGGCCCACGATCTGTGGATCTGTGCTTTCACAAGTCCTCTCGAGACTAGCCTAGAAGCACTGGCTAGATTACTGCTGAAACATTTCATTTCAAGGACGATGTCAAAAGAATACTATCTGAAATTGTTTTGTTGAAAACGTATCAAATCTCTGTGGCGGGAGCTGTCCTGTGTATTGCAGCAGTATCACCAGCTCCCTCCTCCTCCCCACTGTGACAACCAAAATGTCTGCAGACACTTCCAAGTGTCCCCTGGGGGGTCAGAGTAAGGCAAAATTGCCCAGGTTGAGAATCACTGCTCTTACCCAACATTAAAAAGGAAGAGTCATTTTCTTTTTAAAAAAAATATTCTTATTGATTTTATACAGAGAGGAAGGGAGAGGGAGAGAGAGTTAGAAACATCCATGAGAGAGAAACATCAATCAGCTGCCTCCTGCACACCCCCCACTGGGGATGTGCTGGCAACCAAGGAAATGACCTTGACCTTGACGGAATGGAACCTGGGACCCTTGAATCCAAAGGCCGATGCTCTACCCACTGAGCCAAGAATCATTTTCTTGCAATTTATTCAAAGCTATCGAAACAGGCTTAAAGAGAGAGCATATGTTTCACATTTCTCTTTAGCTCATCATTGAGGACTTTGGCAGTGACAGCTCTATCTCTTTGAAATGCTTTGGTTAACGACTCTCATTTTAGGCCACTTTTCTCTCAGGAACAACTTCATCTTTGGAAATCTTTTTCATGCTTATTGCGATCGGCTACACTGATTCAGCATGGAATTCCATTTTAATAATTCATAAATAGCATAGCATAGACTAGCCGAAGGAACTCTGCACGAGTTCATAATACAGTGTTAGTACTAACAGAAGAGTTTTTTTTTAATCTACTTTATTATACTTTTTAAGAAGATTAAGTAAAACCTGCAGTAAAATTAAATGCAGTAATAATCTTTATTACATCCTACCTCAAGATTCAGTCCCTGGAAAAGGAGGCATTATTGCTTCTGGAGTTTACTAAAAATTCTATTTCTCGATTTATGTTAGATGTTATCTGCTTGCTTCCTGTTAGTGCAAGAGGATTGAGCAATATTTCAACATCCCCTCACTTCTGCTTCTCCATATCCTCAATATACACATATTACAATTTTTACTTAAATTGCAGTGTTTATTGATGAGCGACAGCAGACCCTGATGTCCCGTTGACATCCTCTCTTATTGTCATTGTAGACACATACTTTAAACATTTCTCTTTCTCTCTCTTCTTCATTGAATGGCATTTTGAGAGGGAGAGGAGATAAAATCATATGGTCACCACACATTTAACAGAAAACTAAAACTATTTCTGGAAGCTATAAAAAGATTACACAGTCTCAACATTTTATTGTTAGAGAGTAGACTCCCGATTTTACTCTTAGCTCTTGAATTTAGCATACATGAAACATAGGTCCTTTTTTAAATTTAAGAAACAAGTGATAATAGCTAAACTTATTGTGATCATTTTGCAATATATATAAATATCAAATCATTATGTTGTACATTTGAAAGTAATATGTCACATGTCAATTATGTCTCAAAAAAAGTAAATAACAGGCAAGTATCTGGTAGACTCAATTCTTCACCTTCTGTATATGTGGGACAAAATTATCTTTCCTACTTAAAGATAAATCTGTTCTTTCTTCTGACCTTGTTGAATTTTCCCTTATCTACCTGGGCCATTGAAACCAGACAGGCAGTCTTAAATCAAGAAACTACATGTTCTTGTTCCATGAAAAATGGTTTTTTAATAAATACCTCTTGTACAAAAAAGGAACAAGTAAAAACATCTGATTTTTAATTTTCATAAAAATAACTTTGTGCCATCATTCACAACCAATAAATCAGGACCACCCAGATAACAAAAGCAGGGGATTAAAAAAGATGATGCCCTGTTAACATAATAGATGAAGAAGATACTAGGTGAGAAGAAACATGCATATAACAACAATTTAAAGATTGTGGTAATCAAAGTCAAGCGATTAATTACTAACAAAGACAATAACAGAGCTTCTTTTGTCTTTCCGGGTGAATGCACAATTAGCACTTAATACTAAGATTGAGGCATAAACCATATAAATCCACTGAAAAAGACCATCTGCTTCTAAAAATTTTGCTCTTACCCACTTGCCAAAAGAAGAGAACATATTAACAAAATAATGGGCCCTGCACTGTTAATTGCTAGGTTGTTTGCATTTGTGCTGTTGCTATTAGAATTTAATAAGCCATTCCTTCTGCTAAATTAATAAGCAGCCAAGATTATGTAATAACTGCTTTCAGCTGCTAATTCTTTTTCCCATAATTCCTTTCCCTCCCTACCTCCAAGCCCCCCCCTCCCCCCTTCCTTGGTTAGGCACACCAGAGACTGCCAATATGTCATCAGCAAGTCTCCCGTCCTCATTTTCTGAACAACAGACCAACATTAGGAGCATAACCAATGAGTTTAAACTTGGAGGCAGTTATCTGAGCATCCTTGAGGAAATGTTTTGTACTGAAAAAGAAAAAAAAAAAGCAGTTTGGATTCAGAGGGCAAGTTTTCATGGAATGGCATCTGTTCGGTGGAGTAAGAGAGAAATGGGTCATTAACATGTACCTTTGGGGCATGATTAGTCAGGAAACAGAGAAATTTGGGCAGGAGACCTCAAGACCTACAGAAAGCCAGCACTGTGCTTTGGATGGACCACCTCTTTAATATTCCAGCATGCATTAATCATTCATGTTAGCAGCACATTTCCCAAGCAGCACAATAGTGCTTAAAAGAGGAGTGATCCATTTTTATGTATACATTCATTTTACTTAAAAATGCCCTCCGATCTCTATTATGGACTATCCTAAACACACAAAAGGAACCTAATCCCTAACAGAAGAAACCTTTACGTTGATTCAGTCTAGCTCCGTGAAAAACTTAGCATTTCTTTTTCACTTTGGACCACGACAAAATTCTGGCTACTGTGTTTGGGAACCTCCGCAGAAAAGGGCAGCGCGCAACAAAAGCAATTTTCTCGCTTCCTTTGTAAGAACCTAGGTGACCGGTAATGAATAGCATCAGACATGAGAAATCCCTGCCTGTCCAAACAAGGTCACTCATTCCCGTGGGGCTCCTCTGTTCTCATCTGGAGAGGATGAGTCGGACTAGATGAATCATGCATTCTTTCATTAAAAACAAACAAACAAAAAAATACGGCCAGACACGATGCTCAGCACTATGGCTCTCACCAAATCTATCATCTTCTAGTCCTTATCAGTTAACTCGCATGTATAAATAATTGTGTTATGGATCAGCCAGTTGAACTAGGCTGGGATGAGACATTAACAAAACTCAAGATATGCTAAACAACGGCTTCATGAGCCTGTGGGTGAAAGAGGGATTTGTTCTTACGGGGTTTGGGGGGGAGGCTTCGTGGAAGATGTGACATTTGCGAGGAAGGGCATGCCTGGCAGAGCAAGTCATTGCCAAGGCTACACCGGAACCCGGGTGGGTGGCTGGGGGAGGTGGGCATCCGGCGTGCAGGGCAGACACGGGGTGAAAGGTGTCCAGGGGTGCAGCAGTGCGATGGGAAGGAGGGGCCGGATTCCGCTCAGTTCGAAGCCCCGGGGGTTGCAAAATGCCCCTGCCCGCGTGCACGAGCTCCACAAGAGCTGACGTTTTCCACGGAGTTGCAGCCCTCCCTCTCTCTCCTCCTCCTCATCGCCGGCCGTCACGCCTCCGTCCCACCCCGTGGGGTTAGCGGAGCTCGAACTGGGCCCTTCGCGGTCCAGCTCTTCCGCACCCCACGCGGCGGGGTCGGGGGGCAGTGGAACGCCGCGTTCCCACCACCCAGCAGTCTGGGCTGCCGCCCGCGCGCGCCCCGAGGGAACGCGCCGGAGTGCGCAGGCGTGCGGGTTCCGCGGCGGCCGCTTCCGGGTCACGTGGCCCGGCTTCCGGTCCAGACCACCCCTCTCGGTAGAGGCCCGGCCAATCGGCTTCCTCGCTCCGCGCGGCCCGCTGCGCCGCCTCCGCTGCCGCAGGCTCGTGTCGCGCCGCCGGGAGCGCGCCGCCCAGCCCGCCCTCCGCCCGCCGCAGCGCCGGCTCCTCCCTCGCCCGGCCCCCGGGGCGGGGTCTGCTGGCTCGCCCTCCCCTCGCCGCCGGAGCCTTCCTCACTGAGCGGGTCCCTCCCCACGAGCACCACGGCTTCTGCTTCGCAGCCCGGCGACCGGGGCTGCTCCTCAGCCGCCGCCGCCGGCCGAGCAGCGCCGCGCCCGCGGCCCGCGGCCGCCGTAAGTCCCGGGGGACGAGCCGGGGCGCCGGGGACCGGGCGGCGGGCTGGGAGGGTGGGCGCGCCCCCAGCCGCCCCGCGCGCGCCCCGCGACCCCACCCCGCGCCCGCCACCGGGGCGCGACGCCCCGCAACTCACTTCTCTCCGCGGCCGCGTCCCGGGATGCGGGGGGCTGGGGGGTCCCAGTCCCGGGCGCCGGCACCTGTGGTCCGGGAAGCCCCTCAAGTTTGGCGGGGCGTTTCGGGGAGGGGCCCGCGGCCGGGGGCGGGGGGCGGCGGCGGCCGGGGACCCCGGGCGCCCCCCGCGCGGCTGCGATGCCATTGTCTGCCCCGCTCCGCCGGTCCCCGCGCCGGGCGCGATCGGGGATGGAGAGCGGCCCCGCGGGAAGCGGCGGAGGCGGCGGAGCGAGGACCGCTGGCCCGGAGCCTGCTCCGCCGCCGGGCCCGTGCTTTTCCGTGCGGGTCTCGAGGAATCGGGGTGCCCCGCGATTGGCGGCAAAATCAAAGCGTTGTTTTTAGCCAGGGGGAGAAAATAGTTGTTTCTGGCTCTCCGTCCCGTGTCCGCACATCAATGGTTCGGAAGAGTGAATTATTTGTCCGTCCTGTAAAGTGTTAGGGAGGGGGACAGGGAGCCCCGGTACGGGCCGCCCTGAAGCCCTGACTCCTGTGGAAAGCAGCCCCCCACCCCGCCCGGCCCCCAAGATCCTGGAATCCCGGTCTGTCCTTTGCCAAGTTCTGGTAACGGGCTTGCTCTAAGCCGTGTCCCGCTAATGCTTTGCTTGCTGCCCTCTTCCGATGCCGCTCTCTTCCAGGATTTGAACGGGAGGCACTTCGATGCCACAAATACTGGGAATTTTGTGCCAGGGAAGTGTCGGAAGCGGGGTGCAGGGAGCCGCTTTGAACTTGAATAAAGTTAAATTGCTGCATCATACCTTCCCCAGTAGCTCGCTGATGCCCGTTTGGATTCGTGCAAAAAGCGACCTTCATTTCTCAGCGAGATGTAGGACCCGTTTCATTCTAAACCGGTTGGGTAAATTCTCCCACCCCGTGTTCAGATTCACCATGGTGTGGCAAATATTAAGAATCAGGCTGGCCTCTCCCTTGCAGTAACACTATGGAAGGAACTTAGGATAGTTCAAAGAAAGAAAGATGCCCGTCTGAATCAACAGATTTGCAGGTTCCAAGGAAATACATACAACATAGTACATGTAAGATACACCGGAATTCAGCATCCACTCCATTTCTAAATGCCCTTAAAATTTTTAAATGAAGTATTTTGTATGTAATGTTTCTGAATGTACACTATTTGGGCTTTTAAAAGGTTTATGTTCCCTTTCATAGTACATCCCCACTTTATTGGGTGCGTATTTTATGTTGGCATTTTGAAGAAGTGAGATGAGAAGGGATACATACAATTAGGCTTTTATTGAGGAAAATGTGTGTTTATGGAACACTTTGGGTTAATATTTTAGGTCTCTTGTTTATGTAAGCATAAAAATAATAATGAATGTAAACTGTAATTGAAAAATAAAAAGAAAATATGTAAGCATAATGAAGAAAGCATTCTGAGGGATAGCAGCCTGCCTACAAGGTATTCGTCCTGGAACAAGAACAGCCTAAGGGTGAGAAATAGTAGGTCTTCTGTTTCTTGCAACTGTACCTAACCCGTTTGATGTTAACAATTCTCTTTTGATGCCTACAGAGAGTGGAATGTATAGCACAGATGGACAATAGTTCCTTCAATTGCAAGAATTGTCTTTCTTTTGCCACAGCATTTTCACTTCAACTCAATGCCTGTTTTTCTTGTTGTTCTGCAGACTCCAAACTTAAGCGGCACAGGATAGGGTGGGGAGCTCCGCATCTGGTGGGAATATATTTATAGGAATTTCTGGCTATTTTAACTGGCATAGAAATAAATACTGGTGACTACTGGTCATTCATCAGTCAGATTCCCTGCCCACCAAGCTTCTCTGTGAAACAAGCCATCCTAATCGTAACTTGATTGAATCCAAGTATCGCATATAATGTTGATTCTGTTTATCTTAACAGATGCAGTTTATGTTGCTTTTTAGCCGTCAGGGGAAGCTTCGGCTGCAGAAATGGTATGTGCCGCTGTCAGACAAAGAGAAGAAAAAGATCACAAGAGAACTTGTGCAAACCGTCTTAGCGCGGAAGCCGAAGATGTGCAGCTTTCTGGAGTGGCGCGATCTGAAGATTGTTTACAAGAGGTATAATTTTTTCTTTTTCAGAAAGGTCAAAGAGCAGAATCAGACGTGGGTCATTTGTAATCTGGAAATGAACAATTAACAAGGATCTAGATGAAAAGGGTGTTAAGTTAAAGCTTTGTATTTTTTCTTTAATAACTTGTTTTTATTACCCAGGCCAACATGATAAAATCGGGGACGTTGCGTTAAAACTAATTATATAATTAAAGTCTTAATCATCTTTTTTAGAAAAATTCATTGAATTCATTCCCTTTCGGGGGGAAGTAGAATCAGTATTTTAAATTGTGAGTAATTCTCTGAGTTTAGATTAAGCATTTCCTCTTGCTTCTATCTATAAAGTAATGACTGATAATTGACATGCCTTCCATCTGACTTTTAGAATCTTATTCACTCTAAACACCTTGAGTACATAGACCATTTGAGTCCTATAAATGTTTTAAAATTTTGTGAATATACAGGATCTATGAGAAGTGTTTATTGATTTGATGTATACTTGTTGCTGTGGTAGAGGGGTGATTAGATCTGATAGATAATTTTGCCAAGAATAAAGTAAAAAAATTGTTAACACAAATCTTTTTTTTAAAATGCATATATCTTTATTAGCATCTGACACTCTGAATACCTTAAAATAAATTTCTCAAGATTGTGCTAATCATGTTAAAAAAGAAATATAATTATTTTTTCCCCTATTTCTCTACCCTTAGGAATAATGTACTGTTTTTAAGATACAAGGGTTGCTGCTTGTGAAAAATTCTCTTCTAGGGGGATGTGTAGAGAACTAACAATCCAGACTACGGACTACAAGGAGGGTTGAAGAGAAACCTGGGTTTATCTCGGCTTTCCCGTATTCCACTCCGAGTGTGGATGGTGCATATTGTGGGGGGCACAGTGGGGGGAAGTGAGGGGGATTATAAGACATTGAGAATTTAAAAAATACCCTAGACTCCTTTCTCCAATAAAATGAATGTAGTCATCTTTGGGTACTTTTATATCCAGTGTTTGGTTTAGTACTTGTTGAGGAAAAGACATAGCATTTTAGAGCTGGGAAATGTCTTAGAATACCTAGTTAAGTGATTTTTTTTTAATTGAGGTAACTTGACATATAAATTGTTACTTTTTATATGATTAAAAAAAAAAAAAGCTTTTTGCCCCAACGATAGGACCTTAATGAAACAAGTGGAGGTGCTCTTGTAGAATAAAGACTGGGATCCTGTACCCCTGCCCTCTGTAGAGGAGATGGTTCCTGAGTTTGAAAAACCACTACTTTGATCAAACTTTAATTTAGTTTTTTAAAATGAGGATTTGGGATAAGTGACTTGTCCAAGGTCATATGCTAGTTAGTGACTGACATAGGAGCTACAGCTCCAATCTTAAGCTTAGAGGCAAAAGATTTGAACAGTGATCCAAAAAGGTTTGCTCTTTGTAATTGGAGAATTGGGGGCGGGGGGGGGGGGGGTTTGAGACTGGAAACTGAGGGGGGATCTGTTTGGAGAGGGAATTATAATGAGTCCATTCGGAAGAAGACCTCTTGCTGTGTGCTCAGCAGGTGGAAAGAGCTGTTACCAGGTAAATTTACTAAGACTTGGTCTCTGCCAGCAGGTGGGAGGGCAGCGAAAGAAGGGGGGACTGGAGGGATTCCACATTTCTGGTTCCACGGACAGGCTGAATAGGGAGGTGGTAGATAAGTTACTTGGAGTTGCCTAGTTTTCTTAGAGTGGGCATAGGCATGCACGTTTTGGGGGGTAATTAGGCATAATGTGTTAGATCACCAACATCCAAGTAGAAGGAAAAGGGGGGAGGGAGAAGGTAAGCATAGGGTCAGTAACACAGAGAAGAGGAGAGTCACCGGTGCCAAATGTTGCATCCAGTTCAATTACAGTAAAGAAAGCCTGTTAGATCTTACAGTGAGCATTTCCTACAATGCCCTTTGTGGGAACATTTTCAGCGGAATACAAAAGACAGAGCTCTCCAAAAAGCGGGGTGAAGAGGGGGAGACGTTTAAACAGTGAGCATAGATTATTTGGGGAGCTTCGCTCTGAAGGACAGAAGAGGCGGTAACCAACCACAAACATAGGAGGGGGGGCAGGGTTTGAAAAAAGATGCAAGACAGGAGCTTATTTCTAGATAGGGGAAGGAGTCCCCCGTGTGGAGGAGGAAAATACCAGCAGGGGAATGAATCCCAGGAATGGAGATTCCTGCAGCAGAAGGAAATGGCCTGTTAAACAGAAGGATGAAAAGCGCTAGTTGGTGTTGCGTGCAGTATTCAGCCTACCCGTGTTGGGCCGCTGATTTTTCTTCTGAAGGCTATTAAAGGGAAACGTAATCTGACTCTACTTGCCTCAAGCTTCTATAAATAAAAGGTGCACTTACAAAAAGGCTTTATCAAGACAAAATGCACATACAAAAGTTTAATTCAATCATTTTGCTATGCATACTGAAAACACCTACTGTACTAAGGACATATTTATTCACATAAACAGGTGATTATTTGTCCCTAGTCCAGCTGGCAGAGAAGACCTTTCAGGCAAAAGAATTCCCACTTAGCAGAGAAATTCTGAACTAGCACTTAGCTTTCTGTCCTCCTTCCTCAAGCAGTCTCATCCACTTCTGAACATTCTGCATAACAATTCCCCCTGTCAGGAGGGAAAAGTAAGGATAAAATTAGTATAGCTGAAGAAATCCACTGAATGTCTGAGAACTTGAGTACCAGTCCGCTTGTACCATAAGCTAGTTTTGTGACTTTGAACCAGTCTTTGGCCTTTGTTTCCTCATCTCTACAATAAATGCTCTTGAGATCTTTTGAAGACAGTACACTATGCTTTTTTTATTCCTGCTTTGTGCAGCATGCTATGGAAGAGGCACTGGATTAGAGTCTCCAAATTAAAAAATACATGCGTCTCCAAATGACTAACTTGAGAATTCCTGGAAGAGCACTGTATTGATTTTCTTTACTAACAAAAGGATTTTAATGACACCGTGGGTAGAGAGCAGTTTATTTAGTTACATTCACCCACCATCAGCTGATATTTAGCTGACTGCAGAGCAGTCATGTGTTTTGAATGTAAGAATAGGCACTTTCAGATGCTCTCCGAGTGCCGGTAATTAGAGTAAGCCTTAATCCACTCGCTAAAAATAACCAAACATACGTTTCTTCTTACTAGTCTATTATTAATTTTACTTCAGATTCAGACTTACCAATATACACTCAGAGAACAAAATGAGCTCATTGTTCAGTTTTTTAAAGCCATTTCTAAAAATAGGGAGTACACTTCAGGTTCTCTTGGTAATCTTTTACTAAATCGCTATAACAATTTTTATCTCTCCGCAAAGCTGTTAAAATATTGCTTTGAATATGTCTTAATTTTTGCCAGGTGCTGGGTTACTTTAATACAGTTCCTGGCTGTAGTTTTTAATATAAAACTTGGGCTCTGGAGCCAGATCACTGTTTCTGGGGAGGTTGCTCAATTAAGTCTGGGTCTCCTAAATGCAAGTAATAATGCTATCTCTGGAAGGGTTTTTGTGAGGTTTGAAATGGTAAAATAGGACTCAATGAATGTTACCGTTATTATTGTTTCTCTCTAAGCTTTCTGGAAAGAAGTACCTTCTTATAATCCTGATAACTAAATGTTCATCTACAGTAAAGAATTGATTTAATTTGGTTGCTCTTTTACCATTCTGAGCAAGAGCAAACATTTAGATAATGTGGAGTTTTGTGTGTGTGTGTGTGTGTGTGTGTGTGTGTGTGTGTTTTAAAATATTACTGGTTGGTACTTAAGATGCATTAGTCTGGTGATATTTATGTTAATAGTTTAGAAGGACTAAAAATAAATATTTAGAATTGAGGACCTTTGACCAGTGTTAAAATGCTGTTTATTTGTAAGTGGTTATGGAGCAAAGACCGTGCAAGCATTAGGTTACCTAAACAGTAACGTTGAAAAAAATCTTTTCATTGAGTCTATTTGACGCAATGGATATATTGAAGCAAACAAGACAAGAGGAAGAAACGAAAATAACAACTATGCATTCTTGAGACTTTAAATGCTTTTTGAAACTATAGAATGTTCCAGAGATTATACCTTAAGTGGCTATGTAATGGCTTCATGGAAGCCCTACTCACATAGGGAGCTGGAGCTGTTTATTTTATTTGGAAATGTTGACAAATGAAAAAACTAAGTTTGAAAAGCTCACATCCTTTTAACAGAAGGTAACTGTTTTTATTATCCACACACTAGACAGATTATTTCTTCTGAAGTTGATACCATTAGTACCTGGTGTAAAACAATGGCTGCTATTTTATTCGCAACTGAATACAATGAAAATTTCAGTTGATTGTGGATTTGATTTGGATTTGTTTTGAATTCCTATTTATTTTTAACATATTGGTAGCTGTAGGGTATTGCCAGCTGAAATTTAGTTTTAAAAGTTCTTTTGGCCAAATACCATTGTATTAATTTAAATATTCCACTGTCACTGTTGATTTTTGCATCCTTGTTGCAGGGGGGAGGCAGGGCAAAGAATGTATATTTTTAAGTTTAAATTAGACTGATTTAAGTTAAAAAAGAAAAAAAGTCTTATAATTAAAAAATTTTACCCAAAACTACCGTAGTAGTAAATTCTAATGGAATCAGTTAGCACTCTGTTCATGTTAGCTATTCATGTCTGGTTTTCAATCTAGTATTTTTTATGTCAGTTCTTTTAACCTTTGGTTTTCTTAAGTCAGGGCATCTTAATGTGTCATTTGTACCCACTCCTCCAAATTCAAAACTCTATTTGGTGAGCAGGGATTCAGGCGGATGGGGAGTTATAATATCCCATTGCGTTTTAAACAGATCAACACAGGTTAGTGCTGGGAAAAGGAGGGAGAAGCCTTTTTGTTCAAGTTGGAGGTGGTGCCCTCTTAAGTCCTTCTTGATAAGAAATGAACACATTCAAATGCCTCTACGCCGTCTTAAATAACTGACTAGATGCAGAAGTCAGGCAGAATGAATATGGCAAAAAGTCATGCTTTGTATGACAAGGGATGTTGGTGTAGTACCTGGAGTTCAGGTCTGAAGATCAGATTTCCTGTCCTAGTACAGTCACTTACCAGGCCCTGTATTCTTAGACCTTTTTTTTTTTTTTTTTTGTCTTCTGTAATCAAGGATGATGATGCTTGCTGTTTGAAAGATCAAATAAGATGAGATGCTTTTGATAATACTGAAATTAGTAGGTTGTTATGTAAATAATTACTCTCACACTGAAGAGCAGGAATTCATTGAATGGAGATTGTGCTCATTTATATATTTGCATTACTGCTTGGAGCAGTAAATTGCCCATTGTGTTTTCTAAAAATCACTTAAATGCTACTCAGAGAAAATTACAATCTCAATCGAAATTTGTTTAGAATGTCTTAGGTTTTTTTTTTTTTTGTTTTTTTTTTGTAAAACCCTTAACTAGGCTTAAACCATTTGAAATTGCTCTTTTAATCCTCCTCAAAGGACTTGGTCATTTGCTATGCCTTGAAGGATTGTATGGTAAGAAGTTTTGGCTTTCTTGGGTTAAGTATAACCATTAAAATGCTAATTTGGAGACTATGAGTTTATCAACCTTATTCCTTCAAGGGACAATAACCTAGACTTCAGTTCAACAGGGTAGAACTTGGAGAAATTGAGGCGAGGTCTGTTTCCTCTGGTCTCTTTCTCCAACTTCTGTAATAACTTGGAACTGTTGTTCATTTCTTGGGGTTTATTGCACAATTCTAGAAACTTCCTTTTTAAAAATGTATGCTGTTAGAAGTCAAGATAGTAGTTACTCGTGAGGGTGGGAGGTTGGGATCTGGAGAGACTAGGAGAGGGGTTCAGTAATCTGGGTGCTGGTACACAGGCAGGCCCACTTTGGAAGCTCATTGAGCTACACATTTATGACCTGGGTTCTTCTCTCTGTGTATATTACACTTTAATAGAACATCCCAGAACATTGACTTCACATTGACAATACCTTCAATATCAATAAGTCCTTCAGCTGGAGAGTTTATATTCTTCCCTGCTTACTTGTACTTGGAATTAGTCATGCAGTGCATTTTGCTTTAATTAAATAAACTTCAGAACAAGCTGGGTCAGTTATGTTTTAGTATCTACATAGAAAAGAGTCTGAAAGGAAGAAGAGCAAAGTAGTTACTCTTTCTAGATTATGTGATTGAATGATTATTATTATTATTATTTATTTTTTATTTTTTGCCTGTCTGTACTTTTCAAATTTTCTATTAGGCATTTATTGCATTTGTAAACTAGGAAAAAAACTAATCTGTACTATTGTAAAGAGGAAATAAGCTGTGTAAACATGGGGTCTTTCACAATAGGATATGAAAATATATTTAGGAACCATGATTATAGGGTAAATTTTTTTCACGTTTGCTTTTGTTACAGATACGCTAGTCTGTATTTTTGCTGTGCTATTGAGGATCAGGACAATGAGCTAATTACCCTGGAAATAATTCATCGTTACGTGGAACTACTTGACAAGTATTTTGGCAGTGTGAGTAATATTTTGTTTTAGGGAATCGAATGCCACAGTTTTGTTTTTTTTAATCTTTTCTATAACAAGTTTGATTGTCTTGGGGATTCTGACTCTTTGAAAGGAACTGTGGGAGAGAGAAAGAATGACTATTTCTTGTCTGAGCCTACTCAATCAGTTAACTGCCAAAATTGCTTGACCCCACAGACCTACTCATTTAATTATGGCGCTAAGAATGAGGTTTAAAATAGTGAAATAGAAAGGAGTCCAACTGCAAAGAGTAATATATAGAAGTGCTTAGTGAAGAATTTAGCTTTTGTTGGCAGTTATAATCACATTACCCAGGAAACGGGTATTTTCAAAGATCAGCTTTTATGAGTAGAAAAGTTGCCCATGCAGAGTTGATCTGACTTAGCATGTAGGCAATTGTGTTTTCAAGTACTTGAGATTTGAAAATTAAACTAACTAAATCAATGACGCTTAGTTAACAATATTGCCATTTTGAGAAAGAACTCAGATGGATTCACTCTGGTCAGATTTCATTCGCTATACTTACCTTTGGCTTTCTTAATCACTTTTTGTTTGCTTTGTTTTTCAGGTGTGTGAGCTTGATATCATCTTTAATTTTGAGAAGGCCTATTTTATTTTGGATGAGTTTCTTTTGGGAGGGGAAGTGCAGGAAACATCTAAGAAAAACGTCCTTAAGGCCATCGAGCAGGCCGATCTGCTGCAGGAGGTAAGCTGGGAGTTCTCTAGACATTGGCATGCGTTTTTGCTTTTGTTAGGAAGTGTCAGTCATCTCTCCTCCTCACATGTTTTCAGAAATGACTCTGAAGCATGCTCAGCATGCAGTGTCTGTGTGCAGTTTATTGATTGGAATATGTCAGTCATGTCAACTCCATTATCTATGGATGGATCGTTTACTTTGAAAATGGTCTGTCATTATTGATGGCCAGTTTGGGACCTCAAAAAACTAGAGTCTAAACCTTTATAGGACAGACCACTTTAAGAAGGGAAAAGATTCATCAAATATTAACAGTAATTTGAGAACTCTCCATCCATTGTTCTGAATTACTTAAGATAACCTCTTTTCTCATTAATGTAGATAATCAGGAGTTGACTGAGATCATGGCATTTTCATTCCAAATTTCATACTTTCATCTCATGTCCATTAAGTGCAAATGTAGATGAGTAAATCATAGTGTTATAATTACACTTTTTGTAGAACCCTATAGTTTTGTGTTAGGAAAACTAACTGAAGAGTACTTTTCTTTGCTCTTAGAGAACAAACCATGTTCTGTCAAGCTACTACATTATTCTCTTGCCTTGATATTACTAGAGCCATTAATAAACCTCCTTCCTGTTCTAATTTCTATACTTGTTCTGGGTTAATTGTATAGTTGATGCTTCTGTACCTTTGATTTCTGAAGTTTAAAAATTCATAGATAAGGCTACCTTTTCCTAAAACCTTAATGATACCTTAATTCAGGTACCAAGTTCAATTATACTTTAGTGATAATTGTGGTTTTAATCAAACAAAGCTTATAGCCTAAGAAGAAGGGACTACTCAATATAACAAATGTAGCATGTTTTCATTACAGTAACTATCAACTTGTTCTCTATGTATGGGTGTTTTTGTTTTATTTATTCATATGTTTTGTTGAAATCCAATTTTTAAGAACTTCTGTTATAACAGAAAGGTATATCTCTTTTTCTCCATTATAACTTCTTAACCACTGACCTCTACAATCCCTCTGCATCAGTCCCTGACTGTGTCAGCTGTGGGAATTGCTCAAAGTTGAGATGACATCATCTGGGCCACACATATATAAAATATGAGAACAATGCATTAAACATTTAGTGATCTTGAGTTACCAAGACAGTGGTTAAGGTACCTGCAAAAGTGAAGCATTTTATTAGCTGCCCTGATGCCATTCACTGTTCAGTAGTGAAATGAGCATAGCTCCTTTTCCACGAGTGTACAGTTGGCTATTTTTAAAAGTATATATTTTATTGATTTTTATACAGAGAGGAAGTGAGAGGGACAGAGAGTTAGAAACATCAATGAGAGAGAATCATCGAGATCAGCTGCCTCTTGCACACCCCCTACTGGGGATGTGCCCACAACCAAGGTACATGCCCTTGACCGGAATCAAACCTGGCACCTTTCAGTCTGCGGGCCCGGCCGATGCTCTATTCACTGAACCAAACCGGTTTCGGCCAGTTGGCTATTTTTTTAACATCAGGTGGGCTGACTGCAAGCTCACAGTCTGCTCTTGTTAACTTGGTTTTATGGTTAATACTCATTATTTTGCTGTTCACAGATCAGACTTTTCTAAAAATTAGGTCAGAATCAAGAATTGGAGACTTTCTATATTTGTCCCTTCCCTTGATCACTTTCATATTTCATTATTATGGAACTATAGTCTGTTCAATCAAATCCTGGTATTTCCTCCAATTCATTTCCTGATTAATTATATTTGCTTTAAAACATTTCTAAAGTTATTGAAGTTAAGCTTTTAATTTTAATGTGTTATTTTCTGGAAAAATTTGTTTAGGGTATTGACATCTTGTGTCTGGATTTTTTTAAACTGTACTGAGAAATTGCTAGACTTTACAGTATGACAAATATGCTAACTTTACTTTATAGCATATATTATAAGTAATGTACTAGCTGATAAAAAAGTTATTACAGGTCTGTATCTATTTGTGAGAGAATGTATGTGAGTGTGTTTGTGTGTGTTCCCTATTGAAGTATTAGAGTAGTAAGCAATGTCTCCCTTTTTGAAGTATTTTTATATCTTCATTTGGGGAAAGTAGGAATAGAGAAACATCATAGTATGATTATAGACATGCATAAAATTTTCTTATTCATCTCACCCTAGTTTAAAAAAAATAACAGTTTCTTATTTAGAAGAGGGCTTTGGCTCTATTTCTCATCTATAGCTATGTTTACATTTTTTGGGTACATAAACAAAAGTGATGGTACATTAAGACATTTTCTAATCAGTGGTCTGAGTGAATCATTTTTCTTAATTTTGCCATTCAGTTTTTGGGAAGGTAGAAGGTGGCTGGTCCATTATGAATTTAGAGTGAGTTATAATACATTGCAGACTAAGGCCATTATGAAGCCACGCTGCAGTCTATATGGGGAGTGAGGCCTCAGGTTAACGGGTTAATCTGTTATTCAGGTTATTCACCCACATACTGTCACATGAAATCTAGAGGTGACAAGACACTTTTTTCCTAAAATGCATTCATTTATATATTGATACATGTTTACGTTTCTGGAAGAATATTTGAAAATTTTGTTCATATAATAGCTGGTGGGATAAGATGAGAAAAATCATTCCACAAACTGCTTGAGAACATTTTTATATGGACACCATGACAACAAAGGAGAAGTATGATGATAGCTAATGCTTATTGAGCACTTAAATATGAGGCGCATCCTATACTAACCCTCAGGATACCCAGAGCGTCATAATAGCCTTTGCAGCAAATGAAGTAGAGGCTTATCGGTCCGGTAACTAGTCGTAGGTAGCAGCTGTCCAAACCAGGATTCCAAACCCAGGTCTCCTAGACCAAAGAGCTGTGTGAAGTCTTAACCACTGTGCTCGTCATCCCCCCTACCCCCCATTTGTGTATTGTCATGTATGTATATTTTAAACATTCTGTTTTAAATACCAATTTCTGGGTTCCTCAGCAACATTATTTTAAAAATTCATCATTCTCCTGGACATTTCTCTGTATTGAACAGAGTAGATTTCCAATGCCATCTTTTACTTTTTGGATGGGAAATTTCGTTTTCCAAATTATTAATATTATAGTTGGAATTGTAAATTGGATATGTAGCTATAAATCATATATTTCAGATCATTTCTTGTTGCATTCATCAAAACACCTATATCTATAGTAGCTTTTGTGGTCTTATAATTTGGGGTGTAGTATTCATTTAGTCTATAGCTGTAAAGACACTTATCTAAATGCAGCATTAAATTTGTAAAAGTTCTAAGTAATTGATTTTTAACCTAGTTTTTTTTAATGTAAATCTAACCCTGAGCAACACAGGTTTGAATTATGCAGGTCCACTTCTATGTGGGTGTTTTTTTCCAATAAATACCTGTACTCCATTGGGGGTCCCCAGATGTAGACAACCAGCTGTATGCATTGATCTACATAATTTCATGTAGGAGACTCGACTGTCCTCAGCTTTTGGTATCCACAAGGGATCCTGGAACCAATCCCCGAGGATACTAGGGACATCTTGAGTTTTGGGGGAGTCAAAAGTTATACTTGGATTTTCACCTGCATGGTGTTGATGGCCCTAAAATCACCACCTCCACACTAGGTGGCTGTTCAAGGGTCCACTGTATTGTGATTTTTCTACTTGGTGTCAGGTCTTTTTACTTAAATTAATTATTTCTAACACCAAAGATGGCTTAAAGATATATGCAAATCTGAAATGATTTTGATTTCAGTCCTTTTTAATTTGCGAAATATACATTTCTATCCTTAATTATGTTTATTTTCTTTAGAACAATTTCTTTCAAGTTTCCCTTTTACCCAATATGTAAATGTCATATAGTTTGTCTAGGTAGTCTTTCATTTATTTAGGTAGTCTTTCTGCAGGCAAACAGGGTAGGCAGTAGTAGATAAAGTGGATTTTCAATTAGCATATTATAGTTAATAATGAGAACTTAAATGTGTACTCTGATAATTGCTAACATATCAGACACTGTGGTTAAGTAATAAAGATACCTTTTTTATTTTACTTAATTATTTGGTAAACAAGGGTTTTACTTTTGACAATTCTAGACCGAACTCTGTTTATTCCTTTTGATATTCAGTTTTATGAATACATAATTAGATTTGGAGGTAAAGCCCAGAAAATTTTGTCCATTATCCAATTTTTAAAGCTTGACTGTTGGAATTTAAAATATGTCTTCTTAACATGCCACTGGTACTTAACTAGATTTTTTTTAAAAAATTAAAATGCGACATGCTGATATTACTAAATTGACTTTCTTTTTTTCCTGTACTTTGAACATTTCTTCCCCCTACACACACCAATTAAATATCTATTTTAAATTAGACTTTTTAGGAGGGGGGGGTGAGAAGGGGAGTGGGACAGTTGGATTCATTTTATCAGCGTATGACAAAGAAAATATAGAGTGCCTTTTCTTTGTAAAGTAAGGAACTTAACGGTTTTTCTTTGCTCCTTAATTTTATAGAGCCAGAATGAAGAATGGGGAGGTTTGTCTGAGGATATCTTATGATAAAGAGCAGTCTAAGACTTTAGTTCCTTTGACCCCCACCTTATTTATTGGTAACTACTAAATTTACCATTTTTGTGGCATGGATACAATGGAGTGTTATGCAAAGACTGTTGCACGCGAGATGATACCAAGTCCTTGCTTGATCCGTGAAGATCCAAACTTAACTACTGGGCATTGGGCTTTAACCCTCAGCGGGAGATGCATGATGGTGTTGACCAGTGCTTTTTGAGATGTGTCAGCCTTTCTTTTTTATACTAACAGCATCGTTTTGAAATGTGTCGGGGTTTCCTTTTGAGCTTTGTTTGCTGTTGGTATTGTTTCTCACTGGAACAACCTGAGAAATGAAAATAAGTGAGGTACCAGAAGCAAGCATTGCTCTCATGAATTGGCTTCTACTTAGAGGGGATCCACTTTATGAGTAGATTTATTGGATTTGCAGTTGTTAATCTGCCTGTCTAGAAAGTGGTGCTCTATGGAAATTAGTGCTGGGTCTGCATGATATGTCTTAGTTCTATGCGATATTTCCGTGGGAGTAGTCATCTGTTGGACTGCATTAAGAAATGCAAAGGTAAGAGTCTTAGGAGAAAAAGTGATTTCTTTAGAAAAATAAATCTTTTGTAATTTAAAAATATTTAATAAGAACTTCTGGAAGGATTTAATAACATTGCTTTTAATATGAAGTTTGGGGTTTTTTAATTAAAATTTTACTAATAATATTTTGGCAAGCTATTGGAACTCAAGAATATTACATTGTTTTAAAACACATACTTTCAAGTGTGTGTGTATATATATATATATATATATATATATATATATATATATATATATATATAGTATGTAGCAGGAAAAAGCATATTGGTATAAATATTTTTAGACAAATTCCTATAAATCCTTTATAATTACCACTTTATGTTAAAACCTTTAAGCCTAACCCTTTTTCTTTTAAATTGGGTTAAAATTTAACCAGGCTGTAGTCTTTTTTAAAAAAATAAAATTTTTATTTCAGAGAGGGAGAGAGAGAAACATCTACAATGAGAATCATTGGTCAGCTGCCTCCTGCACGCCCCCTACTGGGGATTAAGCCTGCAACCCCAGCCTGTGCGCTTGATTAGAATTGACCCCAGATCTTTTGGTCTGAAGGCCAATCAATACTATATCCACTGAGCCAAACCAGCTATGGCCAGAGTGTAGTCTTTCATGCTAGCATATTTTAATTTTCTTTTTTAATTCTCACCATAGGATATATTCGTTTTTTAAACTGATTTCAGAGAGAGAGAGAGAGAGAAACGGGGAGAGAGAGGAAGGGGGGGTGCAGAGAAGAGGAAGAGACAGGTATGTGTCCTGACCTGGAATTGAACCCGCAACCTTTTTGGTGTGTAGGACAACACTAATCAACTGAGCCACCCAGCCAGGGCCATATTTTAATTTTTTATAGGCAAATTTCATTAGTCTGCTAGAACAAGTTCTGTATAAGTGAGGTGTGATTACATTAATCCCTAAAGTAGAAAAAACAGAAGGGCGAACAACTCTTGCCTATCACTTTATAGTTAACTAGAGGCCCGGTGCACGAAATCCGCGACCAGGGCCCTCTTCCCCAGCTGCCTGCAGCCGGCCCTGCCCCCTGCTGCCACTCACCCCCTGTTCCCTGTTCACCATCAGGTGACCGGTGCCTGACAGCCAGGGGAAGGGACCGAGAGATGGTCAGTGTGCCTCATAGTGACTGGTCCAGTGGTCATTCTGGGCGTTCTGCCATTAGGGTCAATTTGCATATTACCCTTTTATTATATAGGATAGAAGCCTGGTACACAATTAGGGGCTGGCTGGCCTGCCCTGAAGGGGGCCCCAGATCGGGGTGGTGTCCCTGCTGGAGGGTGGGGCCGCCCAGGGCAAGCGGCCATGGGTAGTTTGCAGGCCAGCCACGCCCCCAGCTCTGTCAGGAAGACATCCAGTCTAATTAGCATATTGCCCTTTTATTAGTATAGATAAGGGAGAATTTGGCCAATGTGCTTTGTCACTTGTTTTCACATTGCAATCATTTTGCTCCGTGTGTGTGTTTTTGAGCTCTCTGTATTTGTCCGCTTTTCAGAATTTTGAGAACTCTCCTCCCCCGCTGTTTGATTTTAACTCATTTTAAGCCAATTCTTGCTACTCTGGGTTATTTGTAATAATGAAGTTGGATAACTTAAAATATTCAGTAGCTATAAATCTGATTTTCAAAAGTATTTGACAACCCACAGTAATAAATACATTTTATATCACACTAGTTACATACAAATAAACCAGGAAAAACTTTTGTTAAATAATATACTTACTTATTTCACAATCTCACATTTTCTATTCTATTCTTCCCTTTTTAGTGCTGATCCTGATTTACCAAATTGATTGCATGAGCCCTAGGGTTGGGGCCTGCAAAAGTGCATATTACTAGCTATTGGTGGTGACTTTTTTCTTTAAAAAGTGCTTTCTGAAAAATTTTAAGGTTTGAGTTTTTTTCTCCTATTGACACATTTTTAAAATTTCCTTCTATTGTTTCCTCTGTTGCTGCTTTTAAAAAATTCCCATTGTAGGAAAATAAATACAGGCAAACACAATAGAACACAAACTCACTCACTGACCAGAGATAATTAGATTAACTCGGTAGTTCTCAGCTGAAGTTTTGGGCAGTTGTGCCTTCTCAGGACACATTGGGCAATGTCTGGACACAGTTTTGATTGTCACAACTGGTGGTGGGGATGCTACGGGCATCTACCCTGTTTCCCCAAAAATAAGACAGTGTCTTATATTAATGTTTGCTCCCAAAGATGCACTAGGTCTTATTTTCAGGGGATGTCTTATTTTTCCATGAAGAAGAATACGGTACACATTTATTGTTAAATGAAAATAAAGGAAATTTATTACCTGTATACGGTATGGTAGTACAGTAGTTGTCAACACAAACCAGACAAACTGTGAATCTTACAGTATCAAGAATTTACTCATTTATTCAATGACAATCATGTCATCATCTTCTGGAACATCATTATAACAATCCAATTCCTGAATTTCCTGGTGAATTTCTTGTGACTCCATTTCTTTCAGAATCAGTGGACCAAATGTTTAGCCTAGGGGGGTCTTATTTTTGGGGGATGCCTTATATTTCACTCAGAAGGAAACCTGTAAGTAGGTCTTATTTTTGGAGGATGTCTTATTTTTGGGGAAACACGGTAGTAGGTTAAGACCAAAGATGCCGCTAAGCATCCAACAGTGATGAGGATAGCCCTCCCAGAACAAGAAATTATCTGGCCTCAAGTGTCAGTAGTGCTGAGGTTGAGAAGTCCTGGCTTAATTTAATACCAAGATTCCATTTGTAGGTTGCATTTACATTAAAGACTGCTACATCTTTTCAATATAATACAGGGTGGGATAAAAGTAGGTTTATAGTTGTCTTATGGAAAATAATACAATAATTGCATATAAGAATAATACAAAAATTACAACTATAAAACTACTTTTGCCCTACCCTGTATATAGTCCAGAGTATAAATGACTAGATAGAAATGAATCAAAGGGTAGAAGGAGCAAAAAAGAAAACAAAAACCCTAAATATTATGAGAGGAGGACAAATATCCCTTAATAACATATAAATTCCTGGAAAAATCACCTCTGTGATTCACCAAAATTATTTGATGACCAGTACCTGAGGAGATAATCTATGGCTGAGTTCAGCACATACCCACAGCAAAGCTTGTACGATGTCACTATATAATTTAATTTCCCCCAACAACCACCAAATTTGTTAACATCTATTAGGGTAATTGAGTTTTTACCTGGAAACAGAATTGAATATACCCTCCAGGCAGTTAGAATCTGCTCTTTTTGCCATCCACCTTAAGGATTTGATAATTTCTTAAAGGAGGAATAGTTAACTGATCAGAATTTGAATATATAGGCTTACATATAGACTCTGTGTGTGTTTTGATACCCAATTAACCTTAAAGAATTCACTTAGTAAAGATACTTAGAGTTTGAAATTCAGTGACTCCAAGAAATTGTTTTTTGGAAAATCCTGATTAAATTTAGCACATTTTGAGTTATGATCCAAATGTAAGGACAAGGCAAACACAATACAGTTACCCTAAAATATGTGTCAAATTTCACATATAGTCTGTAGTTATATTTGCTAAGGTAATCTGCTTTTAGAATTTTCTAAAGTACAGTTAACTGCCAGAGAAAATAATTTATCACTAACAGGTTTTAGAGCAGGGTTTAGACCAACAACACAATAGAAAAAGACAGCAGTAGCTATGAATAAATCATTCATAGGTGAAAGACAAATGGTTTTTTTACTAAGAGAATATAAATTATAAGTTAAACCTATTTTTGTTTTGCTTTTTGATTGGCAGAGATGAGAGACTCTAGTTTGTTGTTTGTGAGCACTTGCATTCCATTTTGGAAGATTAATTTGGTGATACCTTTTAATGGTCAAATGTGTACACCTTTTGACACATCAGTTATACTTCAAGGAATTTTATCCAACAGAAATATAAAAATACACCAATATACAAATGTACAAATGCACCAAGACACATGGTCACTATAACATTAAGCCATTGGAACATACACAAATGTCCATCAATGGGAAACAGAAAATTGCAGATGGCCTTATATGAAACTGTTAACTGATTATAAAAGAAATGAGATCAGTTCTATGTAATGTTATGGCAAAGATACTCAGGGATATCAAGTGAGAGAAGATTTAGGAGCAGGACATTAACTTAATGGTATTAACTCTGCAAATGTTTGAGCACCCTCTCTTTTCCTAGAGGTGTAAAATGCGCAAGTTTTATAAGTATAAAATATTTTATTTTGTCATTTTTAAATTACAAACTGCTGGGTGAATGGAAGTGATACACTGTTGATCCATTAGGTAAAACATACAGTAGCATTTGCTAGAAAGTCTCAGTGTGTAAAGTGAAGCATCTCTGTGCTCTACCATTTTAGATACCATCTGGAGCAGTTATTGCTCTTACCGCCCTTTCCTAACTTAATGTAAAAAATCACTTGATTTTCCTAATGCCCCATAACTGGTTGTGAAATAACCCTGACCCCATGAGCCCTGTAAGCCCTGTCATCTAAAAGGTACTTAAAAAGTGCTTCTTTTTATTCCTCGCTGAGAACAGATCTCAGTGAGCTGGGATACTCTCTGGTCCTTTGCTCCTCAGCATAGGGAATAGGGTTCTAGTATTGGGAGTTAGGACTTTGCTACAGAATTCAGTGAGAAGTAATCAAAAGGACTGCTGTATTCTAGAACATGAAGGACAAGTGATATTACTTTATAATGCAAGGAATAAATGATGCCCATTTGCAAGAAAAGGTGGAGTAGAAATTAATTTCAAGTTACACTTTATTTTTATTAAATGTAAATTGTTTTCTCATTGAGTACATTGTTACTATAATAGAAAGAGAAAATCAGAGATTAGATTTTCAATTTGGGATTCAATACCACTAGTTTACTTTAGCAATTCTCATTTCAACAAGCCTTAAGCCTTCAGGTAATTGCTAGCTTACCAGTTTTCGTTGTAGTTTTCCCAGATCACTTTACTTTGCGTCATCAGCCTTGTAGGGTTAATGTCTGGGGAATTTTAAGGTAATGGGTTTGTCTTTTTTAAGGAACATTGGTGGTTTTGAGAACAGGTGTAACTTAATTCCTCTCAATGTTTTGTTATCCTACACTTCCCACTCCATCTGGTCCTTTTTGTAGGGGAGTGAGAAAAATACTATTCTTAGTACGGAGGAGGGTTGAACATATGTATTCTAAGGAAAAGGAGCTAATGCAGAGACTGATGAAAACAGGAATAGAATAAAGCGGAAAGTATATTGGGAGGGTGAATTGAGCACTGGTCCAGGGCAAGTCCAATTTTTCCTCCTTTCTTGAGTAGATAATGTGGATAAACTATAGGTTGCTTTTCCCCCCTCACAAGTTGGTTGAGTGAAACTGAGAGTGTTGTAATTTTCTTGGCTTTGAGAAGCTACATCAGCTAGTGGAGAGCTGCTGGGGACTGAGGAGAGAAGAGAGAGGCAGAAAGCTTGAGGGAAATGTTGAAGTTTGGGAATACACTTAATGGAGAGCAAATCAGTGATGAGCATAAGGAGTGCCCAGGATTGAAGGCCCAGGATTGAAAATAGTAAGTGCCCAGTCTTTATTCAAAAAAATCAGTCTCCAGGAATCTGAACTAAGGGCAGTTTTGGATTTGGATTTGTGTACTACAACTGGATTAATTTTTTTTCTATTTTCATTCTGGCCTTTGCTCTCACATAATCTACATCACTGATGTTTTAGTGTATTAAGAAACTCAGTTTGCTGAGTAGATGATAGTAGGTCTGATTCTGCACAGGGGCCCTTGTATGTTAAGGCAGCGTTTACTCTCACCCTCCCTAATTCTAAATATAAGTATTCCATAACTCTAAGAAGTACTGGTGGTACAAGGGCCCAGAATACTGGAGTTACGTTTACTCCTTGGTTAGTGATGGGCTTACCTGTCATTGTTAAAAATCAACCTTCAATGGTAACTGGTCATTAGACATTTGTTCCTAGCACATTATTTTCAGACCCTCGCAGTCTAAAACGGGAAGTTATTTAAAATATGTTATAGCAACTTAAATGTGGTAAGAGAATACATTATTTAGGGTTTCTTTTCTCAAAGGATGTTTTCCCAATAAACAGGGTTTTCTTTCTATGAAGACTAGTCTTCACAATTGATGAATGCTAATTCCTTTTTTAAGTACGATAATCTGGATCATTGGCTATAAAAAAATTGTTGGGTTTATCACCAACCCTTTCCTAAAGGCAGTGAAAGGTCTTATCACCTTTGAGAAATGTTCCTATGGAATTATTTGTTCTCTTTCATAGTAAGTCTCCTCTGGAGAGGAATGGTTGTGTACTCAGCCTTATTTAGAAAAACTTACTTTCCTTTTAATGGCATAAGCTCTCCATGATATAAAATTAAAGAGAGAAAGCATAGATTAAAAGCTATAATAGAAATACTCAAGATCATTGGTATTATTTAGGTGAAAGGTTATTTGACAGACTTAAACTTTTCTTGTTCTCTCTCCAGAAAACAGAATGAAAGTGTATCACAGCAAGAGTTTCATGGGGTGTAAGAAAGCATACTAGAATACGTGCTGGAGTACTGACATGCATCAAAATGTAGTAGGATACTATATAATTCAGTTTACAACGATAAGTTTGTTATTTATATTTTAGCATTGTTTGAAAAGTCTTAGTTATAGTAAATCCCCAGGGATAATCCCAATTATTTAATTTAACGGATACTAGGGAATTTTGCTCTTGTAATGATCCATCTTTTTTTTTTTTTTTTTTTTAACAAAGAGAATACCGAAAGAGGTTCATTTGACAAAAGTATTATTAAATACTGTGACTCACTAATGCTACTGATACAGATAGCGAATTCCCTTGGGGAAATGAGAGCTTCCAGAAGAAAAGGAAGCATTTGGGGGTTTAACTTATTATTAATATTATTATTTTAAGCTGTTTCATTTCAGTATTAATCTGTTCTGGGGGGGGGGGATGTGGGAAGGGCAGTTTTCTCTTTAAACTATTTAGGAATTATCTGAGGATTAAAATTTAACTGGATTTTCTCTTCAGATACTTTTGCATTGAATGGTTACTTTGTAAGGGATCTATTACATACTTTATTGGAACAATTTACATGACTTTGTAGCCTAACATTTCAAAGTGCCAAGTTGAAGAAATATGAAAATGAGGATATTTTTAAAGCACTCCTGTAAGCAGTTTTGCACTTCTTTTGAGTCACAAGTATATTGGTGGGGGTATAATCCCAAGGAGTCTGAAGGGCCAAGGTTCCTCTTCTCAGAAAAATCTGCACATAATTTTGCCTCTAGTTTCAGGAGGTTCTTGGCGTCCCTAGAAACCCATCTCCGGACTCTCTAAGGTCAGTTTTAAACCGCACTCAGGTCACCTGTGAGAAACACCGTTTACATACATTTGGAGGCATAGACACTGAACAGATCTGCTTGGAGATTTCTTTAAAAGATTATTTCAAAAGTGATATATCCTTGATCTCAAAGGCCTAGTCTTTGGGTGTTTTTGCTTTTTAAACCTAAGTGAACCGTTAAAACCTCCATTGCTACTTAAGATACAGATGGGTGACTACTTTTCTACCTTTTCTTGGGAAAGATTTTCCCTTTAGGGTCTACAAAAGAGTTTATGGTCACCTTAGGATGTAATGACTTTCATTAAGGGTTTAAATTCTTTGACTTAGCGGAATTAAATCCTGATGAACTTGAATGTACTGGCGGGAGGGAGTATGTACTTGCATTTTCAGTTAACTCCGCATTGACCAGATGACTTACACTGAAAATATTTTAGGATTCTGTAGGATGTAGGTCATTTTGATTATATATCTATATCTATATCTATCTATACTTTACATAGATAGATCTATATATATAGTCAAATTAAAAGATGAGTGCGAACTCCTGGACATTGTTTGGTAGTTAAAATATTCAGCTATAAACCGAAGAACAAAATCAAAAATTTAAGTTTTCTTTACTGTGCACTAAACCTTCTAGAAATCTGATTATGTCTGTCAGTTTGTATGCTGTGTATAAGAACATATGCATTTCTTTTGTAGCCACGTCATGAATATTTTAATGTCCCAGTGTACTAAATGACTACTCGACGGGTATGCAGACTCTTACAGAGGAAATAGAGAGCTGATATACTTATGAAAGAAAATATCCTCAGCTTGGTGACCATCTTATAATAATAGAATGTTTTAAATCAACACCTTTACCATTGTAACTTTGTTCCTGTTCTTGTTTCTCTTTTTTGTTTTATTTTCATTCTATATGTGATCTTGATGTAGCTTATTTCTGCTTGCAGCTGGTTTAATTTCTTAAAAAAATAAGACCTATGAATGTTTTAGTAATATTTCATCTTAAACATATCCATGTCATTTGTGAGCCATTTGTGATTAATCTTGTTAAGAGGAAAACTTAGCAATCATTACAATGTTTACCAAAGAAAACAGCTGAAATGCTAAGTCCAAATAATTTGTGCCATAATATATAGTGTGGCTTGGTGTTCAAATTTTGAAAAAAACACACCTATATTTAGTATAACTATATCACAGTCTATATGAGCTAATGTGTTTTAATGTATCACATAAAAGTGTATTCAGAAATACAAGAAAGTAAAATCTGTACTATGACATAATTTAAAGTGAAACACAGTTTTAAGAAATTTGTAATGCCACATTTATTGAAGATCAAACAATCCTTTAAAAACTAACAGAAAACTATGTCAGAAAATCTGAACTGCAATATCTATTTAATACTAAGTAACTCTTTCAAAGCATTAATACTGAGTATAGCCAAATTTGAACATTTAGTTTAAATACTTACATTTTAATGGTTATGGTTTTATCATATAGTCTTCATTTAGAATTCTTATGATTCATTAACTATGGTTTTATATTTCTTAATATTGATCGTTATTGTGTATACTTTCAATAAAACATGCAACATACTTTATTACAAAAGGAAAGTACCAAATAATTCATTGTTTACACCTAGAGAGTTCAAAGCATGAGTTAAGTAAGCTATCATTAAACAGTAAATTCAAAAGATGCTCACACTGGTTTACCACTAAAGGAAGACCATGAAAATGTGTATCAGGCAGGCATGCAGATCAGTTCTTACCATTCGTACTATGGCACCTGGATGGGCCATCAAATGAGAAATTTGGCATTTTACATTGAAAGCATTGGGAAACATTGGTCTTTCATTTCCATTTTCCCCTCCATACCGCCTTGCAATGTATTATTTATCTGGTTTTAATGATGCATAAATATGCATTGTCTCATGCCTGTTTGCTCCGGATGTTGTGTGCTGAGCTGTAACAATATGTTGCTTCTTTTGTTTTCTGTATACAGCTGCTTGCTTTAAATTAGTCAATTCTGAAATAGCTTGCCTTGCATGTCTAAAATAAAAGTATTGCATGTATTTTGTCTCATGTGAATGACTTTTTTCTTCTCCATTCCTTTTGATAATGTATTTTACATTTTAGTTTTTCCAGTTAATTTCTTTAATTGTGGTAAAAAAAACAACAACAACCAAACACATAACAGAATTTACCAGCTTAACCATTGTTAAGTATACAGTTCAGTAATGTTAAGCATATTCACATTGTTGTGATAGAGCTCCAGAAATTTTTCATTTTGCAAAACTGAAACTCTGTACCCATTAAAAAAATCCCCATTTCCTTCTTCCCCCAAACTTTGGTAACCACCATTCTACTTCTGTGTTTTTATGAATTTGACTCTTGGGCAATAATTTTTCTAGTAATTTTGAGCTACAATTTCAATGTGAACGTGTGAAAATATTTTATATGACACATTTCAAAGGAATAAAATGTGCAAATAATTCTTTGAATCTATGCCCTTTAGAAAGGACACATATTTTAAATAATGTGTACTTGATAAGCAGCATGGTTCTCATTGAGAAATGCTATATAAGATTGCAGACAGTGAGCACACAGGAGAAATCTGGCCAGCTCCAGAGAGCAGGATGAGGGGCATTTTTACATGGGTAACTACAGAATTGAATGTAGGCACCCTTTAATTAGTACATTAAAGTTTGTATGACACTAAAAATTACTTAATGTCAAATGAAAATTATTTTTAAATTGTTTCATTTTATTATGTATGTGATTCAGTGCATATAATGTTTAAAGCTAAACATTATAAAAGAGAGATTGGCTTATATCACTCTTGGGAGTGTGACATAATTTCCATTGGCTTTTCTTTAAAAGCTATATCATGAAAATTGAGACATGCAAATAGAACAGTACTAGGAACCCTCATTTATACGTTACATTGCTCAACTTCAATAACCATCAGCTCAATACTTATTTCATCTGCCACCACCCCATTTTGCCCTCGGTATTTTAGAGCAAGCTCTAGACATCCTATCATCTTTGAAACTAAAGTATGCATCCCTAAAAGATGAGTACCACACCTCATAAGATTGACAGTAATTCCTAATATTTCTGGCTCATTTTTCCCCGATAGTCTGAAAAACAAGCTGCCTCCTTAGCTCAGCAGGTATTGTGTCAATCTCATCATCTGAAAAATGTATTTTTATAATTGGCTTGTCAGAACCAGATTCCAACAAGGATCATATTGTATCTAGCTGATGTCTCTTAAGTCTCATTTTTTAATAACTCCTCTGCTTTCTTCCCCCTTAACCTTTTTGCTGTTAACTGAGTCACCTATGTCGTAAAATTCCCTCCATTCTGTATTTTGCTGCTCGTAAACTTGTGGTGATGTTTTAACTTGTTTTCTTCTTCTTTCATATTTAGTTGTGTAGTGTGGTTAGGTTGAGGTTCAATTTTGGAGGAGCAAAAGTACTTCATAAAAAATAATCGTTTTTACCAAAGCTGATTTTCACCCATTTTTCGTTAATATAATATACAAACATACTAAAGGTTATCATATGAACTTCAGAGAGTTGGTTTATAGTACTTCATTTGCTACTGAATGCTAAGTACCTTCATTTAGATTTCAACTGTGTATGCTACCAGCTAAAATGTTTAGCACGTCCTATAAATCTGGCACTAAGACTTATCTCCCTTAATCTCTACACATGAAGGTAAGTACTATTGATTCTTGCTTTCCCAACAAGGCAACAGACCATGGAGTTAAAGTGTAATTTAATATTTTTCTATGTAGTGTTTTACATATCATCTAATATATGGATTTATGATTTAATATATTTTTTTCCTTATTTTGTGCTGTACCATAATTAGGATGCAAAAGTAAGTAATTTATTATTAGATACTAAAAATTACATTATTTTCCTTCATGAAAACATACTATGCCTTTTAATTATAAAATTGTTGCAAGTAACACTTGAAATTTGATCTACTTGGTCCCTTTATATTTAGTGAAGTGCAAAATCAGCCACTTAGGGAATTTTTTAAATAATTTTTTCTATATATGCCGGCTTTGTCTTCCTTTGATGTTAAAAAATGAGTATTGGTTGTTACATAAGACAAAAATGCCTTTTATCCCCAAGCATTCTGTGTGTGTGTGTGTGTTGCCTTTATTGAAGTCATTGGTTGCCCTGGGGAGATTTGAGGTGGTGAGTGAAAAACTGGGTAAAAACTCTTGAGAGGAAGACATTCCTTTAAATACATATGACATTCCCCCTCTCCCCCCCCAAAAAAAATAAAAGCATGAAACAAAATTATGTGAAGAATTGGGACAACTCAGGTTTTCCCCTGCTTTTTATATAGGGAGGGGGTGGGTGAATTTTAACACTAGGATAACTTACCTTTTCTGTAGCTAGATAATTCGATAGCAATGATTTCTTAAATTGCCAGTGGGTTTGACTGCTTTTTGTGTTATAGAAATTATCGGTCAGTAATCAATGTAATACTTTGAACAATAAGATTTAATACACACACACACACACACACACACACACACACACACACGAAGTGGCCAGATTATTATGATCTCTGAATGCATAATCTGGTCACTCAGTATATATCCTATATAAAAAAAGGCTAATATGCAAATTGTCCCCTTGACCAGGAGTTCGACAAGCAGGCAGGCCGGCCAAGTGCCTATGTCCCCTCCCCCTGGCCAGGCTGGCCGGACCCCACCCATGCATGAATTCATGCATTGGGCCTCTAATACATACACACACACACACACACACACACACACTGAGTGGCCCGATTATTATGTGCTCAGAGATCATAATCTGGCCAGTGTATATATTTAATGCATGCTGAAAATATTCTGTGGCTTCCTATGTATAGGATATAAAACCCTAAATAACCACTGGCTCACAGAACATGCCCATACCACTGAACTGCTTTCCTTCTCTGAAACTTGCAAGTCTTTTGTCAGTTTCACATTCTCAAGCCACCCCACATCTGCTTACCAGAGTCTCACATTTTCCCTCCGCAGGAAGCCGAAACCCCACGTAGTGTTCTTGAAGAGATTGGACTGACATAACTCTCCTCCCCTGTTGATGACTTCTTGTGGCATTTCACACTGTAGATGGTCACTGCCTTCATGTCCATGTTAGCTAATGGTGTAAGATGTCTTGTCAGTATTACTGTTTCACTAAGCTGCTTCATTCAGGCCTACACAATTTTTTTTTAAAGGGAATTTTGGTTAATCAATTGATAATTTAAGGGACTTACATGAATTAGATAGAGAAAAAGAAAGGTACCTGGGTATTTTAAGGTTTATAGGTCTGTTTCTCTTAATTGGATATCTTATGAAAATGACAATCAGGTTAAATACATTTATTAACTACTGTCTTTGGCAAAGGAAACGTATGAAGCCAAAAGCCAGTGCACTCCAATATATGAGAATAAAGGGAATTGACATATCAAATGAATGAAAACTATGTTGAAATTTTCAAAGAAAAACATCAAGTTTATACCAAAGACCCTATTTGGAAACTACATACCTAAAAAAAAAAAAAAAAAAAAAAGGAATACCCAGACTAAATTGGAAGTATACCGTTTTACTCTGAAAATTAGTTCTTTGGCATTCTAAACCTGGGATGAAGAAGAGATTGTTTCATAATGGCAAGCATATTGTTTTTAAGGCCAAGGAACATTAGACTCCCGAGACAAATTTTGTGGTCATAATCATTTTGTCACTTAGTTGGATTTTGATGCCCCAAAACAAAATAGAACGTTGACTTGCCAGGAATTCTTCATGACCGATCCTTATGGAAAATGTTCCTCTCCACCAAGTGTTCATTATGTCATTTAAAGCACGAAGGTTCCTTCTGGGGTGCTGGTTGCAGCCACATTTATGTTGCTCTCCTTTATTGCTTCCTGCCACTTAGAAGTGCTGCAAACTTTAGGAGCTCCCTGCCCTTCAATAGCACTGAGAAATAGTTATGAGAAATCTTACAAAACTATAAGCATACCATCTCTCATATCAAAGTGAGAGCTGAGGTGAAATGGCATTAGTAGGCCCTCTATTTTTAAGAGCTATTTCAATGTCACCTTTATACATACTCCATATGTAAACTCATCTTCACGGTTCATACTCTCATTTGTATTTGCTGGGCTGGATTAAGCTTTATCGTGATTGTGATTAATATTCAGGCCATGTGTGCAATGTCTCATCACATCGCCAATTAGTTTTAATAAATGTTCAATGTACACTATTGTAGTGTGTTTTTCTCTCTCTCTCTTCCCAAAAGCTTGTCAAACTGGAGAGTTGCTGAAGGAAAAATTCTAAGGCCTTGTTTTTTTCAGTTACCGTGTTGAATATTCACCTCCATTTGAATGTGGTGGTTGTTAAAAGCACACACGAGATAAAGAGATAAATGGCAGATATAAGGAGTCTTCATATACTTCAAGTTCATTAAAAAACAATATGGATTCCATGCTACAGAGAGCCTATCTGCACATTTATTTTTAATCAATAAATGCCGCTTTTAAAACCTGATGCACTTGACTTTTCTCCTCTTTCTGAATGAGCAACTCCTATTACTCCAGGTAATAGAAAGTATTCCAAAGCAGCTGGGACCCCATCCCTGATCCATGAACAGGAGGTACTACCATGTTTCCCCAAATATAAGACATCCTCCGAAAATAAGACCTAGCGCGTGGAAAGATAAGACATCCCCTGAAAATAAGACCTAGCGCAACTTTGGGAGGAAAAAATAATATAAGACACTGTCTTATTTTCGGGGAAACAGGGTAGCACACTCATAGAACAAACTGATTTTGCCAACTACTGTCACATAAGCAGCAAATCAAAGCTTAGTTAAGGGACCTATTAACCACAGATGGGGAATGTTAAATATTGCAAAGATTTTTAAGAATGAGGAAACAAAGACAAATACATGTGGGGGGTGGGGGCAGAGGTGGGTGGATATATCTATGAACCAGAAAAAAAACAAAAAACTTATCAAATTAATCTGCTAGTCTGCTAAAAAAAAAAAAATCTCGATTTAAAGAGCCTCTAACACATTGCTATTTATTCCCTGAAAACAGGTCTTTGGGCTGTGAGCAATGTAAAGTTGGATTTTTGAATTATAAGTGGTAATCAGGTTATATTAATAAGTTTAAAAAAAAACAATATTTAAGATGGACGTTTTTCAGGATAATGAACTGGTCTGTGGTTTAAAAACTGCTTCTTCTTGCCCAGTTGGTGTAGCTTAGTGGTTGAGCACTGACCCATGAACCAGGACAGTGGTTGGCAAACTCAATGGTCAACAGAGCCAAATATCAACAATATGACTATTTAAATTTCTTTTGAGCCGAAAACCGACTTCTGCGCATGGACCACGAAGTTTTAATCACACTGTACGTGCGCGCCCGCACATGGTATTTTGTGGAAGAGCCACACTCAAGGGGCCAAAGAGGCAAATGTGGCTCGCAAGCAACATGCAGTTTGCCGATCACTGAACCAGGAGGTCCAGTCAGGGCATATGCCTGGGTTTGGGGCTCAAGCCCCAGTAAGAGGGAAGGAGCAAGAGGCAGCCAATTGATGATACTCTCATCATTGATGTTTCTCTCTCCCCCTCCCTCTCTATTCACTCAAAACAAAAACTGCTTCCCCTCCATATGACACTGCCACCTAATACTATCACTCATAACCTTGATAGAGCACAAGCTGGTGTTTAACCTCTGACATTTTTCCTTCCATGATCTACTAAAGACTGTTCAGCTTTGAATACCACCTTTTATTGTGTATAACTTATTAAACATATTGAATTCAGTGATAATTATTTGGCATTAGTGAATCCTAAAGATCAAGCATGTCAAACTCAAAGGCTAACACAGTCCAAATAAATGAGGAATGTGACCTGTGCCACAAGTTTGACATGCTTGCTATATATAATTACAGAAAATTTATAATCATTTTTATGGTAAAACAGGCATTTAAAGTCTGGAACAAATCAATTTTTAAAGTAAAATGTATTTTTGGACCACATACTTTCTTTTATAGACTACAGATTAAAGGACTTTTTCAACAAGTATCACTCAGAAATCCCAATCTTGAAGAAATTTCTATTCCCAAGATTCCTAAGTAACTTCTGCTATTTTGTGTATCCTTAAGCCCTTATTTCCGTATACTCTGAAATTCAAGATCCCTAGTATGTCAATGGAAAGGTTACTAAGAAAATTTAAAAATTTATGAGGAAGCGTGAGCTTTTATGATCTGAAATCTAAGAACAATTATTTTATATTAAGCTTTTAGAATAGAATGTTCTCTAACCACAGAATTGCTGTAACACTAGGCATATTCAGTAGCTACAACTCCCATTTTTCCTGAAATGACAAAAATTTACCTGTATATAGTGAACTCGCCAATATACTATATATTTAAAAAAAAATGAACACCCTAATGGAAAACCTCTGAGGAGGGACTGCAAATAGGGAATAGGAGGGAGGCAAAAAAAAAAAAAAATAACTACTCTATAGTGTAATACTTTAAAACTGAGAAAGTGAATTTTAAAGTAAAACAAACTATTCAGCTATTGCATGTAAAAAAAATCCAACAAATTATTAATAAAGGGCAAACAACCAAATTTAATGGCCATTAAATATACAAGAAGTATTTTACTTAGCCAATTGTACCGAAATAAAGGTAAACACATAAAATTTACCAAGTTGGTGAAAAGTAAAAATGTGGGGTGTGGGAATAGCAAAGTTTATTATTGATGATCTGTGTAGTTTTTCTGGAGGGCAATTTGGAAATACTTCAGTATTCATATCTCTTAATATAATTTATCCTAAGGAAATAACCAGAAATGTATGAAAGGAAATCTACCACAGGATTATTTGTTTATAGCACAGGGTTTTTTTAATAGTGTAAAAGTTAAAATAACTTAAAATTCAACAAGAAGGATATGGTTAAATAAGAGTTCCACACTATGCAGTGAGTAAAAGTAACATTCAGAATAGGCCTTGAGAAAGTATGACAATATTTTGTGACAAAAAGCATATTCAACTGCAGCCATCTGTTCTTTGTGTAAAAAATGTGCACAGACCCATAAGAGGAAAAAAGACTAAAGTGATGCTCCATTGTTAACTAGTTATTTTTAAGGGTTAGGATTACAAGTAGTATTCATATTATTTATACATTTATATTTTCTAAAAGAAGCGTATGTTATCAGAGAAAAAAAGTATTTTTTAAAATATATTTTTATTGATTTCAGAAAGGAAGGGAAGGGGAAAGATAGAAATATCAATGATGAGAATCACTGATCCTCTGCCTCCTGCACGCCCCCTACTGGGGATCAAGCCCACAACATGGGCATATGCCCTGACCAGGAATTGAACCGTGACCTCCTGGTTCATAGATCGACACTCAATCACTGAGCCACGCCAGCCATGCTAATACTTTTAAAAGAGTTATCGATGATATGGGGTGCTATCAGACTTGCTAATCCATTTAAACTCAGAGCCCTGTACCCAGGTAGAGAGCAGCCATAATAAATAACATATGCGATCATTTTTAAAAAATCGGTTTATTTGGATTTGGGGCTATGAACAATTCCATCTCTACTACCTGACCTTCTCCCACTGTAATTCCTGAACTTAGAGGGGCTTGGACTCCAGCTCCGGCTCCGGCTCCTGCTTCTGCTCCGGCTCCTGCTTCGGCTCCGGTGGTTCTTGCTCCGGCTGCCCCGGCCCCAACTGCGGTCCCTTTTTCTTTCTCTACTTCGGGATCTGTGCCTCTCACGGCTTTTGGCTGTGTGTCTGTGAGACTTCTTATCCCTGTGGGTGCTTCTTCTTTTCCTCTCGGCTTCTCCGTTCCTTTTATAGAAGCGGGTCAGACTGGGGCTTCGCCTCCTCCTGGACCTGCCGTAGTATTCATCGTAGTGGCCCAGCCTCTCTCTCCTCTCTGAGTTCTTAAAGGAAGAGCCAGACCGGTCTGGGGACAGGTAGATGTCCCTATTAGCTTCCCAGAATTCATTGTTGGGATTTCTGAACACGTGAAGGAAGTTGCAGTGTTTTCCTCTGGGGCATTGCTGCATTTCATATAAACCTGCAATGGCACGGTGAGGAAAGAAATAGCGTTTATTGCCGGCACTTGATCCTTCTTAGGAAGTACATTGCTCATGCTGGACACGACAGAACTATTTTCCTCTTTACATTATTTAAAAGGGGCTTACATAAATTGATGTCACAGTTTTGGTTCCCGGAATTTCAAATATATTCCAGTGCTCTAACAAATGGCCGGGAGGTCCTGTTTCTCTACTGGGTTACTGTGTGGTGTGCAAATGGCACAGTGGTGACTCCAATTTTTTTCTAGGTTTCACCATCCCACTCACTGACAATGTAGATCCCTAATGCAGCGTTTTTCAACCGCTGTTCCGCGGCACACTGAGATGTTGCCTGGTGTGCCATAGGTGCAGACAAGACAAGAATTTTATAATTTTTCACTATTTTGTTTACTTAATATTTCATAATAAAGTAATTATAAAATACTTTCTTTGTGTTTATTTGATTCCTATTCAAGAGAATTACTTTATATATAGTCAATATAGGCACAGAGTTAAATTTTTTAACATTTTCTAATGGTGGTGTGCCTCGTGATTTTTTTCATGAAACAAGTGTGCCTTTGCCCAAAAAAGGTTGAAAAACACTGCCCTAATGAACACTTTAAGAAGAAGATGGAAAACATTGGCCTAACGCTTTTAAATTTACCAAGTATTTTTAATGTGGAAGATTCTTGTCAAAGTGAAATCTAGTTGAACAACTCAGAAATCTTTTTGGGGTCTTCAAATTTTTTTAAAAGCAGTAAATTTCCCAAATATGTATAACAGTTAAAAGAGAAATACCTCCATATCACACACTATATACAAAAGTTAAAATGATGAGTCCTAAATGTAAGATACGAAGCTATGAAACGTTGAAATAAACATACAAGTAAAATCTTTGTGGCACAGGGCTAAGCAATGGATTGTTAGATATGACAGCAGAAGCACAAGTCAAAAAAAGAAAAAACTTAGATAAATGGTTATCATCAAAACAAAAACTTTTGTGCTTCAATGGCCAGCGTCACAGTGAAAAGACAACCCACATAATGGGAGATAATATTTACAAATCATAGATCTACTCAAGGACTGATCTGTAGAATTAATCATGAACTCTTACAACTCAATAGTAAAAAGTCATGTAACCTACATACAAACAGGCAAATGATCTGAATACACATCCCTCCAAAGAAAATAGACAAATGGCCACTAAGAAGGACACGAAAAAATGCTCAGCATCACTAGTTAATGGGAAAAATCACCAAATTATTTTGAAAAACAAAACAAGTGAAACAGTCTCCTGCTTTGGAGAGTCAAAGTCACACTCAGAGTCTGCAGTGAAGCCATATTGGACTGCCAGGAACTGACAGAAGTAAACACCTTTGTGGATCAAACAGGTCCACTTCCTTCATCCCTCAAGCCTTTCAACTTAAGGTATAATAATAGTTCTTCTCATTTTCCAAAGCAAGGGATTCCAAAATATCACACCCCCCGCTCTTCAAGAAATGGTTTTTAAGTGACAGCATCCATTACGACCAAGTTGCCAAAGATTCAGGCTTGGTAAATTATATATTTTTAAATGAGAGGTGTTAAGCAAAGAAAAGCAAAGAAAAGTAAAGGATCAGGGATGTGCTCCCTTAAGACACAAATAGCTCCATCTCTTAGCTTCCGGTACCTTAGCGATACAGTCTGGCTAAGCCCATCCAAGAGAAATAAAAAAAGAACAAGGATCAACACTGCTGGCTACTCCAGGGACTGACTCACTTCCTGATGTGGGGCCACTGTGGATGAGTCAGTCTGACTGACTGTGCCCTCGCCACATGCCACAGCCAGCTTCAATCCGCAGCACAAAAGCATGTGTTTGAAGTAAGGCAGGGGGTGTTATGGGTAATGTTTCAGGTGGCAAAGATGAGCCAAGATCCATTAGGGATAAAGATGGGAAAACAACACAGCTTAAGAGAGGGGAGCATTCAACAGCAAACATCTCTGAGACTGCAATAGGGAAAGGTGGCTTCCAGGACCCCAACTTCTCTGGCTTCCTAAAGAGTCAGACAGCCGAAACCAGTTCGGCTCAGTGGATAGAGCGTCGGCCTGCAGACTGAAAGGTCCCAGGTTCGATTCCAGTCAAGGGCATGTACCTTGGTTGCGGGCATTTCCCAGCAGGGGGTGTGCAGGAGGCAGCTGATCGATGATTCTCTCTCATCCCTATCCCTCTGTCTTCCTCTCGGTAAAAAATCAATAAAATATATATATTTTAAAAAGTTAGACAGGGCCCCAGCACTGAGGACGAGAAGGCCCAATTCTAGCCCAACTCTGTCACCCACACACTGGGACCTCAATCACATCATGCACAGAGAGACACACAAGGTCTGTTACAGATCTAAACGGCAATGTCCTTTATGTAATGATCTCAGCTCGTCTGCTGTGGGAGGGAAAAGCTACGCTTCACCTCTTTAAGATACAATTTTTTTCACTGAGAATTTCCTTTTGTGTAACAGTAGAACAACTGGGGGGAAAGCATCGTGTTATATTTTACCACAAATTGCCATTTTCCACCGGGTCACTGGGCAGAATTCACACTGCAGCTGGCGTCCCGCATACCATCTTCCGTTAAACAGGGAAAAGGCCGCCTGGCATTCTTCTTCCCTTTGAAACCGCAAATGAAAGCACACGTTTTACGGACACGTTCTCATATGTAGATTAACGCTGTTGTTAACAAACCCTTGCATTCGTTCATTGTAGGACCTCCAAGCTTACTGTTTTTGTACTGAGAGAGTACGCATTAGAACATTCCAGCTCCCGTAGCTCACCGTTTATTCGGGAGCTCCTTTTACCAACTCTCTGAGGCTCTGGCGCATGGAAACTGGCTCGAGCCAAAGCTTCTTAAACCAAAAGATGGGACCGTTAAAAACGCAGAAGTGTTTCCCATTATCAGTGCCCACTGTTTCTCAGTGGAGATCACTCTTCTTATTGCGATGGTTAATTTACCTCATTAGCCACGGCGTGGCCTGGGCAAACACCAAAACCAGCAGAAATGGTACACTAACTGCACACTGAGGTTACCGGGGGCTTCAATTCCTGGCTCTTATGATTTATATTTTCCTCTATTCTGGTTATCCCTTTCAGTTTGCATTTTAATTATTAAAGTTACATAAGTAAAAAATAACTATATTACAAAAGGTTCCAAACTATGTACTTATACAAAGAATGAAATCCAAATGTATTCTTTTCAAATCCCTTGTACATTTCTATATCAGCTCTTAATATTTACATTTTTAAAAATACCATGCATACAGAGGCCAGGCCCGGAGCAGCCAGGCCCGGAACAGCTCGCTCCTCACCTGCCCCTGCCCCACGGCTGCCTCTCAGACATGGCTGGAAACTTTTGCGGGAACTTGAGGGTCTGCTGAATCAAGTGATGAAGGCTTAGATCTGGATGTGTTGAGTTAGTATAGCGCTGGGGTGTTGATCTGTGAGTGCCTTGGGTGGGGCCTGGATGAGGCTGGTTGACCTATTTGGAAATGTCTTTTGTGTGAAGTGTATCATTGGGCATGTGGAGGTATTATTGCTATGAGAAAATGCTAAGTAACTGATTTACTATCTGAAAAGAGATTTACTATTGGGGAAAGGGAGGGAGGAAGAGACTGAACATAAACTGTGCACCTATGGATGAGGACAATGGGGGATGGGGAGGGGGCGGAGGGTGGGGTGGAAACCTGGTGGAGGGGGGAAGAAATGAGGAACCTTTGTAATAATATGAACAATAAAGATTGATAATAAATAAATAAATAAATAAATAAATAAATAAATAAATAAAAATACCATGCATAATAAAGCTATATTATTATTCCGTGGAAAGAACCGCAGACACCAACAGTCACAACACTGTACTGTGACAAACTGAAGACGTTTTATGTTCAGAATACTTACGATTGGTACTGAACATACACATTGCCCCTCAGGTGAGGCTCCAAGTTGCAGCTGACCTAAAGAGCAATGAAAAATTCTATCAATAAAACCAAAACAAAACTAAGGAAAAGATGTCCTTCAGCCATTAAATGCACTTTGTTCAGGTCAACACTACCAAAACTTGTTACCAATAGAAGATTCCAAAATTGAGGAACCAGCCCAATCTCACGTCTATTTAAGGTATACTTCAGCCCCGTAGTCGGCAAACTGCGGCTCGCGAGCCACATGTGGCTCTTTGGCCCCTTGAGTGTGGCTCTTCCACAGCCTGGGCGAGTCTATGTTGAAGAAGTGGAGTTAGAAGAAGTTTAAGTTTAAAAAATGTGGCTCTCAAAAGAAATTTCAATCGTTGTACTGTTGATATTTGACTGGTGACTAATGAGTTTGCCGACCACCGCTTCAGCACATTGCGGTTTTGCAGGCCCCAATGAGCTGATCCCTGTCCATCCAGGTCCTTTTTCCCATAGATGTGAAATGTTTCACATATGCACAGAAATCGAGGGGGAAAATCAGCCCATCTACATACCACCCAGATTTAACCCCGACACTTTCCTTTTTGACAGAGAAAGTTTAAATATATAAAACATTAAAGATCCATTTGAAGCTCTTCTCCATCACATACACAGGCACTGTCCTAAGGCTGGGCACATCCTTCACATTCTAAACATAAATACACACCTACACAAACATCCACAGCAACACATACACACACTGAAATGTATGTCCACTATGCATATATGGGCACACACATATGTATGTGTACATATGCAAAAAATATATATAGATAGAGTATAGCATTGCTTTGCACACATTAAAATTTTACATAAATAGTATTTATTCCACATCCTTTTTTAAAGATGTAATCCCATAAACTTAAGGACTCATTTTAACTACTGGATACTGGATACATCAAATTAGCAAATCAATGTGTCCACTCCTCGAATGACAGGTATCCAAGGCGCTTCCAATTTTCATCAACAAACAGTGCAGCAGCCAGCATTCTGGAACACGTGTCTGTAGGTGTATGGATTGCTCCTTTGTGTGCATGACCACAAACAGTGCGCAGATTTGTAAGTTTACTGATTCACTAGGTACTGACAACTACTGCCTTCTGAAGTGGTTTTACTAATTCACACATCCTTGCCCAGTCTTGGAATTTTATAATATTTTACCTGATAAGGTGTGAATGGTCTGTCTTTTTAAGATGCACTGTTCCTATTACTATTTATGTTGAACATTTGATCCTTTGCCTTCGAAAATGACATATCTAATTTGGTTATTTTATTTTTTAAAATATATTTTTATTGATTTTAGAGAGGAAGGGGAAGGGAGGGAAGGAGGGGGGAGAGGGAGGGAGAGAGAGAGGGAGGGAGAGAGAGAGGGAGAGAGAGAGAGAGAGAGAGAGGGAGAGAGGGAGAGAGAGAGAGAGAGGGAGAGAGGGAGAGAGGGAGAGAGAGAGAGGAGGAGAGAAAAACATCCATGATGAGAGAGAATCATGGATCGGCACTGGGGCTGAAGCCGGCAACCCAGGCATGTCCCCTAATGGGGACTCAATCCGTGACCTCCTTGTTCATAGGTCAATGCTCAACCACTGAGCCATGCTGGCCGGGTGGTTATTTTATTTTTTATTTGGTTTTATATAGTGGTATAAAAGGTCCTCAAATGTTCATAGTAATATTCAGCTTTTATTTTCAAAATAAATGTTTAATTTTACAAATTTGTCCCCGAGTATTTTTATTAGAGTACCCAAAATAGACAGGATCTGTTTGGGAAGCCACATCAGCTGTACCAGGTACCTTAGAGATCACTTAAGCCAAAGACCCATTATTAATTTTCCATGGAAAATTTAATGTTTTGGAAATTTTCCTACTAAAAATTTACTAAGCAAACCTTTCCATTTATAACTACCAATGTGATTAGCATGAGCTTAGCTGACAAAATTTTAAACAAAAGAAAACAAATACACCATGGTTAGTAAGTGACTAGTTGCAGGTACTGGTGTGATTTCTACTAACTGGCCTAAGTTTTGTGTGTTGTTTTTTAAAATATGTTTTTATTGATTTCAGAGAGGATGGGAGAGAGAGAGATAGAAACAATCAATGATGAGAGAGAATCATTGATCAGCTGCCTCCTGCATGCCCCACACTGGGGACTGAGCCTGCAACCTGGGCTTGTGCCATGACCAGGAATCAAACCGTGACCTCCTGGTTCATAGGTCGATGCTCAGCCACTGAGCATGCCAGCTAGGATGGCCTGAAGTTTTGAAAGCAGCTCCACCACTGACATCATGGAGGAGTGTACTGTAGGGACCCCAAGAGGGAAACCACTAATGTTGTCCAATCCCCTCACTTTCGGGATGAGAAAAAGGCACGGAGAGGTAAATTTAATGACATGTTCCAGAATGCAGGCCTAGCCAAACGGCATTACCGTGGCTCCATGTTATGGGTAGCCAGGCAATTCTACTTGAGTGTTTACTGGCTGTGCTGAGAAGTAGTGGGACGACAGAAAGGCATGCGCAACAGAAATAAAAGGCAAAGGGGGGAAGAAAATGGTAAAGCCTTGAAGTTGGTAGGAATAAGTGTAGCTTTGAATTTCATAAGTGCTACCGGTTAGTAGTTGCTCTACTCTTGGCTATTTCCAACAAGCAGGAAAAAAACAACTTTATTCCTATTTTTCCCAAAATTATGGGACATTTTCCCTATCCTACCATAACAGAATCATTCAGGATTGGGACTGATGGTTCATGAAGTAGGAGTCTTCACTGTGGTAGGACTCAACTACTAGGTGTTACATCAGACTTTCCTCTCGCCTTAAGGAACATGCTAGAATAATTCTGTGCAATGTGAATGCCTTTTTTTTCATCCCATTTTTGCACCACAAACCATGACTTTGGGAATACTATGTTCAGTATTGAAATGATTCAATGAGTAAAAATGTAAAGAAGCCAAAATCAGTTTGGTTCAGTGGATAGAGCGTCGGTCTGCGGACCGAAAGGTCCCGGGTTCGATTCCGGTCAGGGGCATGTACATTGGTTGCGGGCACATCCCCAGTGGGTGTGTGCAGGAGGCAGCTGGTTGATGATTCTCTCTCACCGAGGTTTCTAGCTCTCTATCTCTCTCCCTTCCTCTTTGTAAAAAATCAATAAAACATATTTTAAATAAAAATAATGTAAAGAAAAGGAATCAAGATCTAACATTCCAGTGTACTTCCAGAAAAAAATAACACGCATCTGGCCTGGCACTGTCAACACAATGCAACCATACAACTACAATCTCAGTAAATGGAGTGGTATCTGTGCACACTGCAGCTCTGGGTGAGACCCATTACCCAGAGGGAGGGAGAGAGGGAGGCAGCATGTCTGTCACAGGCGGCCTATAACTGAATGCTGGCATTGCTGTCTGCAGGGAACTTTTGCACAAATTCCCCAGCTAGAAGAGTTAGATCACAAAGGTCCTGAAGAGATGAGAGCCTTTCCCATCTAGTCCCTGGCACCCAGGAACCTTCATGCTAGCACGAGTCCATGCAGTACCTCTGAGAGAAGGGAGCGCCATTCAGTGAGTGCCGGGGTGGCCTACACAGGGCCAGGCACTGTCCCACGCCCCCCAGCTGGGCACAAAGCCTGTACCCTCGCTCTCTTGTCCCACTGGGTACTTCAGTGGGAAGTGACCCAGTCTCCTCCCTCACGTGCACTGCGCATGCCCACCTTGAACTGGATCACCTTCCCCACGTTCCTGAACTCGGGGAGCACGTCCTCATAGAAGTCCAGGAACTGCTGGTAGGTCTCCTCCTCGCTGTACTCCAGGCTGGCGTCGGGGTCATAGTCATCCCTTCGGCACTGCTCCATCCCGAATGTTGTAAACATGCTTCTGATGAGAAGGGTGGGGCTCGATGTGGGGAAATTGTGTTTACGTGAACACCTGCATATAAGAGGAAAGTTTAAATTAAGTAGGGCAATAGTTAGAAATTACACATAAAGTGCTTGCATTAAACCTGGAGATCGAGACTCAAGTAACTTGACTGTTTCAACTTAATTGTAAAATAAATCCATTCGGACATTAACTTTCAATACTTAAGAAAACTTTTAAGACGGAGCAATATAGTGATCCCATTAAAATGCAAAAATTATTTCCAAGTTCATTTGCCATTCAGGTACCCCATTTGGAACTTAGGAGGAAAGTCAGAACAATACAATCCTGGTTCTAGATAATCTTCAACTAACCTGATGTTTAGAGAATAGGGTAATCTAAGAATTGCCAGCTAACGGAGTGTTTCAACCTCATACATGTATAACATTTCATAGTTTTCATGGCATTTCTACATTTTCCCCTCTGATCCTTGCAACCTGTTGGGACAGTTGGGGCTAGTATTTCTCTGTACTTTGCAAAGAAAAAAGCACTTTCCAAAGTCACATGGCTGGTAATTAAGAAAGGACCCAAGAAATCCGAGTTAACCTGCAGTTCATTAAGTGGTATGGCAAATGTAGTTAATTTTTATTTGATTGAAGAAAACTAACCATTATGAACAAGATTTTTCTTTTTGTTGTGTAAACTGGACAAGCCCAAACCTGAATAGTTCTTTAAAAATCTTTTGGGTTTTTTTTATATCCTTCTCCTAAAATAAAATGGGGATTGGGAGGGGATGTACTTCACAATTCCAAATCATCAACATTTTCCTGAATAGGTTTCTAGTTATAAAACTGATTAGGACACAACTTTTAGGGGGAAAAAACAACCCAGAACTTTTAGAAAGAAAAAAGGTGAAGAACTAGGCATATGCTAGGAAAAAATAACGGCCTTGAAATGACTAAATGTTTAACTCATCTTCACTTTCCATGTGTACAATATGGATCTGTACACCTAGTGAGATACTGCACACAGAATGCCCGCACACACTGTGCCCAGCTCAGAAATGTGCAGTCAGTGTTCGTTAATGTGAAATGTTATTTTTCCAAAGGACCTGCCTGGACTATTCAGTTAGGGACCTTCTGGTAAGATCCATCTTCCCAAGTACAGCTACCGACAGAACAAAGAGCAATGATTCAATCTAACTGGCAGCGTTAGCTGTGCATCAGAATTTTACATGTATGAAGCACATGCAGAATTAAACAAGAAACCACTTTAACAAGGTTAACATCCTGCTCACGGGTTTATTACATCTGAATAAACTTGGTTCTAGTTCCCAGGATGTCAAATGAGTGTGAGTTCTGCACACGGATCATCTGTTCGGATCTCAGAGTGGGAGACCCATATTTTCAAGTAACTCCCCACTCGGTCCTGAAGGTCAGCCATGTTTAAGAACCCCTTGTTTAGAACATGCTACTTGCCCATTGCTCAGATACCTAAATCAAGTAAGACTGGCACAAAAATCACATACTTTAACATTATCTTACCCCAAGGACAGCCAATAAATTGTGTGGGTCTCCAAATGCCCTCTTAGGTAAAGCTAACTGTGGGGTCCCTCGGCCTGGCAAGCTGGGTGGAGGGATGGGACTGTGGGAGGTTGGCTCTGGAAGCATACTAACCACCAGGGGGAAGCTCCTGTGTTAAGCTTCTGCCCCCTGGTGGTCAGTGAGTGTCATAGCACTGGCTGGTTTTAACAGTCACTTAGGTTTTTATATATTGATAGATATATGTATGTATATATTTATGTATATACACACATAATGCAATTTGGCTGCAATCCTTTATTGAAGGTCTCTGTAAGAAACATTCTCATGAAAATCACATATGCAACTGTTAACAAAACATCTATGAAAGTTACTGTTCACTTCCTATTCAATGTCTTTACATAGTATTTAATGGGAGAAACATTTAGACTCCGATACCAGGAAAATTTCTTCCTTTTCAGAGATACTGCTCATTCTTCCTTTTTGGTAAGAACTAGACTGTATATTTCAACATCTGCCTGGGATATATTCAAATCCAGTGCCAAATATACCACACATTCACAACCCACTTTCTCCTCCTTTCCTTAATTTCGATTTCTTTTATTTTATTAAACTTAGTCCAGGAGACCCTGAGTTTTCTTTATACCTCACACATTTCCTTAGTACAGGAAATGTATGAGCTATAAATAACTACTCTGGTAAGTCTTACCTTTCATCAGTAATTCTGTTCCTTTAGGAAGAAAAAAATAACCTTCCTCAAAGCTCTGCCTCTAACATTTATCAATTCCAGAAAGGTTCTAGAATTGAACTGTACTAATTATAGAAACAAAACCTAAGAAATGCTTAGGCTATGGAAGTGATGGCTTCTGATATGACAGATCTCAACCGAAAAGAACAGTTGTGCGATCCAGAGCAAGTCCCTATGGCTCCCTGTAAAAAGGGCACAGTGTTTTTGTTGGAAGGGATGGCGCTGGATTTTGTAAATGCTAATTTCTTAGAATTTGATTTCACAACTCACCACTTGAACAATGAAAATATGCAAATTGCTGTTTTACTTTTTTTTAATAGTTGTGATAGTAAAATGTCATATGCCTATCAAAACATTAAGAAATGTTCACAAACTAATCTGACCACTGTTTCCTTGAAAAGACTCTCAGGGGTGAGTTTTGAGAGCCTGTTAGGCCATAACCCTTTCTACAAATAAGCACTGTCAACTGATTTCCTGAAACTGCTTAGGACATTTTCCCTTCTAACTTATCCCCACCAGAAGAAGAATCCCAGAATCAGATGACCAGTCTTAAAATTCAAGGATATGTTAAGAGAGATGTTTCGTCAATGAGGAATCCTGCAGCTGGAAGACCTTAAACGCAACCTGATTCAACTATCCATACAAATATAAACTCATGCTGAGTCTTAATTGCACATTGGTGTTTCACATAAATCATTATTTCTTGAGGAAATTGAGCATACATTTGGAAAACACTTGTAAAAGTACAAAGGGAAATAAAGTTTCATTAGCTCCCAGTTCCTCAAGAGGAAATTTTCACTATTGATCAGATCCTGTGACTCCTTTCAAAGATCATCTGGGCATAAACAATCCTACTATCTGCACTAATAAAAGAGTAAGATGTAAATTGACCATACCTTCGTGACACTCACCAGCCAATCAAAACTGAGTATGCAAATTAACACAACAAAGATGGTGGGTTACTTTGCATAGGCAGACACCAAGCGGCCAGGGGCAGGGTGGGATGCTCCAGGCCTCTGGGCAGCGTGGGAAGGCAGAAGGTGGCTCCAGCCAGAGTGAAGGCAGTGCCGGGAGCCAGGGGAAGAAAGGCCCATTCTTGCACAAATTTTTGTGCATCGGGCCTCTAGTGAAATATAAAAGGAGTGAACCACCCTGCATTTGGGACTCTCAATCCTGGGACACATTAGGAACACTTGAGGACATTTCAAAACTAAGGCTTCCCAAGTCTCAGAGACTCTGATTTAGTCAAATTGAATTAGGACATACTTTTTGTTACAGTTTTCTAAGTGATTCTAATGTGCATCTAAGGTTGAAGACCACTGTTCTTACAAAAATGTAAAATAGTATTAAGGCTTAAATTTAAAAAGAAATAGAAGAGAAAGATAGAAAGGTTCAGATTTTCAAAGAAGGAAATTATCTCATGGGAGAGATAATCTTATGAATAAGATAAACACAAGAGACAAAATACAGTTTCTCATCGAATACATATAAAATTGCCTATTCATAGCCCTTTTTTGAATAGGACACTAATATATGATTAGACATTTTATTCTGCAGAATGCATAGTAATAATTAGATTTTGCCTTGGGTGGATTCATTCATCATTATGAATTATTTACATAATTTGAGTTACTCATCAACAGACCAAATAATAAAAATCGCCATTGCCTGGCATAGAGTAGGTAGGAAGACATCGCTAAATGAAGACATCAACGCTTAATTTTCCACATGAATGTCGTTTCAATAACACTGATGCGAAGAGGCAGGGAATAAGAGTTTCTCAGAGAAGAATGACAACGATAACAAAAAAAAACTCCAAGAGTGCTCGCCATTTGCCGGACACTATTCTACGTGCTTTCCCTACGTTCACTCATTTCAGCCTTAAACCCCTTATTGGAGGGTAGGGGTGAGGTGTGTGGGAGGGGAGAAGACAGATAGCTTGGGAACTGGAGAAGCAGTAAGAACATAGCAGGTGCCTGACTGTGAACCCTCAAACTCTAGCCCAAGTCACCCCTAAAAACAGAACTCAAAAAGCTCAACATATTGAGGCACTTCATTCGGACATGATAAAGCAAAATTAGTTACCTATCTCCAAATCTGCAAGCTCCCGTTTTACTGTAGAATGGACAGTTAGCTCGATCTTTCTCCATTATTCTTACATCCGTGGGTGGTTCTGGGTTTTGCCATGTGGCACTATTTTCCAACTGTTGAAAATAACCATGATCCATTAAAAATTCAATGTTTAAAATGTATTAAACTGTTTTGGTCATAAATAAAGATGGATTCTCTTAGTAATATTAAGTTGTAACATGTAATTTAAGTTGTAACATGTAATGGAGACTTGAAAAGCAATTGGGCTGAGACACAAACTGTGCCTCTCTCGGTTCCGTCACCACTCATTATTAGGCATCGTCACGGCGACCAAGAGCAGTCACCAAGGTTTCCCTTTGTCCAAGCATTCTGAAAATGGCCAAGGAGTTCTTAGAGAACCATCACTAAGAGAAATCAAGGTTACTCTGAAGCAGGAAGGTAAAGGGTCCATTGTGGGGAGGGTGTAAGAGTGTGTGCTGGCCGAAACCGGTTTGGCTCAGCGGATAGAGCGTCAGCCTGCGGACTGAAAGGTCCCAGGTTCGATTCTGGTCAAGGGCATGTACCTTGATTACGGGCACATCCCCAGTAGGGGTGGGCAAGAGGCAGCTGATCGATGATTCTCTCTCATCAATGTTTCTAACTCTATCCCTCTCTCTTCCTCTCTGTAAAAAAACCAAAAATATATATATAAAAAAAAGAGTGTGCACTGTGTCTTATTCATACACTGAAGAGTATAAAGAAGGACAGCCCACAGGGGTGATTCAATACCATTTGCATGTATTCATTGATAACTTCTATAATTCTTGTTGTTGCATAAATCACAGAGGTGCGAAAGTGACCCCAGATATTTCAGACATGATCTACAGAGCCAACCGCAAAAGTAACATTGCTAGAAGTGTTGTTTTCAAAGAAATGTTCATCAGTCTCAAATTCTTAACAAAAGGTTTTGAAAATACCTCATTTTCAGCCCGCTCCAGCATCTTCTGCACAGCCTCCTACAAATGGTGCAAACATAGGACTAGTGAAAACCGGAAAGTCAGGTAAGGCACATCTGGTTTCTCCGGTTAAGAATCTCATGTGTAAAAATGTTACCAACCCATGCACACAAAAAGTTTCAGTTCCCAATTTGCTTTCTACAGCACCGATCTTCTGAAAAAAGACTTCAAAGTTGAGTTTTCATTCAAATAGGACATTTACTGGCTTAGATTGCAAAATATTGAAAATACCGTATAATATTATAGTAACAGTCATATTTAGTGTACTTGAACACATATGTCACGTTCTAGTTTTTAAGATGAGGTATTATGAATATTATAAAACACAATGGTAGCTGAAACATCATAAACATTTAATATATGCTAAAATATGACATGAACAGTAGTAATTAGGATTGATGAAAAATCTCAAACTTTTCAATAAGGCAAAGGAAGTCCTGCCAATATGCCAATAGATTTGACCTCATTGGCACTTAAACGATTTTTTGAAATTATGATCCACAGACTTTTCTTCTAGCCTCTTAAAGCATTATATAAAAGACTCATCTATCCAGCTTTTCTTAATAACTCTACTTGGTCATATAAGACCAGTAACTTAAGGTCCTCAGTAACTTAAAAGCTCAAATGAAAACTACCTTTTCCCTATCTCTTACCCCATTTCAGTTCAAACTAAAAACCTGCAAGTGTATGACTTAAACTCCTCTACATTCAATCTACCAGCTAGAGTCCTATTAACTCTGATTCAACACACCCCAAATCTGTATACTTTGCTGTATTAAGCACTACCCTCAGCCAAACCAACTCCTTGTCCTATCTGGAACAGCTGCCTTCTAACTGATCACCTTATTTCCACTTTTGCCTCCTTGCTCACTACCCCCTTCTTTATACAAAAGTTAGAATGATGCAGAAACCGGTGTGCCTCAGTGGATAGAGCGTTGGCCTGCAGACTGAAGGGTCCCAGGTTCGATTCCAGTCAAGGGCATGTACCTTGGTTGCTGGCACATCCCCAGTGGGGGGTGTGAAGGAGGCAGCTGATCGATGATTCTCTCTCATCAATGTTTCTAACTCTCTATCCCTCTCTCTTCCTCTCTGTAAAAAAATCAATAAAATATATATTTTTAAAAAGTTAGAATGATCTTTAAAGGTAAAGAGGTAAATTAGATGAAGTCACTCCCTGCTTAGAAACCCTTCAATGGCTTCCCCTTACTTTTAACATAAAATCTAAATTCCTCCTTCAAATCCAGGTCTTACATGATCTGACCCTGCCCACCCTCCTGCCCTCTCCATCTGCCTCTCTCTCCTTTGGTCTCTAGGATTAAGGCACTCTGACCTTCCTTCCGCTCCAAGCACAGGCCTCTTTCCTCTGCTTGGACCCCTTTCTCCCTGAGGTCTCTGCACTCAGGTGTCAGCTGACCAATAGGCTCCTCACAGAAGTCTTCCTTGACCAGGCAATCTAAAGAAGTCCTCGCCTACCCTACTCACTCCATCACATGACTCTGCTTTATTTCCTTACAGCTCCTAACATGACCTTATAGCACTTAAAATGAGCTTTTTTTCTTTGCTTACTTATCATCTAGAAAACTAATTCAGTTGAGAGCAGGGACTGTCTTTTTGATACTTTATCTCTACCCACTAGAGAAGTATCTAGCACAGAGCAGAAATGAGACTGCACATCCCTTTTTATAAGCTTAGAATCTACTTCATTTTACTTGTTTCTCTTTAATGCCTGAACAGACTTCCTTCGAAACAAATGCCTTAGCTTTTTGAAAAAAAAAAAAAAAAAAAGCCTTAGCTTTTATCTAAATGTCAGAAAGATTGCAATTGAAGAACATTCTTCTACTAAAATGGGAATTGATTACTCTCTTAAAAAATGATGAGTTCCAAACGACTGCCCTGCCCCTAAAACCCAGTGTGCTCTCATCTTATTGGAAAGCAGTGCTCAAATAAGGGTATCTAAAACAACCTGCACTGGAATTAATGATAGCCTGAGACACAAAGAGCAAAGGTCAAAGAGGCGGCTTCTCCCCCACCAACGCATTTCCCCCATGATATAGTGATTAATTACCCAATTTTATATTCATCAAACCCAGCAATATTACAGAAAAGATACATCCTGATGAATGACTCAGGAAAGATGAGCTGTGATTCTTTGAAGTAAATACACTGTTAAGGAACAGCAACAAAATATACCAGATCTTTAAAAAGAATCCTGAAGATACAGACAGGAGATATGTACACATAACATTACAGATTTTTTTAAATGAGCAACGTGTTAGCTACAATTGTATTATAGCCCAAAATGAAAAGGAAGTCAAGATTTAATAACAAAAAAACTTCCTAATTCCTCAATATTTGAGTTCCTGATTTCTTTTAATCAACTAATTCTTGCTGACATGTCATAAGCAGTTAACTCTTATAAAGCAAATAAATGTGGAAACTATACAAAATATTATTCTATAAGCCAACCCATAGACAACAGCGTTTGCTCTAGAGTGGTACATAGTACAAAGCAGGGGCCCACTGCCTGTTTTTGTAAATAAAGCAATAAAGTTTTATTGGAACACAGCCACAACCATTCATTTACAGGTTATCTATGGCTGCTTTCATGGCACACTGGCAGGGCTGGGTGTTTGCAACAAACACCGTATGAACCATAAAGCCTAAAATGTTTATGCTTTGGCTCTTCACAGAGTTTGCCAATCCCTGGTAAAAAGGGTAAGATAGGTAAAGCTGAAGAAAAACCTTAATTAAAGCATATGCCAATGCACAGATGAAAAACTCCAGAGCACCAAAAGCAAACCCTAGTGTATACTTCACTAAAACATGACTCTTTTTAAACAAAAAACTGGAGCCCAAGCCCTTAATCTTCAACCCCAGCACCTGCCACATCAGCTCACTAAGAGGATACGCAGTGCGTTTACCCTCCTGTGACAGGAATCACCTCTCTCTCTCTCTTCTCCTGTAGCTTCTGCTCCGCCTCTTCTTTCTCTTTTCTCTGCTGTTCTTCCCATTCTTCCTTTAACTTTCTCTTTACAGGAGGGAAAAAGGAAAAGTAATATTTTTTTCAGACTTACTTTTTTATAACATTGCACACACAGGACAAATAAAACAGGTTTTTACAACATTGGTAAAATGGATGCTATCCATTTTTTTTTTAATTCAAGATATATAACTCTTAATGAGTGTTGGGCTAACTGATTAGTCAACTGGTTATCTGATAATACTGTACCTCCTGCTCTTCCTGCCGTTTTCTAGCTGCCTCTTCCTTTTCCTTCTTTATTCTGAATTCTTCCTGTGCCTTCTGCTCCCGCTGTAACCACTCCTCATGTAATTTTTGCCTATAAATGTGATAAGGCAATTAAATAAGAGAAATGGGCATTAATATACAAACACACACACACACACACACACGCAAAAAATGGCATGTTTGGGAAGGATGAAACTATCACGAAAGACATTTTCTAGAAAGCAGTTAAGTGGGAGTAAGAGGGTCAAAAGACGTGAGTAAAGAAAGATCTTAGAAAAAGCACTACACTTACTTCAGCAACTGTTTTTAAGACAATAGCTTAAAACCACTATTTCTACATTTTGTATTTATGACATCTCTCACATAAAACAGTGACACTACAACTGTCCCTGAAGGTTGACCATAGGTGATGTTTACCGGTAGGTGCCAATAAAGTGAGTAACAAGTCTTAAAGCCACATCTAGCTTTTCACATTCAAACTGTATTACCCTTCCTATTCTGCACATTCTGAAAGTGGCAGTGCAGGATTGCAGCAGCAGGGAAAACTGGCATCTTCTGCTATAAGCCTTTGGACCGCTGCTATATACAGTTAAGAGACTCTTGTGGTTTGTCCCATGCACTAAAACAACTGAAAGAAGGAAACTAAAACTAAATCATCATGTCTTTAAAATGAAGAACGTTACAGGTTTTAAGAAAAGGTGACAAGGAGTTATAAAAATAAATTAGCAGGTGTCCAGTTTATTTTAAAAGTGACCTATTATAAAGAGTGATGCTATCTTAAAATGGTGTCTTGTACATCAAACATCACAAGTTTCTAATTTAAAGATGGGTTATGGCTCAAAGGTTTATTAGCCAATTGGGGGTGTTTAGAACCCAAATTGCATTTCCCCATGCATCCTGGAAATGGAAAATGAAATATGAGAAATTACTCTATATCTCTTCAGCAACATTAGGAGTTAAATAAGGTTTTATGTCTAGGGACCTAATCACAATTTCAAATAATCTCTGGGGAAAATATATTCCATTTCCAACTGCAGATTCTAGGAACATGTCTTTTAGCAATGATTGAGATTGGCATACTGCAAATGTTGAAAGTTATACATGGATTTCTGGCTGTGCAGGGAGTTGGTGCCCCCATCTCTCATGTTGTTCAAGGATCAACTGTGTGGCATTAGTGTAACAGAAATCTATAACAACCAGAGTTATCACCGTGCCTCCTATCTGCTAACGCTATTTTAAGTACTATGCATTCACCCCGATTTTACGAGGTAGATACTATGATTGACTTTATCTCTATATTTAAGGCAAAGAAACTGATTCTTAGAGAGATTAAGCAACTTGAACACAACTAGTAAGTAGCAGGGCCAGGACTGGAATACAGATCTGGCTGAATCTACTCCATGTTCCCAAACACTATTACATTTTTTTCTGTTTGGCATTTTGATCAATTCAGCTGTTTATGTGCTTAGATGGGTAACAGGAATTAATTGTAAGAAGCAACATTTCTAATGAACACACTAAATAGTGTCTCTAAAGTTTTTTCTCCTTTTAAAACATTTTTACTTTTTTTATTGTGGCAAAATATACCATAAAAATTTACCATTTTAACCATTTTTAAGTGTACAAGTGAGTAGCATTAAGCACATTCACATTACTGTGTTTAACTTAAACAAAGACAAAACTACCTCCTGAAAGATACTAGAGAAAAACACACACAGTATTTTGTCATTTTGTGACTTTTTAAGTCAGACACCAAGACAAGATAGCATGATGAAAGCTGACAGTTAGGACTGATAACAAATGAGAAAAAATACACATGACACACATGACAGATAAAGAATATTCTTAAATCAAGTAACACTGCTCACACAACAAACTAAAATATATAACAAAAGAGAAATATGCAAGACTTAAGCAATCTATAAATATGTAATAAAACATATAAAAAGATACTCAACCCTACTAATTAAGAAATGTACATCTGAAACAGTGAAATACAACTTTTGACTGCAGGCGTTTATAAAGTTGACAATGCCTAGCGCAAGTGAAGGTATGGGGAGGTAGGCACCTTGACTCACTGTTGGAGGGGCTGCAGACTGCAAACTGGGAAGCCCTTCCTACCTGCCCATCTACACTGTATGTGCATTTATCCTTTGATCGCAACCATTTCATTTCCAGGCATTTTCCTAAGGAAATAACAGGACAGTTACCAAAAATATATATGGTCACTGCAACTTTTTTTTAAAAATCCTAACCAGATATGTTTTTCATGGATTTCAGAGAGAGAGGAAGAGGGATGTGAGAGAAAAACATCAATTGCATTCATATGCTGCCCAAGCAGGATCAAACCCACAACGGAGGTATGTACCCTTGGCAGGGAATCCAACCTGCGACCCTTCAGTGCTCTGGCCAATGATCTAACCACTGAACACACTGGCCAGTGCTTTTTAAAATGCAACTTTTTAAATAATAGTAAAAAATCTGAATGTAAATTAATAGTACGTAGTAAGCAAATGTTAGTTAATAGTAAATTACCTACATGCCCATTAGTAAATTATAAATTGTGAATAAAGAATTATGCTCTATTTATACAATGACTACGTTGCCATTGAATTGGTTGGATTGGATCTCTGCATGAATACTAAATGGCCTATATATTAAGCAAAAAAAGCAATTTACAGGAAACGTATAAATATCGTCCTATTATAGAAATACACGTACACTTTCTCTCTTTACATTCTGTTTTTTAATATTTACCTGAAGATATTTTTAAATTAATTTTTAGAGAGGAAAGAGGGAGAGGCAGAAACAAGGATTGACTGCCTTATGTAGGCACCCTGACCAGGGAGGGATTGAACCCGAACCTGGGTAGGTGCCCTGACTGGTAATCGAACCCATGACCTTCTGGTATACGAGACTATGCTCTAAACAACTCAGCCACACAGGCCAGGGCCTTATTTTTTTTAATTATTATTATTTTTACATTCTTAACAGTGACCATCTTTGGGTGTGTTGAATTCATTTAAAGTCCTTGCACTTTTTTTTTTTTTACACTTCTTAATTGTTTGATTTTTTTTAAACATTTATGAATTAGCAAAAACAGAAAAATACTTCCATTAAAGATATGACAACATCTAGTTATATCAGTTATAGCCTGTTAGCTAGAGATTTAATTATCCAAGGTATTTTATAAGACTTATTTTGGACAGGGACCTAGAAAGAAGACTCATACTCATTAATAAAGACATAATATTCCAATGAAATAACTGGCTTCACAAGCAGTGCTTCAGTCTGTGCTGACCTCTCTGTCTCCAACAGCTTCTCTTCTTGTTCAATAAGAGATTCCTCCTCTTCCTCCTGCTTCTTCTGTGAGAGTCCTGGGGGAATGCGAATGTCTTATTAAACTATCTGAGAACAAAACCTTAGTCAATATTACAGGGAAAAATTCAGATACATTCTTTATTTTTTACCTTTATGGTATGATCCTGTTTTTAAAACTTTCTAATAATAAGGCTCCAACTGCGGTACAATCTGAGCATCAAAACTAACAATATTAGAAGCTGATAACAAATTAAATTTAGAAAGTTTACTGATGGCTTCACAGTGATACTCAAAGAGGTGGTGGGGGTATGGGAGGAAACACATATTTGCAGAAGAATGGACTAATAAATGTAGAAAGACTTAATTAGGAAAGCCATCACTTTTGCAACCCCCACTGTAACAAGTAATTCATATAAAGATGCTAAAAACATCAAGCATCCAATGAAAATTTGCTGTGAAAAGGATTTGCTTCTACCATCTCAAAATATCAGCCCAGAAGTGAATACCAATTACAAAGGGGAAATACTGATTGGCAATAATGACCACAATTACATCACAGGAAGTAGAACCACCTGACATTATAGCCCCCTCCCCCGCTGTCTGCAATGAGAGCATCAGAGAGCATCAGCTTTGTAGTAATTTTGCATAAAGGGTATAACCTGAAGCTAATCAGGAGAAGACAGACTAATCCAGAATGCATGGCTTTTCAAAATAATCAATCTCGGTTTGAGCAAGTTTAAATATGGCCTATAAATCATATCACTGAATTATCATTCCTTCACTTGAGTGCAAATTTAGTATTGTGGTCCTTATTCTTAGGAGATGCAGGCTGACGTATGTAGGGGTCAGTGGTCATGATATCTGCAACTGACATGCAAAGGTTCAGGAAAAAATGTATACGTATGTATCTAATGTTAACCATGGGCAAATCAAGGTGAAGGGTTCATGAATGTTTATGGTAGTTATTTTTAAAAAATATGTTTTTGTTGGTTTCAGAGAAGAAGGAAGAGGGAGAGATAGAAACATCAATGATGACAGAGAATCATTGTTCAGCTGCCTCCTGCACAGCCCCTATGGGGGATCTGCCCCGCAACACGGGCATGTGCCCTGGTCAGGAATCGAATTGTCCAGGTTCATGGGTCAATGCTAAACCACTGAGCCACGACAGCCGGTCATATGGTAGTATTGTTTTTTAACTTTCTGTACATTGGGACATCTTCAAAATGTGAGAATAAACAAGTCATCTTTTCTGTCAAAGAACAGTTTGGACAGCCGCCATGTTGGCCACATGGTTTGCAGCTCCCCTGGGGGCCACCATCTTGAAACAGCAAAGGCCAACTCCTTTCTTTGAATTAGCCGATCGCGAAAGGCTGTGTGCCTGAGCTCCAATCAAGAGTGAGGACAGGTCACATGTGTGTAAGGGACTATAAACCCAAGCAGCCCTCCTGCTCGGTGTGCACGTGCTTCCAGACCATGTGTGCGCATTCTTCTACATAGAAGTAAGTATGTTTGCCCTGCTGCCTGGCTCCCGAGTGTTTTGTATTCTATCAGAACCCCTGACTTGGGGGGCTTGCCTTATTTCTAACAAAAACAAAAACATGGGAAAACAAATTTTACTATAATAAACATATCTTTTCCTATTCAGAATTAAATTTGAGGGGGGAAATGAGGTCATCTAAAGCAAGCTTAAGGAAATGTAACAGGAGATCTCAGGCTTAAGGAAAAAGGTTCTGTGTCTGTCCCACATATTGAGTTTAAGTATAACCCAAAGGTTCACCTTATCCTAGATAATTTACTTTTCGTAAGCAAATAAATTTTATTTTTTCAACACTGAAATTAAAAGAAAGTCGGTAAAAAAAAAATTGGGATAAGTTCTAACTCACATAGAATATCTAATAACACAGATCATTAAATGAACTAATGTACATAAAGGCCTCCCAAAGAACCTGGCACAGAGGCTATGACTGATTGACTTACAGAGGTATGTCCATAGACTAGACATTGCCTGGACACAGCCAATATGCAAAAATATGTTGCCTGATTCACTCAACTCCTCATCATGCCTCAAACCAAGCTCACACACTCCAGGTGATTACTAAGAGTTTTGGGCGTAGCCTTTTTTCTACATGTATGTATCCTTGCATATATTTGATCGTACAATATATCTAACTGTATTATCCATGCAATTATGTATGGAATCATGCCAGTTTTACAACTTGCTGACAAGGCAGTTCATTTCAGGTTATTTTAAGAACTGGGTGCTAAAGAGACTACCTGTAATTGAGAGGCTGACATCCCAGAAATTTCTACCAATCATTTGTCAACTCACTCTTATAGCAATTGTTTAGAATGCTTCTATAATCCAACCTTCTGGGCACTGTTTACCCATCTAACGTGTGCTGCAATGAACAGCCTCTCCACAAAGGCTCACTGTCAACGCACTATGCAAAGTCAAAAAGGATAAAAAAAAATACAACGCAACACAAACAACAGCTATAGGATTTAAAATGATAAAGAAAAAGATTTAAAAGAAGTGTGAGAATAAAACAATAAACAAAGGTAGCTGAGAACTTTAAGGAGATCACTAACAGTGACAATAACTTGAATTACCCTGTTTTTCCTTTTATCCCTGATGCTTTATCCTGCCTCTAGTGGGCCAGTTTTAAATGAATTAAAAAAGGAGGTGCTAACAAAAATTGCAGTTAAACACACTGCCTTTTCCATTCTAAATATTCCAAGCATTGCCTCTAAATCAAGATGTCAAACTTGCAGCCCACGGGCCACATGTGGCCCACAATGAATATTTTTGTGGCTCAGCTAATATAATGGTAAGAAATCCTATATAATGAAAGGCTAATATGCAATTGACTGAATGGCAGAATGACCAGTCGCTATGACGTGCACTGACCACCAGGGAGTAGACACTCAATGCAGGGCTCACGGCTGGCAAGCACAGCAGCTGTGGCAGGAGCCTCTTCTGCCTCTATGGCAATGCTAAGGATGTCTGACTGAAGGCTCCCAGACTGTGAGAGGGAGCAGGCTAGGCTGAGGGAATCCTCCCAAGTGCACAAATTTCATGCACTGGGCCTCTAGTGTTTTAATAAAAATCCCATAACTTAATTTTTACAATATCCTGTTATACACAATAATTAATAATGAACTACAACGTTCGCTAATGACTAATTACTATAATCATGTTGCATTAATTTCCCTTACGTGCCTTACATGCAGGCGCACCACTTCTCTCCACTAATACTAACAACAAATATTTTAGCATCCGATGGCCATGTCATTAATCTTGGATTGACTTGTTTCATGTGTGCAACAGGAAATATTTCACTTTCCAAGAACAAAATAGGTTTGTATGCATTATGCTTATTAATTTTTGCAGCTATTCAGTGTCTGGTAAGTTAATGTTCAAGAAAAAAATACTAATTTTTATTAAAATGTTCTATTATTTTGTTAACAATTATTTATTTCAGCCCTTTGTATTCAGCATGTGTCTATTAAAATAAACCTACGTTTCTATGAAAATGGAAGCTTTTGGGGGTTTTTTGCAGTCCACATAAACTTAAACCTTATTTATTTGGCCTATTAGCCTTTGAGTTTGACATGCTTGCTCTAAATAATTACTAGGCAACTCCAGTGGCAAATAAAACTTCCATGGCTTTATTCCTCAAGCCCAAGAATCCTGGTTACTTGAGGCCAGTGTCTGTGAACTTCACGGATTGTCAGGATAACTTAATAAGCATATTCTGGATAATCTGGATAGCAGCCATCATAGCTCAGTACTCCAGTGTGATTTCAGTGCATCCATCAGCATTTATAACTACTCTTATAATTTTATAATTAAGTTAGTAGCACTAATTTCATTATATTAAACAGACAGGATAATTATATAAATGTTAGATTCCGCCATGTAAAGGACAAATGATATTATGGCCAGTACAGATGAATGTTCCACAGTATTTTAACAGAAAAATAACCATAGGATTAATAGGAGCATTTCAAATTCCAGTCAGTGCCATAATCAGTGCCCCCATCATCTGTAACATCACATTAATGTGGGTGCGATTTTTACTGGATGTGTAATTTCACTTGGTTTTGTGTATATATTATTTATAGTTAAGAGTTACTAACTAGTTTTATGCTTATATATTTCAATAACGTATCAATAACAACTTGAGTCCACAAAGGGTCTCTTACATTACTAAAGTTTGACAAAAACTTGCAAAATATCCAAAATCCTCAACTCCTGCTGTTTTTAAAAATATATATATTTGATTGAATTTTTTACAGAGAGGAAGGGAGAGGGATAGAGAGTTAGAAAACATCGATGAGAGAGAAACATCATCGATCAGCTGCCTCCTGCACACCCCCTTCTGGGAATGTGCCCACAACCAAGGTCCATGCCCTTGACCGGAATCGAACCTGGGACCTTTTAGTCTGCAGGCCGACGCTCTATCCACTGAGCCACACCAGTTAGGGCTACTCCTGCTGGTTTTGCAAGAAAAGTATTCACCGAATACTTAATGCGTGCGAGGGCTGTGCTAGCTGCTGCAGTTCATGTGTGCACCTGTAGTATCAGATAGTTCATAAGTCCCTACACGCAGTCAGTGGGGATTTTCCTCCTCTGCGGCAGGGTAACGTGGTTTCCGACATGACTTGGCTTGGGGAGCAGCAGCCCCAGCCATTCTTACAGACACAGCTCTCAGCATCCTGTGTCAGTGGCAGGTTAGGAGGGCAGGGGGAGAGCCATGTCCTCCGTGCACACAGAACTGGCTAAGAGGCCGGTTACCTGAGTCTCTCAATCGAGCAAGTTCCTGGCGGCGCTTCTTCCGTTTCTCCTTCTTCAGGGCGGCCCTGAACCTTTTGTGGCTGGAAAAGCAGACAGGCACACTCGCCATCAGCGGGGTTCCCCCCTCCTGGGCGCCCCAAGACGGGAAACCCCTCGGCCGCTTGGGGTTGCAAGCTTGCTTCCCGGGTTTTCGTTACGGAACGCGCATGTGCCCTTCCCTCGCCCCTTCCCGCCCGGATGGCAGGTGACCTCCAGCCCGCCACCTGCTCTCCCTGCGGCCCCCTCCCCGGGGCCCCCCCTCCCGCCCCACGTCCGGGACCGGACAGCGCCCAAAAGGGCTGGCGCCGCCGTGGAGGCGCGCCGGCCGGGCCCAGCGCCCGCTCCCTCCCGCCTGCACCCCCTCCGCGCCCAGGCCCGGCCCGCTCCGTCCCCTCTCCCCCCGGCTCACCCCCCTCAGTCCCTCTTACCCTAGTTTGTCCGGAAGCATCACCGCCTGGGGCGCCGCCATGTTGCCCGCGCAGCCACGCCCACAGGAGCCTGCCGGGAAAGGCGCGCTGGAAGAGCGCGCGCCTGCGCAGAACCGCGTGCCCCGCGGCCTCTCGGGAAGGCGGGGCGTACCTCCGCCAGACGCACCCAAGATAGAAAAAGGGAGGTTTCCCAGGGTGGCTTTTCTTCCGAAACCCTGCAAATAAATGTCTCCTAGAGAATCCCAAGTCGGCCTGCAAATATTTCTTCCCTCCTACTGCTCTAGACACCATAAGTGTAATGGGTGTGGCCATGGGGTTAAAGTAACATCTCTTCCTCTTTTTCTCTTCCCCCCCCTTAGCAGCTCGCCTCGTTTCCCAGTCCGACTTCCCAGGCTCCGCCTCCTTCCCCTTTCCACCTATCAGAGCCTGAGACCCAGCGCCAGGCTCACTCCCTTCCATTCACACCAGCGGGATGCAAAGGTGAACCTATGAACCTAACTCTCTGGCCTGGCTTTGTACTTGTCGCTTCCAAGTCAAAGCTCCTGAGCTACCTAATTGCCAAACTGGCCCGGCTTCCCCTAGTTCCTCCTTGGAGTCACCCAACCGAAGCACAAACTCTACAAAAAGCCTGCTCCCTCTTGCAGAGACATTTGTAGTAACACACCTCCAAGTTGGTCTTGTCCATGCATCAGTCATAGAGGCTTGCGAGTTGGATGGGTTAGGAAACTCAAGCCTTGGCTCTCTGAGCTCGAGTAAATTCCTTAATGTCTACTCCTCAGTCTATCTATAAAAATCATGGTGCCTGGCAATAGTTGCTATATCAACACCGGTGTGAAAACTTCCCGACCCCCTCAAGATGGGTTAGGTATTTGCCCTGCCTGTGCTCCCAGCATAGGTATGTCACCTTTTATAACACCTGTCACACTATATTGCACTTTGTTGCTTTCATGAGTCTGCTTCTTGCACTGAATCTTGAACTCCTTGCAGGTAAAGACTTGGCAGTTACATTTGGACACTAGAGAATGCCCTGAGTGATGCAGAATGTACCTATGCAAATCACCATTTTCCTATTTCTTGTGACCAGGACTTATGCTGAAAATGACTGCCATACTGAAAGCATCAGTGTTCAGGTCGCTGTAACATTTCTTATAAATTGCACCAGACTTTCACATACTAACAAGAAGGAATGTCTTCTAGGAAGATACTCCCAATTCCATTTCCAAACTATAGTGACCATCATTAAAAGGATAAATCATAAGATAAAAATAAGGTATGTAAAAATTTAATGCAAGATACATTCTGCTATGATATTCCAATAAATAAAACAAGGTTATCTTTATTCTGCAATATAACATGTTTCCTATTTTCCTTGGTGACTAAAATATATCTACTTATTCTCAAGTATTATATATTTCAGTTTATGCCCCTTCTATGGGAAAATGCCTAAATTTAAAAAATATATTTTATTGATTTTTCACAAAGAGGAAGGGAGAGGGAGAGAGAGAGTTAGAAACATCAATGAGAAACACTGATCAGCTGCCTCCCGCACACTCCCACTGGAGATGTGCCCGCAACCAAGGCACATACCCCTGACCGGAATCGAACCTGGAACCCATCAGTCCACAGGCCAACGCTCTATCCACTGAGCCAAACTGACTAAGGCAAAATGCCTAAATTTTTATTTTATATTGTCAGTAGAAAATAGGTGATTATCTAAAAAATATTTTACTTATATAAATTATGTAGTAGAGAATGCAATTATTAAATGTCTTTGTTAGTATAAAGAGACTAAAGGATAGACCATAAGTATATTTTTTATTTACTGCAAGCATAAAAGGATTGTTAAAAAGTGTCTACTCTGTGAATGCCAGGTTTTTACTCTTTCAATTAGTATTTTTCTTGTTCTAGTAGGACAATGGTATTAGGATTCACTCACTGGTCAATGCAGAAAACCTCAGGAAAGAAAATTTCATTCTTTTTTTTATAAAATATGTTTTTATTGATTTTTAAAGAGGGAGGGAGGGGGATATAGAGATAGAAACATCAATGAGACTGATGACTCCTGCATACCCACAACTGAGGATTGAGCCTGAAACCTGGGTATGTGCCCTGACTGACCGGGAATTGAGCTGGGGACTTCTTGGTTCATGGGTTGACGCTTAACCACTGAGCAGCACTGGCTGGGCAGAAAATTTCATTCTTTGTCTACTATTAATTTCACTATTAAATTTGTTCAAGGACACACAAAAGGGTCTCAAGTCTCTGCAACCCTCATTGCTATGCCAAAGCATGGATATGTATACAGTATGGATATATATAACAATTATATATATATATATATATATATATATATATATATATATATATATATATATATATATATATATAACAATTATCACTGGATAGTTCTCTCCTCCAAAGAAAACTTTAAGTCAGTTTTTACAGATTTAACTGGAAAGAGACTGGCTTCTTCGAAGACTCTTGGAGGCACACTTCAGGACTCACTCAAAGCTGCAGGCTCCAGTCTTATCCCTACAGCCCCAGCGGCCTCCCCAGACCTGCTCTGTGCACCCTGCTCTCAGCCCTGCCCTGCAGCTGTGACATGGAGGGAGTGACCTGGGGCCTTCTCCTTGTGCTGGCAGGCCTGCCTGCCTTGGAAGCCAACGACCTGATTGATAAAGACAGTTCCTTTTCTTACGACTGGGAGACCCTGCAGCTGGGCGGGGTGATCTGCGCTGCGCTCCTCTGCATCGCTGGAATCGTGTTCGCTCTGAGTGGCAAGTGCAAATGCAAGCGCAATTGCAACCTCAGCCCCTTCTCTGAGAAAGCTGTTCCACTCACCACGTCAGGCTCTGCCAGTATCGTCTGAGGGAGGACCAGCTCCGTGGCACCTCCAGAGCCAGCTCCCATGCGGTTGGTTCCCTCCCCACTTGGGGGCCTTAGGCTCCTTCTGATCAGGAGGCTGTTCAAAGCTTATTTCTAAATTAAACTGGTCTCACTCCCCAATAAATAAATAAATAAATAAATAAATAAATAAATAAATCAGTTTTTACAAATCAGCATTTTTCATATTAATATGCATTCATAAGTAGTTTATCTTGCTATTTTAAGTTATAACTGATTATCTCAGATTATAGTTATAACTTAAAATAGCAAGATAAACTACTTATGAATGCATATTAATATGAAAAACGCTGATTTGTAAAAACTGATTAAAAGTTTTCTTTGGAGGAGAGAACCATTCAGTGATAATTGTTATTATTTGAGTCTTTTGTCTAGTGATAAGGTCAAAGCAGCACAACTTCAGGTGGTTTGAGAATGAATGGTGGCAGAATTGATGTCCCCACCTAGAACCCAACCGAAGTATCATTTCTGAAGACTGGTTGAATTAAAAATAATAATAATAATAAAAATGTACATATACTGGCAATGTCTTATCAGTTCTGGCTGCTGTAACAATATACCAGAGATTGGGTGGCTGATAAATCACCACAATTGATTTCTCACAGTTCTAGAGGCTGGGGTATAAGGTCAATGTGCCAATAAGTTTGGTGTCTGTTAAGTGCCTCCTTACTGATTCATAGATAGCCATACTGCCTATGTGTTCTCACATAGTGGAAAGAGTGAGAAAGTTCTCTGGGGACTCCTTTATAAGAGCACTAATCTCATCATGAGGATTCCGCCCTCATGATATAACTACCTCCCAAAGGCCATCACTTTGAGGGTTAGGATTTCAACATATGAACCTTGGATGGGGGCGGGGGTGGGGGCAGGCACAAACAGTTCATAAACACAAGAATACATAACTATATATATGTAAAGTAGCCGGGATTGTTTATATGTACTACTTATATGGTGAAATTAGAGCTTATTCACTTAAATGAACCATCCACTTTGATCAATAATGTTATATATGAACAACTTAACAAAGTTGAATTAAAAATACAATAAAACATTAAGTTAAATAAATATCAGGTAAATAATGCTGTTTTTTTTAGTGACAAAGAAAACTACCCAAAGCAATTAAAATACTGTATTTTTGCTAATATCATGTCCCCCCAAAAGACATCGTCCTAAACTTTTTTGAGGTGGATGCCTGGTTTTAGAATAGCCAACATTACCCTACCCCCGTGGTCGGCAAACCACCGCTCGCGAGCCACATGCGGCTCTTTGGCCCCTTGAGTGTGGCTCTTCCACAAAATACCACGGCCTGGGCGAGTCTATTTTGAAGAAGTGGCGTGAGAAGAAGTTGAAGTTTATTTATTTTTTTAAAATATATTTTATTGATTTTATACAGAGAGGAAGGGAGAGAGACAGAGAGTTTGAAACATCGATGAGAGAGAGTCATCGACCAGCTGCCTCTTGCACACCCCCTACTGGGGATATGCCCGCATCCAAGGTACATGCCCTTGACCGGAATCGAACCCGGGACCCTTCAGTCCCCAAGCCGATGCTCTATCCACTGAGCCAAACCGGTCCGGGCAGAAGTTGAAGTTTAAAAAGTTTGGCTCTCAAAAGAAATGTCAATCGTTGTCCTGTTGATATTTGGCTCTGTTGACTAATGAGTTTGCCGACCACTGCCCTAGCCCCTGTAGCACTGGGAAAGGGGAAAGGGACTGGCAGCTTGCCCCATTGGTGATGTCAGCAGATCATGCCCTGGTTTCATAGAAACAGGTGAGCTGGGGCGGGAGGGGGGGGGGAACAGGCGGTTATTTCCATTCTTGTTTGCTTCACTAGTAAAATCCTTATGAATTTTCCATTCACTTTCTGATCTACATGGTAGGATATCTCACAGATTTTACAGACACATTCTATACTCAAAACAACTAATAGAAATAAAAGCTCATTCAACAAATATTAATATTACAAAGATGGCTTTATTAATCTAGCATCATTTAATGAAGATGAGCAGCAATTCAAATACAAAATTCTTTCTCAAGCCCTTTGACAGATCTTACCCCCTTCGGGGCTCGGAAGGTACCAGTAAAACACTTTCGGAGACATAAAATACATAACATGTTTCCTGATAGGGTGTCTCAGTAGCCAGGGAATCTCTGTTATCTCTTTTGGGGGGCAGATAACTAAGGCATGCATGAAACCACACCCCAGGGCAGTTTCCATAACCTCCTCAGAGAAGGTGACCAAACATGTATTATGCAAACATACATACAGAACTTGGCTGAGAGCGAATAGGGTTCTGTTAATAATTACACCAGAACACGAGGTGTAAGTAAATCAGGAGTTGTAAACAGAGAAACACCCTATAAACACAGAGCTGGGCAAAAGTAGGTTTACAGTTGTTAGGATGCAAAACACTGAGTTTATCTTATATTTAAATTTATTAATTATTGCATTATGTTCCATGCAGACAACTGTAAACCTATTCTTGCCCCACCCTGTATAGTTAACCCTTCAACAATGCAGGGCTTGGAGCACTGTCATCCTTGTACAGTCAAAATCTGTGTATAACTTCTGACTCCCCCAAAACTTAACTACTAATAGCCTATTCTTAACTAGAAGCCTAGCTGATAGCAAACCATTGATTAATACATATTTTGTATATTATATACTGCATTCTTTCAATACAGTAAATGAGAGAAAAGAAAATGTTAAGGCAATCATAAGGAAGAGAAGATATTTCCAGTAGTGTAGGTATTTATTGAAAAAAAATTATGTGTAATTGGACCCACGCATTTCAAATGCAGTTCCAGGGTCAACTGGACACCCTTTGTACCTCTAAGATATAAGGGCAATCAGGTGTTTGATACATTGCTTCTGGCTCCAAGTTGGGAGACTCATAGCAATAGAATTTTGCATTAAGAGTTTGCAAGAGGCCTAGGAGGGAAGCTTGTGTGAGAGGAATAATGCATATCTTGGGTGTTTACCCTTTCGAAGACAACTATGGTTTGAAACAGATCAATTGAGGTAAACACCCCACCCCTCATTTATCTTTTTAAGAAGTACCGTATTTTTCGGACCATAAGACGCACTTTTTTCCCCAGAAGTGGGGGGGAAAAGTCCCTGCGTCTTATGGTCCAAATATAGCCTACACATATATTTTTTAAAAAAAGTTTTTTTACTTGCCCAGCTCTGTGTGGTCTCTGTGTGCTTGCCCGGCTCTAAAATGGTTCTAAATGCTGCTGTTTACTTTACAGGGTTGATTACATGTGTTTATGACTGTGATGTTGGGTTTTAATGCACGTAAAATATTTTAGGACACTATTTGTTTCAGAATCTTTTTTTCTTCATTTCCCTTCTCTAAAAACTGGTGCGTCTTATGGTCCGGAGTGTCTTATGGTCCGAAAAATATGGTATATTCATTTCCCAAGGTATGCTTGCTTCCCTTTCCCAGAAAAGGCATGCATCCTAGAAGCAAATGCCTTCACTGCCCCTTCCAACCTTATTTAGGGCAGATATAGCCCCCTAAGTTTACATATACAACTTCAATTCTACCTTTTCTTCCTACTGAATTACTATTGATTTTTAATTAATAATACACATAGCATAAAAGTTATCATCTTAACTTTTTTCAGTGTATGGCTCAGTAGTGTTAAGCATATTTATCCAACTCTATCTTGCAGACCAGATGACTAGCATATTCATGAAAGAAATACTACTAATGAATGCAATATTGAGTCTGAACACAGGCTTATTGGCCTTTAGAAACATCCCAAGATATTTACAAGCAAGGGCAACAGTGGCATGGATTCCATGGAATGTGTAGAATTACCTAGAGTTTAGCCTGGCTGACAAGTTTCTCCCCCATTACTGTAGCAAAAGTTTTCTATGCCACTGTTTAAGCTGGGAGATTTATTTTGATCATCTGTCTTGCCCAGAACATCAACTAAGGAAATAAAGTCCAGACAGCTTTAAAAGGAAGCTAAGATTGTTTTGTCTTTGTGGAAAAATATTATTGTAGTCTATGAAACAGTGTACAAATAATGCAAAATATTATAAACTATAGGTTATATTACTAGTCATTTGAAAAATACTTCTATAAATATGTCATGAAAGAATTCTAAGTTTGAGGCACTTCAAGCAATTCCTTTAAAATGTTCTACGCTGCATATGCTTTCTATATGACCAGGCCTTTAAGTAAAATATCTGATCTTCAGAAATGCAAAAAGATTTTCAGATATCAGTAAATCTTTGTCTTCCTAGGATTACAAAATATTTTTTCTGTATCACAAATTGACAGTAAGAAAGCAAGCAAATCCTGTACTTGTAAGTTAACTAAAGATCAGAGCAAGTATGCTCAGTGAGAAGGCCTTAAAAAAGAAAATTCATCCATGTTTTGAAATAAAATGTACCTAAAATCATGGCCAATGTTCAGCCAGCAAGTACCAGTTTGTGCCTTACCAGTGGTTCAATATTTTGATTGTCATACCTACTTACAACTGTATATAACCACTAACTGATGATATAAAAAGACAGCTCAAAAATGTCAGACATTAAAAGACATTCTAAAAGCCAACTTGTGTTTCTTGTTGCTACTTCAGTGATAAACATCGTTATCAATAAAAGACTGAAGGAGCACTACTAATACCAAAAAATGCACCTCTATACTTAGTATTAAACGCAGGTGTTTAGAATAGTCTTAGTTAAGTTTTGGAAAACCTATTATGTATTAAAGCAAAACACCACCTACATCTGGGCGTCTTAGGGGCTAGCTTGGCTGGTCGATGGCTTGGATTTTGCTTGTATGTTGAGGATGTAATCATGACGGAAGGATGAGCGGACAGTGCGGTTCATGAGGGGCTGCAGGGGGCGGAAGTTGTCCACCATTCTTTTCTCTTTCTCCCCCTCGGAAGTGAAAAGCAGGGTCCGAAATTGCTCAAGCTAGAAATAGAAACAGGAAGCATAAATAATTTAAATGGAAAAACAGCTTCACCGCATTAATAAATTACTTTCATTTTTATGACTCTGAAACATTCCTCTACAATGGGACACAGCAGAACTTATGCTGGGTAGGAAGGCCTTCAGCATTGGACAGGGAGGAAGATGTGTGGAGAGGAGAGCAGCAGCAGGTGGTGAAACCAGCCGGCCCCTGACCAGTTTGCTCAGTGGATAGAGCTTCAACCTGGGGACTGAAGGGTCCCAAGTTTGATTCCGGTCAAGGGCATGTACCTGGGTTGCAGGCATGTACCTTGGTTGTAGGGGTGTGCAGGAGGCAGCTGATTGATGTTTATCTTTCATCAATGTTTCTAACACTCTATCCCTCTCTCTTCCTCTCTGTAAAAAAAATCAATAAAATATATTTTTAAGAAAAGAAAAAAACCAGCCGGGCACTTGGAACCCAAGGACTACAGGTCCAAGGCCCTGTCCCCCACATATTGGCCATTTGCCAAGAATAAGTTACTTCATCTTTGATTCCAGGAACCTCATCTTGAAATAGTTAAAACAGCAGCTCACTGAATAAAAAAGGAAAGGCCTGGTACATAGAGTAATAGCACCAAAAATGTTTTTGTAGTCTGTTGATTGTTGTTTTTTGTTTTGTTTTTCCTTCAAATTTTAACTGAATTGTTAACACAATGTATCCTTGATTGCTTACCACCCCTGGACACTGGGATGCTCCTTGCTCACACTGTCCAATAGAACTTTCTGAGACCATGGCAAGGTCCTCTGCAGTCCATTAGGGTAGACACAAATCATAGATAGCTTCCGGGCACTTGTACTGTGGCCAGTGTGACTAAGGAAGTGATGTTTTAATTTAATCTTCACTTTAATGGATCCATATTTAAACTTAAATGGCCACATGGGGCTAGTGGCCAATGTATTAGACACAGCAGCTCAGCACAAAAGGAGCAACCCCAACCCCACGAATGTGGCAATAGCATGAATCAGTAGCACCTTGGCTTTCTGGGTAACTATGGGGTGGACTCAACTTCAAGCCAGCCGGAAAACCTATCCACAACCTTTCTCATTATTCTGTCAGGTGCAATACAGCTTGAAGGACAACCTGGGGCATAGTGGAGTTGCAGAGGTAGGATTGGGACCAGAGGCAAGCACCAAAACAGTTACCCTACTTACAAATTACACGTATACCCTCAATAAATAGAAATGTGTCCAAGTAACTAAGGTTATTCTGTTTTGTTTTGTTTTGTTTTTTACAAATTGAAAAGATTAGAAATAGCCCAGACACCATTAGATCTATAAAATGGATTGGTACAAAGCCATTAAAAATAATGCCGAAGATAATGATTATTATCTACAAAGTATTCCACACATCACAGAGTGAAAAGAGCAGCAAAATGGTTCATACAGAATGGTTCCATTTGTTTAAAAAAAAAAAACAAACTACATATATTTATACAGATAAGAAAGCTGAAGGATTTTTCCAAACAATGATTAACACTGAGTGGTTAGGTTATAGGTGACTAGGATTATACCAATAGATGACAGCTCTATCTTTTTGTTTTCTGTTGAAATTTTATTTCCAAAGTCCTCCATATAGGACATTGACCGAATGGTTTCTTTATTTTATTTATTTATTTTTCAGTGTCATGTCAATTTTTAAATATGAAGGATAGTAGCAGGTTAAACGTATAGGCCACCAAGCCCAGGCTTATGGGCAAGATCTACATTTTGCCATTGGTTTTTAATGGATTTCATCACACAGAATTTAAAAAAATACAGTCTTAATTCACTAGTTGCTTTCTTTAAGACTTCTGGTTTTGACATATAATTAGAAAAGCTTCCTCCATTTGGAGATAAAGGGGAGCAGAATTTGTGATTCCAAAATATGCCTTTGGCATAAGGATTATTTTGAGCTGATTATTTTTATTAAAGTGCAGACACAGAGAAAATCTGAAAACCCAGTAGAAGTTACCCTTTTGTATATTTATTTGTTTAAGATGTTCTCTTTTCTTTCTTTTAATATATTTTTACTGATTTCAGAGAGGAGGGTAGAGGGAGGGAGAGAGAAAAACATCAATGATGATAGAGAATCATTAATTAAATAGTTGCCTCCTGCATGTCCTTATTTGGTGATTGAGCCTACAACATGGGTATGTGCCCTGATTGGGAATTGAACCAGTGACCTCTGGATTCATAGGTTGACACTCAACTACTGGGCAACACTGGCTAGGTTATTTTCTAAGTTTTAACTTCTCTTTCTGGTTAATTTGAAGCATTTCCTAATTCATATTTAAATTAGATAAAAAGTTAGCACATCTACCTAATAAAAAAGTAACATGCTAATCGACTGTACCTTCACAACGCCCAGCCAATCAGGAGTGAGTATGCAAATGAACCCAACCAAGATTGTGGTTTAATTTGCATACACAGCCACCGTGCTGCCAGGGGCAGGTGGGATGCTTGCATCATCACCATGGCGATGATGCAGGCATTCTGCACCACTCCAGAAGCTCCTGGCCTCAGAGTAGTGTGGGAAGGCAGAAAGGTGGCTCTGGCCAGAGCGAAGGCAATGCCAGCAGCCAGGGGAAGGAAGGCCCATTTTTGCACGAATCTTTGTGCATCAGGCCTCTAGTTTTAATAAAAATGTATAAGCATTATAAGTTAAAAACGGATCCCAAAGTTTGAGCCCCGGCTTGATTTGAAGAGGAAAACTAGAATTTCCTATACAGAAACATGGAAACAATGTACCTGATCATGATCAACCTCTACAGGCTGCTTCTTAATGATCCAGGTGACAGACTCGGAGAGCGGTGGGGTAGTCAGGGATCCTGAGTAGGTCCAGTAGTCCGGGCAGGTGGGCATCAGGCAGGCAGGGTCGAACGACCCAAATTCCACTATGGTATCCTGGCCAAGAGGAAGGGTCACCAAACTATCATTTCAGGGTGATGACAACCACTCTGGAAAGAGGTGACAAGGCAACAACTCTAGGGGTGTCTGGGGACCAGCCGTGGTCCAGAGGAGCTCCTTCAGACCTGGACTGAATCACCCCCATGGCTGCAATCAACTCTATTTCTGACACTCCTCAGTGGGAACACAGCAGAACCTGTCTTCTGCCTCAATTCTAGTGAGTTTCGGGCAGGTGGTCTCCTCTGAATTCTTGGGGGCATTAGGTGGTGGCTGGTGCACAAATAAGGAGGCTTCCTTTTTCAAGAGATTAATAGTATCCTTTCTAAAATGCAGTGCAAATTAGGAGGAGCCAGGATCCTAGACTCTAAAGGGAGTGAGAAAGAAGAAGGAAGGCAAGGGGGGCGGGGAAGATGGGGAGGGAAAGAGGAAGAGAACAACATAGGGACATCCAGGGAGCAGCCCATTAGGGATTCTGAATATTGAACAGCTGATCTTGGGGCTGGACAAAGGTCTCCATCCTGAAGGAGATGGTAATTGTTATTTAGAGGTGGACAAGCCAAGCTTCTGTCCAACTTTTCTCTGCTTCCTGCCTGAGGGAGGGTAGCTTGAGTCAAGAAGGCAGCTCTAAGTGTGTCCACAAGGACTGAGAGGGAGCAGGTGGCGGGAGCAAGGGGGGGGGGCATCATGTTCCCAAGTCCTCAAAGGCTCAGGGCATGGCAGCAACACCAGTGGCCAGCGCCCACCAAGGAAATCCCTTCTGTACCCTGAGGGCCAGGGGTGCTCTCAACACACCAGCACCATAAGCCAAGCTGTTGTCTAGGAAACTTTCAAAGAGAATCTGAATTACACTGAAATTAATTACATTTCCTAATTCAAAGGGCTTTGTTAGTATTTCCACCCTGAGACTTCAACATAAATATTGTATATTACAAGTGCTTTTGGGGGAAAAAAATATTACCTTATGCTTAATTGATGGTAACGTATCCACCAATTTTTGTAGCTCTTTATGATTTCTCCCTAGCTAAAGAAAAGGCAATGAGGAAATATTAAAAATAATTGGCATCTCACTTTTGAAATTACAACAGAATGTGAATTAAAATTAACCACCTGGTGAGTGTATAAAAGCAAACCAACCATACTACTTAAACTATACTTAAACTGGTAATTGAGAATATTATAAATATCACTGATTAATTAGATGTGGTAGTCCTGCACTGTTGCCCAGCTTTTTACTCTAGAATTAAATTAGAACAGAACAAAAGAGCAGGCTGTTTGCTGACAGGATCAGCATGCCTGCAGGCAAAGGTGCTCCTTCATTTATAAGGTCTGAAATTTAAATTCATTAAAATTAAAAACTGTTCCACAGTCAAAGTAACCACAGTTCTAGTGCTGTTGCCACATGTGGCCTTTGACTACTCTATTGGACCGTGCATTTTTACACCATTTAAAATCCTATATAATAAAAGGCTAATATGCAAATTGACCGAACAGCAGAACAGCCAGTCACTATGACATGCCCTATCCACCGGGGGGCAGATGCTCAATGCAGGAGCTGTCCCCTGGTGGTCAGTGTGCTTCCCACAGGGGGAGTGCCGCTCAGCCAGAAGCACAGCAGCAGTGGTGGGAGCCTCTCCCCCCTCCATGGATGTCTGACTGATGGCTTAGGCCCACTTCCTCTGCATCCCCTGAGAGCTCCCAGACTGAGAGGGTGCAGTCTGGACTTAGGAACTCCCCCTCTGAGAGCACGAATTTCGTGCACCAGGCCTCTAGTACATTCATAATAATCTTGTATTTTAACCATTGTTTGTTTTTATCCCAATATTCTTAGAACTTAGGCATGCAATGTTCTGTCTTTTCATCCTAGAATACTACACATCAATTAAAGTTGGTAACTTTTTCTTACCTTTAAAAATACTCCTATCACAGCCAAACCATTTTCTTCCAGTACTGCATCCTCAAAGTTTTCAAATTTGACTGAATTCCAGTGCACCAGGTGCAGCTGAAACACCATTAAAAGTTGGTTTGACACATGACCACATAGGATCGATAAAAAATAGCCTTATTCAACATGGTATTTTAACATGTTTCCTCACTCATAATAAAGCTACTGGGAAAAGCATACAGAATCAAAAAAAAAAAAAAGAACAAGAACAAATGTATGCAACAGCAGAAATTAATTTGGACCAGAGACATTTATTTGAGGAGGAAAATAAAAGAAAAAAAATAAATAGCAGAGTCAGTAACATTTCAGTGAGGGAGCAACATTTGTCCATTCTCACCCTGATTTGCATGAAACACTCATATCCCAAAACCATTTGCATATACAGGAGAGATGCTTATCTTGAGAGAAATAGATTCTCCTTCTGGGAATGAGATAGGAGTTGAAGACATTTCTTTGAGTGAGAACCAGTTAAAATATGTTTCTTTTAAAGCTAACACAAAACTAAATTAGCAGGGAAATTGTTAGAAGAAATTCTATGTGCTTATGTGTTCTCTATATTCCACTACAAATGATTCCTCATCCATCATTCATGAATGCTTCATTGCCTGGACTCCCAAGTAAGACCCTCAAGGTCATGCTTACCTTCCTTTCCAAATAGGACCCGCCTCAAGTGCTGTTGCTCTTCGGTTAGAAATGCTTATTAAATCTCACTCTTTTTGTCTATTTCTTCATTTAGGTTCCCACCATCTCTCACTTGGATTAATTAGATGTGGTAGTCCTGCACTGTTGCCCAGCTTTTTACTCTAGACTAGGGGTGTCGAACTCAATCAGAGAAGGGGCCAAAATCTAAAATCCAGCCTAAATCACGGGCCGAATGGTTTACTGAACAGTCATAAACTGTCATTGTGATGGAAACGCAGCGGAGTGCAGTGATGACAGCGCGGTGCGGGCCACATTGCAAGGCCTGGCGGGATGGATTTGGCCCGCGGGCCTTGTGTTTGACACATGTGCTCTAGACTGATTTGAATTTAGCTTAGAATTCTGAAAGAAGTCCATTTTGTAATCTTAAGGTTGATCTAAGCTATATTATTTGAGATGAGGGCAATTATTATTTTACATGTAATAATTGGGAATCTAATATGCCCCTGAGAGAGCTACTTAGATTTATAGGAATCACCTGATTCTTCCTGAGAATTTCTTCAAATCGGAAACTCAGAACTATCCCCACCCCTCCGCAGTTGTCACTATTTTTGAGCTTCTCAACATACCTCTGCCGGGTAACATTTGCTGTCCACAGTATGCTCAGAGCCCCAGGCATCGATGGCCCCCCAGTGAAAATGGAACTGCTTCAGTCGATAGTTGTCTTCCAGGGGTCCCCCCTTGATCACTGAAATGACACATCCAACACTTTTAGGGCACAGGTTTGCACCCCGTGGAAGATGGAGGGGAAGGCCGAATCTGTGGGTGAAACTCCTATATGAACTGTCTTAAGTGGAACACAGTGTGTTGTATACAAGTGCTTCTAAACTTAATTTCCATGCAGTTTATACATGTCGAAGGGGGAGATCTGCACTCTGAATGACGCTGAGACTTAACTACAGTCCAAGCTATATACAATTGTTAAAGGCCAATTGTTGACTTATTTTTCATGTTCTACATTTACTGTGCCCAGTTTTTTTGTGGGTATAGTTAAATGTATATTTCTCTTAGCATATATATCCAACCCAATCTCCTAAAACTGAAATATGGGGACAAAAGATATTCTATTTATTTTTTTATGCACTGATACTTGGTTTTTCAGTTTTTCTAGATACCCTTCCCTTTCATTGAAATAGAATGGGAAATTTGCAAGTTAAAAATTATGCCCATACTGGTTTTGCTCAGTGGGTAGAGCATCAGCCTGCAAACTGAAGGGTCCCAGGTTCGATTCTGGTCAAGTGCATGTACCTTGGTTGTGGGCACATCCCCTGTGGGGGGTGTGCAGGAGGCGGCTGATTGATGTTTCTCTCTCATTTATGTTTCTAACTCTCTATCCCTCTCCCTTCCTCTCTGTAAAAAATCAATAAAATTATATTTAAAAAGAATTATCATCCATCTCCCTTTGGACAGAGTGAACAATGTGAGTCATCCACACACTTCACCACTAGGTTCACCATGTTGGATAAATACCTTTTATTTAGATTAATGTTTTCTGAAACTCATGAAATCAATACATTACAGTAGCAAAATATTTGGGTGTGATTTTTTCAAGTCACTCTTCCTCAGTTTTTGGGTGGTGCTAATTTTCTTCTTTTGTTTGAATTTGCTAAATAATTTTATTTCCTCATTTCTTCCACCTAATGAGACCTTGGAGATATCTGTTCATGGTTAAACTAATACAACAACATGAAAACCATCCATCTCTTCTATTGCAATGATCTTTAGCATTTATCGCATCATTTATTGAATTTTATATACACAAATGATTGAGTACAGTGATTCCAAGAACCAAATACACTAGATATGTCATACAATGGTCTTCTATGTATTGTACTGGCTTTTGAAAATATTTTACCTAACTTCCTCTTTAAAAATAAGAAGTTTTGTGAGCAAAGACACCTATAACTTCTTTGGGTGCAGGGAAGTTGAGAATAATACCACATGCTTCACTAAATTAATAGGAAGATGGTACTAAAGTGTACTGATCTATAATAATGAAAGTGTAATATGCTAATTAGACTGGATGTCCTTTCCAGACTCTTCCGGATGATCTTCTGAATGAAGCCGGGCTGCAAGGGAAGCCCGGGTCCCGGGTGCCAGAGGGAAGCTGATGCCAGCAGCCGGGGGAAGGAAGGCCTACCGTGCCTTCCTTCCTTCCTAATACACAACAAATTTGTGCACTAGGCCTCTAGTATAAAAATAAAACATCTCCTCAAAATTCTTATTTTTCTGTGCCATCTCCATATTGTGAGCATGACTTTGGCAAATAATTAACCTAATCTTTTTAATTCAATTGACGTCTGGTCCCAAGTTTAGTGACCAGGGCAGAGGAGACGGTGAGCTTTTCTCTCCTATCCTCAGAAACACACTGGGAAAACTTCCTGGATACTTACGGTGTGTGTCTTCTCCAAAGACAATGAGCAAGGCAGAGAGGAGATGTCACCAATGGGTGGCCTCGAGGGAGCAGAGCAGAACTGGTCTTCAGGTGTGTTTGGAGTCACCCACATAATACTAAAGACATTTTTACATCCCTTGCCAACATTTAAATCTGCATGATTTCACATAAAAATCCACTCTTTCAACTAAACTTGAAAATGAGACGTCCTGACCATGTTGGGCACATGCTTTTACTGGATGACAGTAGGCTGGACTGGAGACATGGTCGCCCCCTTTAGATGGTCCCACCAGTTCTGTCTCCCCACCACACTGTAGCTCCTTAAAGGCAAAACCATCCCCTCTTCCTCTTTCTATTATGAGCACCTGGCACAGTGCCTGACACTTAGGAGATCCTCAATGAAAACAGGAACTAAAAAAAAAACAGACTGTAAAGTGTTCGTTAGTTGAAACATCACTTGTAACCTCAACAAGAGCAAGGAAAATGGTGAAGTCGGGCAGGGCAGATGCGTGGATGAGAAGGGCAAGTACAGTTGGCAAGAAATGGGGCAGAAAATGGGCACAGAAGTTAGTGAATTAGAAAGCAGAGCAGTCATAATATATACCAATGATAAACTTATTTATTTGAGGTTGTTGATATTTCGTTCTTTCTGTGCTCTGAGAAGAGATTAAACATGTAAAAATTAGATAGGAAATATAAAACACCTAGCACAGTGTCACGTAAGCAGCCTATGTAATGTTCACTCCCTTCTATTGCTTTTTAGAAATTTTATCTTTGTTGTTTAAAGTATTACAGATGTCCCCTCCCCTCCCCCATTGACTCTCTCTACCCCACCCCTCCCAGGACTTCCATACTATTGTCTGTATCCATTGAGTTATACATATATGTATAAAAGTTCTTTGGTTAATCTTTTCCTGCCCCTTCCTCCCCAAAGTAGAGGTGAGGGAGGTAACAGAGAAAGGGATGGTGAAGGAGAAGATAATACACAAGCCCCATACAAATAAAAGGAAATGCAGAATGGGCAGGAAACTTTTTGGGGCGATGGAAATGCTCTAAAATGGGATTGTAATAACGGCTCCACCACTCTGCAAATTTACTAAGAACTACTATTTTGTTTTTCCAAAAAAGTAGATGTAGGACCACAAATACGGAAGGAGAACTTAGATTCATTGGTGATGCTCCTGAAAGTGTCAAGTAAGTGAAGCCCAATGGGGCAGAAAGCATCCTTAGGAGAACAACCGAACTCAACTCTTGCTCTTTAATGCCTGATATTGCTGACGAGAGTAATTTCAGTGAAGGTGATAATTTATAGGAATCTTCTACAGGACTCAGTAAAGATATAATTCAGTGCCCTTCCCCACAATATTTTGCATCTCTCATATGCACTCATTAAAATCAATAACTGTTCTATTCAGGGGAGCCAAGCAAAACAATATTCAGCAGAGGACAGTGGTATGAAACACAACCTTTCTCTTACCCTTTTAATTTCTGTAAGGCTGATCGTGATGTGGTATCCCCTCTCTCATTCCTGAGTTTAGTCGTTTGAGCCTTCCCTTACTTTTCCCCATTGGTCTACCGAGCCAAACATTTGTCAATTGTTGAACTTTCCGAAAAAACCAACTTCTGATTTCACTGATTTCCGCTCTTTATCATGACCTTTCGGTTTACTTTCGGTTTAGTTTGTTATCCTCTCTCTAGTTTCTTAAGGGAGAAGAGTAGGTTATTAATTTGAGAAATTTCTTCCCCAATCCAGGCATTTTCATTTATAAATTTCTCTCTAAGCACTGCTTTTGCTGCATCCCATAAGGTTTGGTATATTTTGTTTTTGTCACATACCTTCCCCAGCTTGGTCCCTTGCACACTTTATCCTCATTTCTTTGTAAATCACACCGTGGCAGCATTTCCTAGGTTTTTTTTCTGGGAAATTTATAGACATTAGTATTGATTAGATCCTTTATTTTCTAGAATTAGAGTTGTTCCACGCCTTCCTTCCTTTCTAGGATGTCTTTGCTTTCTTTTAATTTTCTTTATTTTTTGTGTTCATTCATTCTTTCTTCCTCTTTGAATGTTATTGATTATTTGGAAACAGCAAGGAGAAAGAGCAGTGAAGAATAAGCAGGAGATAGGAGGTAGTCACTGAAATGTGGAAAAGAGATAGAGTTAGGCACTTATTAAAGATTTATGATATCTGAAAGAAAATAATTATTAAAGCACAATGAAAAGGAGTTACCTATTTTAGTCCTTCCTGACAAAACAAGTGGAAAATTAGCCACCTCCTTACAAACTTTCTTGCATTTTGTAAAAAGAGTGTGAAACTGACTCACTAGGGAAGGAATGACTCAGTTTGTTGTGTTGGTAGGTATCTAGAGAGCTATTATGAGGAAAATGTTTTTTCCCCATATAAGATTGCCCATGCAAATAGGTGGATGAAAATTCTTGGGACTATTGTTCAAATGAGAAAAAGCATGATTGAAAAATAAAACAAAAAGCCCAGCCAGTGTGGCTCAATGGTTGAGCATTGGCCCTTGAACTAGGAGGTCAATATATTATAGTCTCCCAGTTGAGGTGGCATACTCTAAATGTAAGAAGGAAGACACTGATGAATCTGGAGAAAAGGAGTAGTTTCTAGCTTGAGAAATGTAATTAAGATATTTAGGGTTTGGGGTCATGTAATACCAGGGGGAGAAAGAAAAAATGGGATACAACATAGAGACACTTAAGCCCTTCAGGACAGACTAGAATACTTTCTGAATCACAGCAAAGAAGTATGGCAGAGTGAAGAGAACCAGAGAGAGATGAGCCCATTGCAGGATCAGTCTGTTTGAGTTGGTCAGAGGGCCATGTCTAGGTATCAGAGCATCGCTAGAAAAAGGCAAAGAAACCCAAGGTACGGTTGAGAATCCTAGAGCCAGGATAAACACAGGAGTGAACACTGTATTTATGTTTTACGTTATGCTTTTACTTCATTTATGAGCTTTCACAGACTCATTTCTTCATATTCAGAAGAGGAAATTAATTTTCTTTAAATCAGGATTTCTCTGTCTCAGCTCTGTTGATATTTGAAGCTGGAAAACTCTTCATGAATGCTATCCTGCCCATTATATGATATTTAGCAGCATTGCTGGCCTCAACCCACTAGATGTCAGTCACACCACCACCCTCCAGTTATGACGACAAATGCCTACAGTCCCTGGGGAAAAAATAGGTGGCAAAATTGCCACAGGTTGATAACCTCTCTTTAAAAAGACACGCTATTTCAAATAATAATTATTTCAATGTATTTTGGACTATATGATACCATCAAATTGGGCTTGGAAAGGAAAAGAAAAACAAAACCTGTATAGAATTCATCACACTCTAAAGTTTCAGGGAAACTTTGAAATCATTCAGATTAATTTATATCTGACTAAGAGGAAAAAAAAGATTCAAGTGCAATATAATGTTTTAATTTTAAAATCTGTTAAAACTGTGCTTTTTGTCTGGCCGGTGTGGCTTAGTGGTTGAGTGTTGACCTATGAACCAAGAAGTCACCAGTTTAATTTCCAGTCAGGGCCCAATCCTAGTAGGGGGCATGCAGGAGGCAGCTGATTGATGTGTCTCTCTCATTGATGTTTCTATCTCTCCTCCTCTCTCTAAAAAAAATCAATAAAAACACATTAAAAATAAAAAAATAAAAGTGTGTTTCTTTTAGGTAACATTGCTTAACTAACAAAATTAACAGACTGTGAGTTTCCATTTTTCTAATATACTACTAACTTTAGTTGTTAAGACTAAAACCTCATGCACACATGAATATTATTTTCACCATTTCAGAGGCATTAAAACCTAATCAGTTAAATCTAATTAAATAGTGTTACTATTGATATAAAAGTATCTTATAAAGTCAACAAGTAGAGGAAATTAGTACATATTCATAAACCCTACAAAATAAATTTTGGACACAGCTTTTAATTTCACACCCTATCTTCTATATCAGTTATAAATCTATACTTAGAAATAGGTTTATTTAGTAATAAAAATATTACCTATACTAGAAGAAAATATGCATAAAAACTTACATTGACAAAGTAAGTCCAGTGTGTGCCATCATTGCTAACAAAAGGGGTCGTGCTTCCATGGAGACAGTGTGATTCAGCCTGTGCCCATATGAAACTGTGCCTTTAACTCCAGGTGACACTACCAGTCTGGCTCTCACCTGATTTATCTGTAGAATCTTCAAATTCCACAAGGAAAGAGTATCCGTTATTCCAGAGGTGTAGACAGGTGGTCGGGTCATAAGAGATGGTGAGTGGTTTTAAGTCAGGATCGTAGACACTATCCCTCCACCGGATGTTGATGGGCGACTGGCGCTCGCCCCCCGGGGCCAGGTCCATTCTTTCCCAGAGAGGGTGTACTAGGAGAAAGCACATGGGGACTGCCATCAGGATGTCCCTTATCTGGGATCACACGTCAGGCGGTTCTCTTTGTGGAGATCCTGTTGAAGCTAATGGAAACGAGAAGTCTCAAGACTTAGCCATTTAGGAGCTTCATGGACTGACGAAAGCAGAAGACATGGACATGGACATGGGCAGGTCAGAGAGTCCTTTGCAGAGGAGCAGCCTCTGGTGTCTTGTCAAACTGCAGCCTCTCAGCGCACCTTCTAATTCCACTTAAACGAAGTGCAACATAGTCTTATGATAACACGAAAAATGCATGGAGATTAGAATTGATAATTTCCTGGGCTCCACCTGCTAAACTAAGTGTGTGTGTGTGTTTTTTTTTTTTAAGGGATATGCCCATTTTACTTGTATTTTTAAATTTCTATTGAATTTATTGAGGTGACATTGATTAATAAAATTACATGGATTTCAGGTGTACAGTTTTATAGTACACTAGAGGCCCGATGCACAAAATTCATGCATGTGTAGAGTCCCTCGGCCTGGCCACCAATAAGGGCCAATCTGTGGGGTGAACAGCGGGGCAATCAGGGGAGTCTCCCCAGTGGCACCTGCCTTGGCTGGCCTGGTGCCGCCTGCTTGCCAGTCCTGCCCCCACTGCTGCCGATCGTCTACCTCTGCAGGGTAAGCAGCAGGGACTTCAGAGGCCCCTGCTGGCACCCACCTTGGCTGGCCTGGGGCCTGCAGGCTGGGGACAGCTCCTGCATTGACCATCTGCCCCCTGGTGGTCAGTGCTCTAGTGACCAGTGGCTCTACCAGTAGTTCTGCCATTTGGTCAAGTTGCATATTAAGCTTTTATTATATAGGATTATCTGCATATTGTATTATATATTCACTACCCAAAGTCAAGTCTCCTTTCATCACGGTCACCATTTTTATCCCCCCTTTACCCTCTTCTACCCCCCCCCCCCCACACACACACCTCTTTCCCTCTGGTAATCACCATATTGTTATCTATGTCTATAAGTTGTTGTTTTTTTTGTTTTTGTTTTTCTTACAAAATAGAAACAGGCTCATAGATACAGAGAACAGACTGCTAAACTAGTTTTAAACACAGGATCATATTAATGTAATTTTCAATAACGCACATATTCAACCAAGTAAATGGGAAAAGAGGAGAAAAATTTTTGGAAAGCAAATGTTCAGTCAACTGCTCTACAGCAGCGGTTCTCAACCTGTGGGAAAAATAAAGCACAATGGTTACCCAAGCAATACAAAAAGGCAGGAGGAGGATGTCTCAGAGGTATTGTACAAATGGTAGCCACTGCCAAGCAGTAACAGATAAAGAAAACCAAACATTCTCATGTTTCCATGGCACCCAGGGCTCCTCTGCAGGCCTGTGACAATAGTCTTCTTAAAGGGCCAGAGTCAGGGAGCAGGTCTTCAAGAGCTGAAGTATTGCCCTGGCTGGTGTGGCTCAGTGGATAGAGCATTGGCCTGGGGACTGAAGGTCCCGGTTTCTATTCTGGTCAAGGGCACATGCCTGGGTTGTGAGCTGGATCCCCAGTGTGGGGCATTCAGGAAGCAGCCAATCCATGATTTTTTGTCATCATTGATATTTCTCTCTTCATCTCTCTCTAAAATCAATAAAAAAATATTTTTAAAAGAGAAATCTTATATAAATGAAGGAAGGAAGGATGGATGAAAGGCAAGAAGGAAAGAAAAAGCAAGGAAGCAGTGAAGGATGGGAGGAAGGAAGAAAGGAAGGAAAGAAGGAAGCAAGGGAGGAAGAGAGGGAGAGAGGGAAGAAAGGGAAGGGAAGGGAAGGGAAGAGAAGGGAAGGGAAGGGAAGAGAAGGGAAGGGAAGGGAAGGGAGGGGAAGGAAAGAGAGGGGAAGGAAGGAGAGGGGAGAGGGGAGGGGGAGGGGGAGGGGAAGGGAAGGGAAAGGAAGGGAAGGGAAGGAAACATTCTTCTTTCTGAGGTAGCTGTCCAAAGCTGGGAGTGCAAGATCTTAACCTTGTCGTTTTGGGTAAATGTACCCCAGCAGTACAGACATAAAGCTCCCCTGGCAATTTCTAGGCCAGTAGTTCTCAACAGAGTAATTCTGCCCCCAGGGGATATGTGTCAGTGTCACACTGACTCTAGAGACATTTTTCATTGTTGTAACTGGAGGAGGGTGCTACTGACATCTAGTGGGCGGAGGCCTAGGATGCAGCTAAACATCACACAATGCATAGATTATCAGACCCTGGATTTCAACAATGCCGAAGTAGAGAAATCTTGGTGTAGAGCTGAAAGCAAAGACAAACTCAAAGTATTCTTCTTCTTCTTTCTATTTTTTCATATAATGCAGTGCTCTCACCTGTAGAGAGGTCTGAAATCAATGTTTTGGGTTTCTCAGTTAATAGAAAAGAACTTGTGAAAAACAGAACTTTCTGTTTCAGGAATCTAAAATGGAAAATGTATATGAATTGGTATAATATACTCATATTATAATTGGATTAGAATGCAAAATCCTTGAAGGTAGGAGCCATATCTTCCTCCTTTTTTTTTTTTGTCTTGTAGTGCCGTATCTGATATACACCTTTTAATTTTAGTATTGAACTGCTATTGTTGGGATAAACAACTGCATTTGATTTTGTGATGTTTTTAAACTTCTAGAAATACCTCTGAGATATTCAGACTTGTGGCTGGAGACTTGAGAATTCACACTTATTGTATATCAGTTTTGTGTGATTTAAAATCTGTTCATGACAAAAATTAAAGTTGTTTTTAAGAGTGAAATTGTTCTGATCTAAGAATGAAGTTGTTTCGATACGAGTGATGTAAACTGAGTCAGGATATCATCTCATTTGTTCTCATTGATAACTACTCAGTAGCTCAGCTGCTGAGGGGCACTACAGGGGCTTATCCATAGCAGTATATGAAGAGACAACTACAGCAAGGGGACATCTATAATAATAAAAGTGCAATATGCTAATTAGACCGGATAGCCAAATGTCCTTCCGGTTGACCTTCTGGATGAAGCTGGGGTTGCAAGGGCTGGCCAAGGTGAGCCATGGTGGCTGCGAGGGCCGAGCCCCTTGCACTAATTTTGTGCATTGGGCCTCTAGTTCAGACTATGAATACTAAGAGTTTGTGAGGACTACTGAGAATGTTTGGTCTGGGCAATGTGGTCTGTTGGGCTGTTTCAGGGAATTACCCGGTTTTCCTGGGTTTCTCCAATGTATACAGGAGGTATCCATGTTATTTTTTTTAAGAAATTATGTTTTTTATATTTTTTCTTTTCTATGCATTTATAACATAATTCACTTCAATCACAGAATACTTTTCTCCCCAATGCCACAAACTGTGTCACAAATGAAGCTGTTGCTGCTGCTTATCAAAATGTACAAGACAACTGATGCTTTTTATAAATCCACATTATATGTTAACTTGTTCCTCGAACTCCCTCGCCTCCCCCCTTTTGGCCTGGTATACATGTTATTAAAATTCTGTTTGTTTTCCTTTGATTAGTTTCTCCTTTATTGGAGCAGGAGACAATAATTCAGAAGGGAAGAATAAAAATAATTTGTCCTCCCCTACACATACAAGTGTTATGTGCTTCCCCTGCTGCTCTGCAAATCAGAACTCAGCTGGCTTTCTATCAGTTGTGGATGAAGGAATATAATGAAGAACATAACTGGGAGGTCTCATTCTTTTAAAAAAAATATATATATTTTATTGATTTTTCACAGAGTGGAAGGGAGAGGGATAGAGAGCCAGAAACATTGATGAGAAAGAAACATTGACCAGCTACCTCCTGTACCCCCCCCCCTACTGGGGATGTGCCCGCAACCAATGCACATGCCCCTGACCGGAATTGAACCTGGGACCTTTCAGTCCACAGGCCGATGCTCTATCCACTCAGCCAAACTGGTTTCGGATCTTTTTTTTTTTTAATCTATATATTTCATACTAGAGGCCCGGTGCATGAATTCATGCACAGGTAAGATCCTTAAGCCTAGCCAGCGATCAGGACCTATCAGGTCCTTCCAGCTGCCAGGCAGGGCCTTCCTTCTGGCTGCTGGCTGGGGCCTCCCTTCCACGGCTGTCAGCTGCCAGGCCGGGCCTTCCTTCATTCTGTGATGCCCCTGGTGAAGAGTGCCTGTTATAATGAGTGATTGGTCTCCCAATCAAACTTCCATACAGACAATTTGCATATTAGGCATATATAAATGTGTGGATAGATAGATAAATAGATTACCCTACTGAACACATTATTATTAATATATTTTTAATATATTTTATTGATTCTTTACAAAGAGGAAAGGAGAGGGATAGTTAGAAACATCGATGAGAGAGAATCATCGATCAGCTGCCTCTTGCACACCTCCTACTGGGGATGTGCCTGCAACCCAGGTACATGCCCTTGACCGGAATAGAACCCTGGACCTCTCAGTCCACAGGCTGATGCTCTATCCACTGAGCCAAACCGATTTTAGCCACATTATTTTTTAAAGAATATTTTAGGTTTACCTCTTTCTTGCTTCACCCATGACCACCAGCCTAGTTCCAGTCTCTATAGCCCAGACTTCATACCATGTTCTTGGTTGCTTTGCCTCCTCTCTCACTCTCCTCTACTCCATCTTCCCAAACTCCAGTCTTGACATTTTCTCCAACCACTCTGACCTTTCTTCTGCTGAACTCGCCCTGCATTCACCCTCACACCACTTAGCACCTAACCATGTCTCACGCATGTGCCTTTACTTTATCTGCTCAAGGGGCCCGTGCCAACTCTAAGCTGTACTTTTGTTGCAGGCCCAGGGCTAAACTTGGTACCAGGCACAAAAGAGGCACTTAATGCTTACCTTACTGATAGGGAAAACCAAACAAGTTGATACCAACGCTCTAGCCTTACCTCTCACCCATAGTCTCTTCAACCAGGCAAGCAGCTATACCCAGAACACCTCCTGCATCCACATGATCACAACGGCCTGGTTTTTTTCTCATCTGTGAAAATCCTACTGGCCCTCAAGGTCAGTTCAAACCCCTTCCCTGATAGCTGCACATTACACTAAGCATCCTCTCATCTACTGTTATTCCTAGGCAACTGCTCTCCGAACCTGCACTGTCCAACATGGTACCCACGCACCCAGGGTGACTAGTTGAAATTGAATTGTGCTATAAATGTAACTTTTGAGGGACCTTGAAGACTTATGTTGTTTGCAAATATATTTCAAACAAAAGCAAAATATTTCATTTATAACCCTTATATTCATCTTACTTTAAAGTGATAATATTTTGGATATATTACATTAAATAAAATAGATTAGTCATATTTATTTCACTTATATACTATAATTCATCTATATTTTCTATATTAGAATTACAAAAATGAACAAAATTTACCTCCCCCAGTTTTATTGAGATGCAATTGACATACTATTCATTCATTTTTTAAAAAAATATTTTTTATTGATTTTTTACAGAGAGGCAGGGAGAGGGAGAGCTAGAAACATCGATGAGAGAGAAACATCAATCAGCTGCCTCCTGCACACCCCCCACTGGGGATGTGGCCGCAACCACATGCCCTTGACCGGAATTGAACCCAGGATCCCTGAGTCCACAGGCATATGCTCTATCCACTGAGCCAAACCGGTTCAGGCTATTCGTTCATTTTTAAGTGTGATTATTAGAAAAGATGGAATTGCTTACATAGCTCATTTTTGTGGTTCACTTTATTTAACTACTAGCTAGCGTTAGGGACTTATACTTTTCAACTTTCTGTTAAAAAAGTAAAACTTTATTGCCTAGATAAATATTTTTTTTCCACTTTAAGCCTCAAAGTGCCAGTGTTGAGAATAAGCCAGTCTGGGTAGGATGTGGGGCTGGTGGTAGGAAGCCACACCCAGCAGCCAGAAAGGCATTATAACAGTTTATTTTAATGAGAACGTGGTCAATGTGAGAGGAAATAAAATATATTGTACTTTCAATAAAAATATATTTGTGGAGCAGTTTCAAGTCCTTGGCTTTAGCTAGATTATCATTCCTAATTTACAAGCATTCATTTCTTACCTATGCTTTTATTACGTGCAAATGGGATCAGAAGAGATTAAACCCAAAGAGAAAAAATAGGGAAAACTTGATTTAGAAGCAAGCCAATATTTCACAACTCTGAGTCAAACCCTTTAAACTAATGGAAAATAGGAAAAACACCTCTTCAAGGATATATTTATCCATTGAATCACTCTACAAACTCAAACTCATCTCTCCACAGATACAAAGTTTATCCTCTCCTATCATTTCTTAACCAGAGGCAATTTTGTCCCTTAGCGCTCATTTGGTAACGTGTGCAGACATATTTGGTTGTTGCAACTGGTCAGGGACATTGCAGCCATCTAGTGGGCAGAGGCCAGGGATGCCATCCAACATCTTACGGTGCACAGGACAGCCCCTGACAACACAGAATGACCACCCCCATGTCCGTGGTGCTGCAGTGGAGAATCCCTGCCCCATAGAGATGTAGATGGTAACTGGTCTTTTGGCACGGGGATTGGACGTGAGAGGTTTTAGCAGAGACCACCTGCTGCCTCACTTGATCTGCTATGTTTACAGAAGAACATACATTCAACAAGCTGGTCAGCTAGAAGCAACCACAGTGCGTAACTCAGGAAAGAATATTCCAGGGTGTGATGCTACTGTTTTGAACTGCTGGCAAACATTCACATGCATCTCCTAGAATGTTCAGATCCACAGAAATCATTCGCAGTCTGTGAGCAACCTTAATAATAATAATAATAATAATAATAATAATAATAATAATAATAAACAATAGCTGCCCTAGCCAGTTTGGCTCAGTGGATAGAGTGTCAGCCTGCAGACTGAAGGGTACTGGGTTTGATTCCAATCAAGGGCACATGTCCAGGTTACGGGCTCAATCCCCAGTAAGGGGGCGTGTGCAGAAGGCAGCCGATCAATTATTCTCTCTCATCATTGATGTTTCTATTTCTCTCTCCCTCTTCCTTCCTCCCTGAAATCAACAAAAAAATATATTTTTAAAAAGACAGTTTGCTAACAAGAAACAATAAAGAACAGGTTTCAAAATATTTGAACTGGAATCTTGCCCTTGTCCCATTTCTGTAGGACATCATTTGAGCATGTTCAAACTGATCACGAAAGGGACTTTCTAAACCTTACTGAAGTAATCATTTTGCAATATACATGTGTATCAAATTACCACGTGGTACACCTTAGGCTTACACGTGTTATGTGTCAATTATATCTCAGTAAAGCTGGGGTAAAAAGAACTTTCGACATTCCTTTCAGAGGACAGATAAACAAGTAATTATATATAACCCACTCTGGAATGCCACTGACATCCCATCCACAGATCTTTAACATGCGTGACTGTTATGAAACAAGCATCCTGCTCTCCTTAAGGTAGCAGGGTACTCACAGGCTCGGTTCCGGGTTTTGTAAGTGCAGGTGTAGAGGCTGCAGGGCCTCACTGGTGTGGATCTCAGAATTTGGCATCTTCTCCACAGAAATTTGCATAGAGAGGCCTGAAGAATGACCCTCAGGCTACTCATCGCCACCATCTTTGGCTGGAACTCTTGGGCAGTTTGCAAGGAACTTGCAGGAACCTAATAACCCAGAGGCAGGAGGAGAGAGGAGGAAAAGCTGTTAATAGTCAAGATCTAGGACCATATGGAATCCCCTAAGTAAGAGGGCAACATCCAGACTATCACTACACACGATGGGGTGAGAGAAACCCGAACTTAGAGTCAACAGGATCTGGATGACTAAGTCAGGCACCCTGCCTTTCCTTAGAGATTGGCAAATATTAGAGGTCCAGAGAAACTATCCTCTTTAACCACAAGAATGAATAGACTGTTAACAGTAGAGTTCTTAAAATTGAAAAAGATACTTCTTGAAACCCAAATTGTCTAGGAGGATAGCTATATATATAAAAGCCTAATGTGCAAATTGCTTGACAAGGAGTTTGACCAGGAGTTTCACCACTTGCTATGACGTGCGCTGACCATCAGGAGGTGGCACAGAACATGGCAGGTGTCAGTGAGTGACGTGGCCAGATGGTGGAGCAGGTAAGTGGGCATTGCCAGACCAAGGTGGGTGTGAGCAGGGGCCTAATGGCCCTGCCAATTGCCCCGCAGACAGTGACCAACAGCCAGGGGCAAAGCCTCCACCCAGTTCCCAGCACTTAGGGAGCCAGGCAGGGGAATGGTGGAGCAGGTGAGGTGGTGGTGCCAGGCCACAGCAGGGTGCCAGGAGGGGCTGCAGATAGGGGCGTGAGCTGGGGCTTGGAGCCTGGGGGTGCAATCTGGGGCCCGATCTCCACAGGCCACCCCGAGGGACCCCACCCATGCATGAATTCATGGGGCCTTTACTTTATATATAAGAAGTAACCAAAGATGAAGGCTCCCTCTAGGCAGGCTAAATTTTTATTATTATTATTATTATTATTATTATTATTATATATATATTTAAACTATATTTTATTGATTTTGTACAGAGAGGGAGAGAGATAGAGAGTTAGAAACATCGATGAGAGAGAATCATCGATCAGCCGCCTCTTGCACACCCCCTACTGGGGATATGCCCGCAACCAAGGTACATGCCCTTGATCGGAATCGAACCCGGGTCCTTCAGTCCCCAAGCCGACGCTCTATCCATTGAGCCAAACCGGTTTCGGCAGGCTAAATTTTTTTTAAAAAAATTAGTCTGCATCTGGATTGCTTAAAAACAACAATCCAAGATACATCCTGCCAAAATAGTCAGGACTGGTTTTGAAATCCAAGCTTAAATATAACCAGTGACTGCCAATTTTATAGATGTAGCAATATTTTCCTTGGTTAGTTGGAAAATGCAGAAGATTCATCCTAAACTAACCTACAAGTAGATTCAATCTGAATATTGTTTTATGACTGCACTGATGACCTCTCTACCTCTCCCATATTCATAGTTGAGAGTCTCAGAAGACTATGCTTTCCAAGGCATTCACCACAGTGTTCTGAAATTATGGTAATGTTAACTTTGAATGCTTCTTCCCCACTCTCCACCCAATATTGCTTCATCCATTTTTCTCAAAACTTCTATCTCTGTACCAAGAAAGCAAACAAGGTAAAAAATGGGGGGGGGGGGGAATGATCCTTGATTATATATTCACTCTACTATAGAATTGAAAGTGTTTAGAGTAATTACTTGAGATGCATTCAGACAACTATTCAGACACCATTTGAGCAACAATGAGTATGGTTTGGCTGCACAGCTGAATGCTCTAGCCCTGATGACCTCTCAACCTCATGTCCAGTTCACACTCTTGTCTGCACACCAGCCACATGGACTTTGGTTTTTTCCAACTCCTGATGCTCCCTCTAGCCTCAGAGTTTATGTAGATGCTCCTCCTTCCATAGACCATCTCACTGCCCCTGTGGCTCGTTAACTCCTATCCACCCTTTAATGACCACATCCACCGTCACCTCCTAAAACCCTCCCTTGACTGTGGCCTCTCTTGATGATCCCAGAGCCCTTTTGTTCTTGGCCACAGTTGAATTAAATACCTCACCAGGACTGAAATGTATGACTATTTTCACAGTATCTAAGCCCCATGGTGGTAGAGAATATCTGTATCTGAGTCACACGTGCATCTCTTAGGGCCACAGTGTCTGGCACATGATGGCTACCTGATGATCTAAAGAGGGAAAGACCTTGATCCTAATTTCAAGAACTGAGAACAGTGAAGTGGCTGCTAGTATGAAGGGATTTTTCCTTTTCCTACACGTCACTTCACACGTTTGCAGATTTATTTATACACTTTGAAATGTATAAATAAATGTATTTACATACACTTATGAAAAAACACTTTAAAATGTTTAAGCGGAGGGTCTCATATCCCTTCCTATAAGATAGGAAGGACCCCCGAAGTTCTGCCTGATCTGTAAAGGAACTATTGAACCCAACCTGGTGTTACAGAGATGGAAATTGTGCCAGTAATCACTTTCATTGAGACATTTATTATAAATTCCTTTGCCCCAGGCACCATGTTTGGGGCTGAGATGCAAAGAGAAACAAGACATGAACTCTAGCTTTCAGATGTGCAATGTCTCCTCCTATGAGCTTCTTGACATGCACATCCCATGGGAAGGAAAATACACACCAACCCAGTTCTCAGCAGGTGTTAGTGCTCCTCAGATTCTGCCCTCAGCCTATTGGAGGCCTCTAAACAGTTTGGCAATGCCAGGAGAGGACAGCTGCCAAAAGGCATGAAAAAGAGAAGCCACTAAAGACACACATCCCTTACAGACTTGAATTTTATTGTTCACACTGTCTTTCCAACAAGAGTAAGATTTTTTTAAAAAAGCACGTTAGGATCCTCAGGGATGCAGAGAAAGGAGGCACCTGTCCTGATTTCACTGTCCCCTCTTCATGTACCTCATTGCTGTTTACTGGCTGTGAACTAGCTCTTCTACCCTTGACTCCACCAGATCTGAGCTAGAGGGGAGAAGGATAAACCCATGGGAACCGTGAGGTGTGTCCAGTGAAGGCATATGTACCCTGAAAGGAACAACTGATGGCTCAAAGCAGAATTCTTATTAACTAGAGGTCCGGTGCATGAAATTCATGCATGGGGGTGTGTGTCCCTCAGCCCAGCCTGCACCCTCTCCAATCTGGGACCTCTCGAAGGATGTCTGACTGCCTGTTTAGGCTGGATCCCGGTGGGATCACCCCTAGCTGCCCTCCTCTGCAGGCCTGGTCCCTCCCAAATGCTCTCCCTTGCTGGCTGATTGCCCACAGCTGCCCTCTCTTGCAGGCCTGGTCCCTCCCAACTCCCCCCCTACTGGCCATCTTGTGGCGGCCATCATGTGTCCACATGGGGGCAGCCATCTTTGACCACATGGGGACAGCCATCTTGTGTGTTGGAGTGACAGTCAATTTGCATATTACTCTTTTATTAGATAGAATTCGCTATTTGTTCATGTGCCTGGACAAATATTGTATGTGCTGTGTGCTGTTGTCCACAACATTTTGCCAATGATCAGACTGATCTCAGGGAGCAGAAATGCATGACAACACATGGAAGGAGACTGGCAGGAAATTCTTCAAACCCACAGAGGCTCCGCACCTGCACGTCTGACTTCCGACCTGGGGTCGTTAGGGCAGTGACACCTGAAGTATGTGAAATAACTTCACCAAAGCTAGAGTTCATGTCTTGTTTCTCTTTGCATCCCAGCCCCAAACATGGTGCCTGGGGCAAAGGAATTTATAATAAATGTCTCAATGAAAGTGATTACTGGCACAATTCCCATCTCTGTAACACCAGGTTGGGTTCAATAGTTCCTTTACAGATCAGGCAGAACTTCAGGGGTCCTTCCTATCTTATAGGAAGGGATATGAGACCCTCCGCTTAAACATTTTAAAGTGTTTTTTCATAAGTGTATGTAAATACATTTATTTATACATTTCAAAGTGTATAAATAAATCTGCAAACGTGTGAAGTGACGTGTAGGAAAAGGAAAAATCCCTTCATACTGAGAACATACTAGCAGCCACTGAAATTAGGATCAAGGTCTTCACTGACAAAAGTTAGAAATTCTCAAACCAAATTAGAATCATGTTTGTTATAGTAGTTTTATGTGTGTTTGTATATATACATTTTTGGAGGCAGCAGATGTGTCAAAATGTACCTTATTTCTGTTTTTCTTTCTATCCTTGAATTGAAGCAGTAATGAGTGACTATCTCATCCAAAGCATTGTGCTGGATAATGATGAAAAAAGTCATGTTTTTCACCATTCCCACAAGCTTGCAATCTACAAGGAAAAGCTATTTAAACGAACAACTTTTGTGGGTTTTTTTAGTTATCTTTCTTTGTAGTAAAATATACATAATATTGATCATTTTCACTTTTTAGTGGCATTAAATACATTTACAATGTTGTGTACCCATCACCAGTATCTATACCCCAAACTTTTTCATCACCCACTGTATAAACTCTACCCATTAAAAGACAACTCCTCATTCCTTATGATGTCCCAAACCCCAGTAACTTCTTTTCTACTTTCCATCTCTATGCATTTGCCTATTCTACATAATTCATATAAGTGGAATTATATAATATTTTCCTCTGAGTATAGTTTATTTCACTCAACATAATTAAATACTTCTTAATCAAGCTAGATATGAAGACAGCCCTGACTTAATTCAATGAGAACAGAGGGAGAGGCTCTAAGTTTCAGGAGGAGGTAACATCTGAAACGTGTGTTGTAGAAGAGAGACTTATTTTATTTATTTATTTTTTAAAAATATATTTTATTGCGCTGAAACCAGTTTGGCTCAGTGGATAGAGCGTCAGCCTGCGGGCTGAAAGGTCCCGGGTTCGATCCTGGTCAAGGGCATGTACCTTGGTTGCGGGCACATCCCCAGTAGGGGGTGTGCAAGTGGCATCTGGTCGATGATTCTCTCTCATCAATGTTTCCAACTCTCTATCCCTCTCCCTTCCTCTCTGTAAAATATCAATAATATATATATATATTTTTTAAAAATATATATATATATATACATTTTATTGATTTTTTACAGAGAGGAAGAAAGAGGGATAGAGAGTTGGAAACATTGATGAGAGAGTAACATCGATCAGCTGCCTCTTGCACACCCCCCACTGGGGATGTGCCCGCAATCAAGGTACATGCCCTTGACCAGAACCGAACCCGGGGCCTTTTAGTCCCAGGTCGACGCTCTATCCACTGAGCCAAACTGGTTTTGGCAAGAGAGAGACTATTTTAATAAGAGGCACAAAGACAGAGAGATGGACAGGGTAACGTCAACAATGATGAGGATATTGTGGGGGAGGCAGGAGTACTTAGGAACCAAGGCCAAAGAGGACAATGGAAGTTGAATCAGGTCGAATCTTGGGCTTATGTTGTAATCAATTCCAGGTGGGAAAACATGTGGAAAAGGATTTCTTTCTTGCTCATAATCTAGATTTTAAAAAAATACAGTAAATTCCGGGAACACAATGCCAACTGCAAGATATACTCAACAAAAGGGATTTGCTGATCCGCCCTTCAAAGAGAATGTTGTGATAAGACAAGGTCAGCAGCATGCCTGACCACCAAGAGAGTTGTAAAGATGAGTGGGTGTTCTCTTGGCCCTGCACAGGGGGCCGTGTGAGGGTCTGAGACCTGTCACTGAGACGCCCAGAGGAGTCTGGATAACTGATCCTTGGTTTAGCTCCAGAGCCATGAGGAAAGCCCTAGGGCAAGTCTGAGTTGGTGCAACAGGCCAGAGCAGTACTGCCTTGGGGACTGCTCTGCATTCTGCAATCATGCCATCTGTGCACAATGCCAAGGCTGGCACCTGATGACACCTCACCCAGAGGAAGTGTCTCTTGCCTACTTCCAGACTGGCTCTTGAGGACTAGGAGGACACAAGAGCTCCAAAGGCCTGAAATCAACCTCACTTTCTAGTTCCTCCTCCACCAAGCCCACCCAATAGTGGGCTGCATGTAATAGTCTGGAAGTCTGAACTTCTGTTTGTCTCCTAGGAATACTGTTGATCTCACTGCAGGGGACACTGACTCTGAAGACGACCTTGCATTTTTTTTTTTTTTTTTATGAAACCAAAATGTTGTTTTTGGTAATGAAGCCAAATGTATCTGAACTTCCCATAATCTCAAGTCTACCATGAATATTTGTTAAGGTGTTGGCCAAGCAGATGCCCAGGAGACACAGTAGAAGGTAGGGAAGGATGGGGATTTGAGATTAATTCACAGAATATAAATTTCCAAGAGACTGGAAGACTTTCAAATATTACTCTACGTGTACAGGAGGAAGCACTGATGGTTTCTGATGACTGTCAGCACAGTGCAGGATGGATGGGAGTGGGCAAAGACTGGAGGCGGGAAAGTCAGTGACGAGATGATTCTTTCAACCATCCTTCCTTTAATTCCATCACCCTTTTATTCCTTCATTCACCAAGATGTCAATCAAACATATTAGATGCCAGACACTGTTCTAGGATCAACAGGGTAATAAAACAAAGTCTCTACCCTTGTGGAATTTATATTCTAGTAGGGGGAGACAGACAATAAACAACAATGATATAACAGATTCAGTGAAAAATACAGCAGGGTTAGGTGAATTTGGAGTGCCACTGGGAAAGGGGTGTCCGATTATTAAATCAATTGCTCAGGGGAGGCCTTATTGAGAAGGTGAAATTAAGCAAAGGATTGAAGGAAGTGAAGGAATTTCTTACATGGGTATCAGGGTGAAGGATATTCTAGGCAAAGAAAATGGCTTGTGCAAAGACCCTGAGGTGGGAGTGTGTCTGGCACATACAAGGGATGGTGAAGAGGCCAATAGGACAGGACTGAGCCAGCGAGAGGATAGGAGATGAGGTTGAGAGGTAATGGATGCCAGATCAAGTAAATGTCTGGGCCACTAAAAAGGTTCTTTCTCCAACTCAGGTTTGTCAGCCTTGGCGTTGTTGATATTTTTGACCAGATAACTCTTGTTTTCTGGGTGAGGCATCATGTGCACAGTAGGACATTTAGCAGCCTGTCTGGTCTCTACCTACTAGATGCCAGTGGCACGCTCCCTCCGACTGTGACAATTCAAACTGTCTCCAGACACTGCAGATGTTCCTTGGAGAAGGGGGATCAGCTCTGATTGGGAACTACTGCTCTAAGAGAAATGGGGTCACGATGAAGTTTCTGGAGCACAGGAGGGACTTAATCTGATTTATATTTCTAAAAGATCATTCAGGGTACTCTATTGGAAATCAAGTGGGATGTAAGGCAGGAGAGAATCAGGGAAATCATTCAGATAATCCAGGGGTTAGATCTAAGGATGTTGCAGTGGTAGTGGTGAGAGGTAGTTGGATCTTAGCTACCACTTGGAAATACAGCTTGTAAGATGTGAAATATGGGAGTCAAGGGTGACTGGATAATTCTGGAAGAATGGAGTTGCCATGAACTGAGATGAGGATGATATTGTGTCGAACAGGTTTTGGGTGGGAATTTAGTAGCTCAGAATTGGGAATGTAGAGTTTAAAATGAAATTTCAGGGATCCACGTGGAGATATAAAATACTGAACTTGATAGTGGCAGTAGAGAGGAACAAGGCACTTTGCATTAAGAGATCCCCATTTTTTTGGTTAAAAATAAAACAGTAGGATTTGCACTCAACTGGAGTAAAGGGAAAAGCAGAAGAAGGCTTCATGGTTTTACAGCTAGATGATGCCGGTGGCAGAATGAGGAGGGATCCCTGACAGAGAAACAGAGCTTGGCACAAGATGTAGGTGAGAAGGCAAAGATGACCTTCCTCATCTCATTAAATATTGGATTTGAGGTCCAGGGTACAGATGAGAAGAAAGGTCTAGGAGAGTTGGCAAAGCCGCTCTGGTCCTCAGGAGAGGCTATGAGGCTAGAGAGAAGGTACAACCCCCCCCCCCCCCTGGAGTAACAGATGTACAGAGGGAGACTGAAAAAAAATGGAGTGATTAAGGAGGCCAAGGGATGGAGAAGGAACAGTAAAAGGCAATCAAGGAAGCACTGAGCATGGAAAGTCAGAGGTAAAGAGGATTCCATGAAAATCCAAATAAACAGAAACTTAGGTTAGCTAATGCTGGGCTACAATACCTATAACAATAGTTGAAATTATTTATACTCAAGCCTAACACCAATCCCAAATGTTACATTAAAAGTTATAGAGGTGGTTATTTTTTAAAATATATTTTATTGATTTTTTTTATACAGAGAGGAAAGGAGAGGGATAGAGAGTTAGAAACATTGATGAGAGAGAAACATTGATCAGCTGCCTCCTGCACACCCCCTGCTGGGAATGTGCCCGCAACCAAGGTACATGCCCATGACCAGAATTTGAACCTGGGACCCTTGAGTTCGCAGGCTGATGCTCTATCCACTGAGCCAAACCGGTTAGAGCTAGAGATGGTTATTTAAACTTATCCAGTATCTCATAAAACCCAAGCTTGTGAAACCACAAATAATATTTAATTATCAAACATAATATATAACAATGAACTACTACAATACATTACTGGCTTTCACAGAAAATTTGTCCTTACTTAAGTTTGTCCTTAAGGATGGGACAGTTAACATAAAAATAAAACGTCAAAGTGAGAGGGAGCTATGGGGGAGGGGGACAATTATAATAATCTGAACAATAAAGATTTACTAAAAAAACAACAACACCAAAACACAAAGACACAAAGTGAGATGCAACAAGTGTTTAAGATTCTATAGAAGAGCTATTCAGGAAGCGCTGATTCAAGTAGAAACCCAAATTATGTTTGGATTAGGAGGTGAAGGCAAGGGATTTTTATGAGAAAGGAAAGGGGAATAAATGCAGCAATAGTAGGAATTTCTCTGAGTCTTAATAAGCAAAGGAAGAAATTTCTATAGGTGCAGCTAAGCTAGCATATACTAATTTTAAAGAATGATCTCATTTTCAGCAATGTAGTCATATCTACTTTCCTATTAGCTTTGCAAACAGTTGTGTGGGATACAGTCCCATAGGAATGTTTGCTCAGTTTTAACAATCCAAAGGTTTCAGGAGTAAGGCTCCTTTGGGATGGCAGCTCCGACTCCATTTTGAAGTGACTCCATCCCCACTAAATTTTTACAAGCTCAAGAGGGGGCTAAGTTTTCTGTACTATAGTACTATGCGATCACTAATTACTTATGCATGTCTTGAATTTTACTAACAGGTCCCTGATCTGCTGTTTTGAAGACTTAGTTTTTTAAAATTTTATTTATTTATTTAATATATTTTATTGATTTTGTACAGAGAGGAAGGGAGAGAGATAGAGAGTTAGAAACATGGATGAGAGAGTCATTGATCAGCTGCCTCTTGCACACCCCCTACTGGGGATATGCCCGCAACCAAGGTACATGCCCTTGACCGGAATCAAACCCGGGACCCTTCAGTCCCCAAGCCGACGCTCTATCCATTGAGCCAAACCAGTTTCGGCTGTTTTGAAGACTTAGAAACCTGATTTGAAGAATCATTCAAAATCATGTATTTATTAAATGACAAATACATTGGGCTCTGCCTGATTAAGACATTTATATGTATGCAAAACAGACAGCAATGAAGTCCTACTAAAGATAATGATTGCATTGAAAAAATTCCTTGATTCCTATCCTATTGACCCTTAAATTCCTCACCTCTTGATTTAGAAAGGAAGCCAGCTTGTAATTCTCTGAATTTCAATGAGAGGTTATGTTTCTCAGCTTCCTCCTCTCACCCACTTCTTTTCTGAGACTATGCTTCTGATCTGGGGGTTGCCAAAGGTTTCAAAACACATTCCCAGGGACTGCTTACTGTGCTGCGAACCAACCATGCAAGTGTGGCCTGTCCTGCTACCATCAGATTTCCAAAATATCCATGTCCACCCATTCACTCACAGTTCCGCCAGTCTTCACTGCCTTCCAGCTGGGAACCCCACTGCCTTCCCCCTGGCTCAGAGAGGTGTGGACAGCACAGAGAATCGTGTCCTCGCTGCTCTCGGTCTTTTTGGTGGATTTCAGTCCTGGCGCTGATGTAAAAATCATCTGAGTAGCCCTAAAAGGTTTGGCTCAGTGGATAGAGCGTCTGCCTGTGGACTGAAAGGTCCAGGATTCGATTCCAGTCAAGAGCGTGTACCTTGGTTGCGGGCACATCCCCAGTGGTGGGGGGGGGGGGGTGCAAGAGGCAGCTGATTGATAATTCTCTCTCATCGATTTTCTAACTCTCTATCCCTCTCTCTTCCTCTCTGTGAAAAAATCAATAAAAAATATAAAAAATCACCTGATAAAGGAGGACAGCCCTCCGTAGCTGAAAGGTTTCCCATTTCCAACATATTCGAGAACAGTGCCGGCTCTGAGGGGTGTGCAAGGGCAGATGAGGGGCAGGGTCCTGGGTAGCTTCCCGCACCAGAGAAATCTGGCTGCTCCTTCACTAATTAGATCATCCGTGAAGAAAGTAGGGGAAGCAGAAAACAATGCGGGTTTCAGTAGCTGGGAGAGAACAGGTTCTATCCGAAGGAAGGTGTACACATTAACTTCTTGTACCTCTCAAACTTTCCCAGTTAAAATACAGGGCAGGGGAAGGCACTGACATGAATATGAATGAGTTGCCACCAGCCTCAAGGCAGTAGCATTTAACACGGAATTCCACAAAGACTCAACATTTGTACTTCCGAGGTTCTCCTCCAATTCTGGGCGAAAGCAAAAGGCCAGAAGGACTGAGATTTGTCCCCGAGAACCAACTGGGATGCTGACCCCCTCGCTGGGGCTGGGCCTCCATCCACAGACCCTGGCACACCCAGGGGAAGGGAGAGACAAGATGCTGACCCAAGTGAGAGCCAGCTGGCCGCGACTCGGCTGGTGGGATCAGGATCTCAGGTTTGGAGCCCTCACCTGTGCCCAGCTATTTCCCAGCAGTTTCTGGAGTTAGTCACATCCAACCCGCCCTGGCAAGCCTCCCTCCCCGGGACGGTCCTCACACTCCCCACAGCTCCCCTGGGGCGGCTGTTTTCCCGGCAAGTGCACAGCCCTAAAGCCAAAGAAGTGCAGCCTTTTGGTTGGTGCCTCCCATAAAGGAGGGGTGCAGGGGAGGAAGGGAGGAGGGAGGGAGGAGGGGGGGAGGGGAGGAGGGGGGGAGGGGGGGAGGGTAATGCCCTCCCAGGCTAACCAGTCCACCGTGCTCCGCGGTGACCCCAGCAATCCGCGCAAACAGCTCTCTGGTTCCCAGACCGGGCAGGGCAGCGCTGGGAGGAAGGCCCAGCCCTCCCCCAGGGGGCAGCCCCCGCTGTAGCCACCCTCCTCCCTCCCCCCTCCCCCCTCCTTTCCTCCCCCCTCCCCCCAGCTCCACCGGCCCCTGGCCCTTACCTGAGCCTGTTCCCCAGAGCATGAGCCTCACTTAGTCCCGGGATCGCAGCTGGCAAACTTGGCCATCGGAGCCACACCCCCTCGTCGGTTTCCATGGCCAGAGCCACGCCCCTCACCCTTAAGCCACGCCCCATGTGACTCCACTTCCCAGTCCTTACTTGCTCCCCAGGCCACGCCACTCCAGACAGCGCCCCTCTCAGCCTTCCGGCCCGGCCACCCGCCTCCCGCCGCAGCCACGCCCCCTCCCCGGGCCACGCCTCCAAGCTCCGCCTGGGCCCGCCCCTCCACCTTGGCCACGCCCCTTAGCTCCCCCTCCTGACTCCCCCCCTCCTCCCTGGCGGAACTTTGTTGCAGAAATTGGAGGTCGAGTGGACGGCCCCCCACCTTGTCTCTGGAAAGATTGGAAAGATTCTTTCCAAAAATCGGGACTTTTTTAAAACGCCATGGGATGAGGGAAAAATTATTAGAAATCGGGACTGTCCCGCCAAAAGCGGGACGATCTGGTCACCTTACTCTAGAGTAGAGAAACCCTCCTGAGCGCTGGCTTCCTTTTGTGGGGTGAAGTCAGATGTAAGAGCTAGTCTAAGAGATGCTTTTCCTCCGGTCTCCCCATTTCCAAACGTCAATAGGATACAGGAGAGCAGGCGGCTCAGGAGGGGTACGTGGATAATGAGCAGATGGTGCAGGCACGTTCCTTCCAGCTGGTTTTCAAGTCCACTTCACCCGGGTTTCCTCGAGCCAGTGTTCCTGTGCTCTGAACTTGAACTGTGCACCGGTGTTCCTTCTGGTCCCTTAGGCAGATGAGTGGAGTAAACTGAACTCCTGTATTCTTTTTTATTTTTATTTTTTTTAATATATATTTTATTGATTTTTTTTTTACAAAGAGGAAGGGAGAAGGATAGAGCTAGAAACATCGATGAGAGAGAAACATTGATCAGCTGCCTCCTGCACACCCCCACCAGGGATGTGCCTGAAACCAAGGTACATGCCCTTGACCGGAATCGAGCCTGGGATCTTTCATTCCACACACCGACGCTCTATCCACTGAGCCAAACCGGTTTCAGCTCCTGTATTCTTTTTGTAAAAAAAAAAAAATGTCTTTATTGATTAAGGAATCACATATTTGTCCTCACCCCCCCCCCCCATTCCCACCAAAAACTCCTCCCCACGCATGCCCCACCCCCCTGTTGTCCGTGACCACTGGCTAGGCTCATATGCATGCACACAAGTCCTTTGGTTGATCTCTCCCCCTTATCCCCACCCTCCCCTGCCTTCCCTCTGAGGTCTGACAGTGTGATCTGTATTCTTGATGTCTCCTCCAGATGAACTTCCCTTCTCTAGGCATCCAGTGAGCTCCTGCTGTCTAGGGCGCGTGGAGACATCACACAGACTGAAACTCTGCTTACAGCCCTGCGTGCGCTCACAGGTTACCCCGCTTTTCTTTCTCTGTCCATTTCCAACTCTAAGTCCACAAGAATAATGTGACTAGATTATATATAACCAGCTTTTCTACCCCTGTACAGATATCTGATTCATCCATTTCAATCATCTCATTGAATACATGCGCCCCTGACAAATAAGATGGGCCTCCAGGGGCTTACAGTCTGAAGTTGTCCCATCTTGGATTTAGGCAAGACAACTGTGACAAGAACATTAGAGAAGGGCTTGACAAGTGAGAAAGGATTTGGTAACCCCAGGTCTTCTTGAGTTGATTAGTTGGAGCGCTTTTGGGTAGCAAACAAAAAACCACTTTCATAGGACTGAATGCATTTCTTTAAGTAATACATTCTCAATAAATCTTCATTGTATATTTGCCTTTTTCACGTGTGGAGAAAGATAACATATCCTGCTACTTTTATTTCTTCATATATCAACAATAAAACTTTTATGATAGCATATTTAGTTACTTTTTTATTCCCAACCGCCATTGCATTTCTGGCTCAGAGATAATGGGAACAAATGTTGCACTAGAAGGAACACAGAGAAAGGAATCTTTCAACAGAACATTCTGGCCCTGAGAAGCCTGACTCATTTGTAAAATGTTTCAACTGTCAGTCATATTTGCCTGAGAAATGAACTCACAGAAATGGATCCAAAAACAGTCTACGTAATTTACTGAGTTGATTTTTATACAATTAGTTCTAGCTCATCTTCTTCCTCCGATGATTTGAGGAAGCTTACTAAAATACAATCATTACTGGATAAAAGAAAGAGTTGACGGGGCTAAGAAAAGGGAGACTTAACGGAAGGAGAATAATGCAGGCAATGATAAAATTAGCATTTAAGTATCCAGGCCATCAGATCCAAAGCAGTTGTTTAAAGTTAGCAGAGATTTAATTTTTTTTTCAATAAGTTGACATACACTAGTATATTAGTTCCAGGCATACAACTAAGTGATTAGACATTTACATAACTTATGAAGTGATCTAGTACCCAATAAGACTAGTACCATACTAGAGCACAGAGGAAAATGTCCTTGTTAAAGTGGGGTGGGGGTGGGGCAGAGATTTGACCATGAACTTCTGAATTCTCTCGATTGTCATTCTCTTGATGTCATTCGCTCATCGACAGAATGGCAATATTTTTAAGGTCTTGCTATGTTCATAAGATATAAAAGCTAGGGGGTTTGTTTGATATGTTTTGAGTAGCAAGAGAAATCCTAGTCCCTCATAAAAGTGCTATAAGCTACTAAGTGGGAACTAAGTGTCATAAGGAAACATAGTTCCCCTCAATGGAAACCATTGCTATAATGACAAAGCACAGTGCTTTACTAGTAAATTGATGCTATGTACTATCCAAACTTTCCTATTCAGCTGAGTAAAGTATAAAAGTCCTGAATGGTCTGGCCAAATCCAGGGTAGTATTTATTTATTTATTTATTTATTTATTGGGGATGGGGGGAGAGAGAGGGAAATATCACTGTGAGAGAGACACATTCACTGGTTGCCACCCGCATGCACTCCCTCTTCCCCAGAAGCAAACCCACAACCTAGATACCTACCCTTGACTGGGAATCGAACCAATGACCCTTTGGTGGGTGGGCCAATGCTCTAACCACTGAGCATACCAGCCAGGGCCAGAGTAGCATTTAGATTACTATTACCCAGGAGGACGAGTAGATTTCAATTTGCAAGTCAACTCTCAATTCATTCACAGAAACTGCCTGCATAACTTGTGCTGGGAAGTTTGGTGGCTGTGTCCACATTTGCGATGAACATTGCGTAATGGGTGATTGGCTGTGAGCAACAACCTATCCGGCACCTCTGATTTGTAGAAATAGAGGTCCTGCATGCAGGTCTTTATCGCCTTCCCAGAGTGACATTTCATTATAAGGAGCTGAGAATTTCCTGTGGGGTAGAGTATGAGGTCATTGTCATTGGCCAAAACTTCAGGGTAGGCACTTCGAGATATTCATTCGTGTGCTTTGAGAGGAAGGTAGTTTAAGGTTCTACAATGAAAATTGGCCCCCCTCACCTTTTTATAAAGGCTGGCAGAGGAAGTATGTATGGGCAGGGCTAAACACTTTTGGGTAAACTCCAACAGGCAGCCTATTAGGTGATTAAAGACCAGAAAAGTCACCCCTGGCGGTGGGCAAGGAACACCTGATTAGTGTGCTCTTATATCCATCAGGGGCCAGGCAGATATACAGTCATTAGGTCATCCTAGCTTGATGCCTGTGTTGGTGGCCAAAGCTGTTTCATGTCTGAGGCACATCAAAAAGACCAAAAAGTCCAACTATATTTTTCTTTTTCTTTCTTTCTTTTTTAAAACACATCTGCATTCTTTTTATATTTTAAATATATTTTATTGATAATTTACAGAGAGGAAGAAAGAGGGATAGAGAGTTAAAAACATCGATGAGAGAGAATCATCAATCAGCTGCCTCTTGCACATCCCCTACTGGGGATGTGCCCGCAACCAAGGTACATGCCCTTGACAGGAATCGAACCTGGGACCTTTCAGTCCACAGGCCGATGCTCTACCACTGAGCCAAACCGGTTTTGGCCCAACTATATTTTCCTAGCTGCAAAGATTTTAGCTTACAAAAATAAGCATTGTGTACCAAGGCCATGAAAAACTTTCAATGTAACATTCAAGAAGCAGTGTAAATATTTAAACATCTACAAGGAAATTTCAGAAACTCAGTGTGAGTCTTGCTTTCACTACTTAGAAGTCATAATCTATTGGTCTTCATTCACAGGATGAGACACAGGCACACACGCCTTCCATTTAAGTAGCTGTCCTTTAAGTTCCCTCTGTAGAAATACAACACTGGCAAAATCACACTCGTTCAGTTTGTCTAATTTTTGTCTTCAAGCAATAGTGATTAACTTTCACTGAAGTGAAAAAATGTTAGCCTGTAAAAAATAAACCAAAGTTCATAATGGTGATGGCTGTCAATTAACTTACAAAATCTGATGAGCCGTTTGAATATCCTAGTTTCATAAGATTTTTGCATCTTAAAATAAAGCATAAAATATCAGGATGAAGACAAAAATATTTCAAAGCCTTGTTTATGATATATCCTGAAAGTGTTTTAAATTTTCTTGCTATGCTGAAACCGGTTTGGCTCAGTGGATAGAGTGTCGGCCTACGGACTGAATGGTCCCAGGTTCGATTCCTGTCAAGGGCATGTACCTTAGTTGTAGGCACATCCCCAGTAGGAGGTGTGCAAGAGGCGGCTGATGGATGTTTCTCATCGATGTTTCTAACTCTCTATCCCTCTATCTTCCTCTCAAAAAAAAAACCAAAACAATAAAATATATTTTAAAAAAAGTAATGATGCCAGTTTACCAAGTGTCAGCACCAACTGTCTTCAATATACTAGATTCTAAGTTGCCGTTTCTGATACTGGGAAACTAAGAAGGAATATGCAGTCCCTTACCCAAAAGCATCTGCACAGTGAAAGTAGCACCTCAGACTTGGTGCTGTTATTATTTGGGGCTGGATAAAACTTTTCTGGGGGGAGGAGGGCCTGTCCTGTGACTATAACCCTTGGTCCTACCTATCGATTAGATATCACCGAACTCCCAGCCCCCCGAAGTTCCACCAACTGAAAAATGTCTCTAAGTGTTCTTTGGGGGCAAAATTACCCTTGATCGAGAACCACTAGGTTAAAATAGAATAGGTTTGCACATGAGGCAAAAATATTTTATCACCATATATGTCTTAACCTAATGATAGTTTAAAGGGAGTAGAATCATTTTTTATCTCTCTGATTATTCTGAACAAATTGGGATAATAATTATAAACCTCTTTAAATTGTTTATTACATATCAATTGCATTACAATTAAAAGGTGAAGGATCACATTTGATTAAAACTTTACCACTTGTATTCTAGAAAATGAGTGAGTGGCGCTAAATAATTGTAGTAGATACTAGTTTTACAAGTGCAGGGTTTTAAAAATCTTATGAAAGGTTTCCATATTCAATGATTAAAAGTTTTTATTTATCTTAATGTGTCACAGCCAGATATATTTAAAAATGTACGAAGTAACATCATATTTTAAATGGTTTCACAATTTACTGTAGTAGATTTAGGTGCAATAGGTTTAGGAAATTCCTGTTTTTGATCATTGGGGGTCAAAATTCAAAAGCAACAGCAGTGCTCACTACCTCTTGTTTTCTTACAGCAAATGAAGCATACACATGCCCACATGCATTTCCAACTCTGATCAACTTTAAAAGGCACCTGGAATGAGTACAAAGAATGACTCACGTGTTTCCTGTTTGTGTGATCTCATATTTAATTGACCTTCCTGAGCAGTAGATCAATAGCTATATGCTGAGAAACTGCTTTTCAAGAGTATTGTGGAATATGAAAAACATGGAGAAATCAATGTCTTTTTCCTATCTCAGGAGACTTACTGCTTTCCGTAATGCTCATGGTAAACAGTAACCTCACTTTGTATCTGCTTTCTCTAAGCTTGGAACATAGGAAATCAATAGTGATATATTAAAAATGATGGAAACTACTTTACCTGCCATCGTTACCGCTGTTACTAATAAGTTATTAGGCTGAAATGAGCATTGTATGAAGCAAGTTACAAGGACACAAATCCTGTGGACATTCACTACTTAAAACTTGTACATCAAAACAAGCACTAAATTTGTGCAAGATATTGAAAAGTATAAGAAAGCAAAGTCAGTAGGTTGAGAGGTATGAATCCTAGAATGTAGCTGTTTTCCACCTATTTTATTGAGATTGCCACCAAGCTATTTAACAATGAATTCTTTTTTATTAGTTTCTATGTGATATGCAACGTGTGGTGTCTTTGGTTTTGAAGTCAAGTGATTGACAGTGGCTCATATTTGTCACTAAGGTGTTTTTAAAAAAAATATATTTTATTGAATTTTTACAGAGAGGAACAGAGAAGGATAGAGAGCTAGAAACATCGATGAGACAGAATCATCGACCAGCTGCCTCTTGCACACCTCCCACTGGTGATGTGCCTGCAACCAAGATACATGCCCTTGTCCAGAATCGAACCTGGGACCCTTCAGTCCGCAGACCGACACTCTATCCACTGAGCCAAACCGGTTTTAGCTGTCACTAAGGTTTTGTCTTTCTATTCACCTGACAGAACCAATAAAAGTTTATATTTTGAATCATGTCACGTTGGGCCACACATCTGACAATTTCTTTTGTTGTTGTCAAAGAAATCTAAACATATAAGCACATCAGCCCATTATTAGAAATTTGCTTTATCCTGATATCAAAATCTTATTACCTTGAGAAATTTTCCATTTCACAGTTCTTTAATATTACGAATTTTGATCTACTTTAAACAATACTAAACAGTCACAGATAATGCTTTTATAATTATAATTACAGGAAATTTACTCTATCAGTATAGTGTTCATTCATGATTCCGTTAAGAAGAATATTATAAGATGCTTATTCAAAGTTTTTAGTAAAATATATTTGGAGATAATGGGTAAATTGCATAGACTTCCTCTTATAAATTTTAAGATTAAAATGTATTAATACATTTGAGACTAATAAGAATACTATTTAAAATATAAAATATACATATATTTATAGTTAAATCTGAAAAGTACTTAGAAATTTAGAAAACACTTTTCTTTCTTTTTTTGTTTTTTTTGTTAATCCTTACCTGAGGATACTTTCCCACTGATCTTTTAGAGAGAATGGAACTGAGAAGAAAAGACAGAGACAAATATCTATGTGAGAGAAACACATTAATTGGCTGCCTCCTGTACCAATCAGGGACCAGGGAGGAGCCTGCACCTTCCCCTGACTGGAATTGAACCTGGCACCCTTTGGTCTACAGGCTGACATGCTATCCACTGAGTCAAACTGGCCAAGGCAGAAAACACTTTTCTAAATAATTACTGGGTTATAAGAAAATATGAAAACTATCATTATGATTATTTTGAAAATTTATAATAGTGAGATCACTGTACTTCTACTCTTCTTTTGTCATGTGGCCAAATCAGTACTCAGAGGAAACTGAATAGCCACAGATGTTTTCATTATTAACGAAGACTCAAAACAAATGAGCTTATTAGTCAATTCAAGAGTTATTAAAAGAATAGCAACACAAGTTAATAACTGGAAGGAGCCGAAACCGGTTTGGCTCAGTGGATAGAGCGTCAGCCTGCAGACTAAAAGGTCCCAGGTTTGATTCCCGTCAAGGGCTTGTACCTTGGTTGAGGGAACATCCCCAGTAGGGGGTGCGCAAGAGGCAGCTGATCCATGTTTCTCTCTCATAGATGTTTCTAACTCTCTATCCTTCTCTCTTTCTCTCTGTAAAAAAATCAATAAAATATATTTTTAAAAATAACTGGAAGGAGTGTTACAGGATTCCAGGCAGGAGGAATAGGGAAGCTGAGACAGGAAAGTTACAACAAGGCCAAATACTGTGGGCAATTTGCAGCCAGCTTGTAACTACCAAGCCATTATCTTCCTGAGCCAAGGTCACAAGAGCAAATGGTTAAAAAACCTCCCTAAGGAGAGAGAGCAGAAAGGGAGGGGAAAAGAGAAAAGGAAAACAGGGTCATTTCACTCCCTAAGCAGAGAAGCCAGCAGTCTCAAGGCTTGGCAAGATAAAGTGCTAGGTGCTTATGAATTCTGGGAAGGCCACAACAAAGTTAAAAAAAGGGGGAGGTGACCTTAAAAATTACTCTATACCAAAATATTCAGCAGAAGAATTTTGAAACCTTTTAGACAGGGGGGTATATAATGCCTTGACCCCCACCCAACCTGCTCTGCAGATTAGCTGAGATCCCTTTATAAGCCAGATGTATAGGTTTGCTTGCTTTGCCTTTTCAATAAAGGTGCATGCTTTAATTGCTTCAACAAATTGGCTTTTCACAACAGAGTCCAGGTCTCTGGTATAAATTCATTTATATGAGAAGACAAGGATCAAGGTTGGGTACAGCCCTCTCCATTGACTCTGGGGCTGTCCTGCCTGGTAACACCTCTCTGCTGTTGGTGAGAGGTGCCTCTAACCGGAGGACAAATACTTGTAAATAAGATAGATACATCAGAAAATACAAAGACTAGAAATGAAATTCATCCAAGAACACGTTCCTTGAAAATACAACAAAAAATAGCAAGACTTCTGGAAAGCTTAATGTAAAACGAGAAAAAAATTAATGTCTTCACTACCAAATATATAGGGAGCATGGCAGCACAAAAATTTTATGGAAAATATTCTATAAAGCTCATGAGCATACTGGAAAATCTGAATGAATTCAATGACTTTCTTAGAAATTATAAGGAGTCTATATGGATTTTAAAAGAAGTATAAGCCCAGCCGGGTGTAGCTCAGCTGTTGAGCATTGACCTTGGAACCGAGTTCAAGGGTTCAATTTCCGGTCAGGGCACATGCTTGGCTGAGGGCTCGATCCTTAGTGGGGGGCTTGCACAGGCAGTCAATCAATGATTCTTATCTCATCACTGATATTCCTATCTCTCTTCCTCTCTGAGATCAATACAAATATATTTTAAAAAAAAGTATAAAATCTGAAATGACTAAAAGTGAGAAAAAATGGTAAATTTTCAGAGAACTGCTTACTCATTAGAGTAAGGCTCCATGCTATTCTCACCATTATGATGTACCTGTTGTGACAGGGCCACTACAATGAGACAAAGCAACAACAGCATCAACAGTTAGGTATTACTGTTCAAAAGTAAGAGGTAAATTTAAAATGATGTGTAGATGACATGAAATACAGGATAGCTTAACAGGAAAATGCAAGAGGATAATCATCAAATTGAAAGGGGAAAATCATAACTGACAAAGAATGTCTGTACACACACATTAGTGCAAAAATTTGAGGACAAACAAACACTTTGGCAGAAAAGAAGGACAAAGCATTACATAAGCAATTTACAAAAAAAAAAAAATCGAAAAAACAAATGACCATTTAACATATAAAATGTTCAGCTTTACATAAAACAAAAAAGTTGCAAATCAAAGCAGTATTTGTACACTGCTGTAGCATTTTATTTGCCAAAAGAGCTTTAAGGACATGGGTAAATGAATTTACACGTAGTGCAAAAAAATATGTACACAGATATAAAACCTTTGAAAAGAATCTTACATTTTTGCATATCATTTGATGCAAGACAATGCAAAATAAACACATACATAGTTCAAGAGAGATATGTACACAGACATACAGTTTTTTAAAAATATATTTTTATTGATTTTTCACAGAGAGAGTTAGAAACATCGATGAAAGAGAAACATCAGTCAGCTGCCTCCTGCACACCCCCCACTGGGGATGTGCCCGCAACCAAGGTACATGCTCTTGACTGGAATCGAACCCGGGACCCTTCAGTCCTCAGGCCGACGCTCTATCCACTGAGCCAAACCGGTTTCGGCCAGAAAAGAATCTTACATTCTTGCATATCATTTGCCTCCAAAATTTAAATTTTAAGAATTTATACCAAAGGTGTTATTAGAAGTGAGCAAAAAATTGTTAGTGTCCCGAATATTTATTATAGCATTTTTATTATAGAAAAATGAAAAATAAGAAATTAGAATTAAAAGCATTCATTACCACTATATCATAGATCAGTGGTTCTCAACCTTTCTAATGCCTTAACCCTTTAATACCGTTCCTCACATTGTAGTGACCCCCAACCATAAAATTATTTTCGTTGCTACTTCATAACTGTAATTTTGCTACTGTTAATGAATTATAATGTAAATATCTGTGTTTTCCAATGGTCTTAGGCTACCCTGCTAGCAGTTCTGAACCTGTGGGTCACAACCTGTGGGTAGAGTTGAGAACCGCTGCTGTAGAGCCTAAGACCATTGAAAAACACAGACGTTTACATTACAGTTCATTAAAGTAGCAAAATGACAGTTATGAAGTAGCAACGAAAATAATTTTATGGCCGAAACCGATTTGGCTCAGTGGTAGAGCGTCGGTCTGCGGACTGAAAGGTCCCGGGTTCGATTCTGGTCAAGGGCATGTACCTTGGTTGCAGGCACATCCCCGGTAGGGGGTGTGCAAGAGGCAGCTGGTCGATGTTTCTCTCTCATCGACGTTTCTAGCTCTCTATCTCTCTCCCTTCCTCTCTGTAAAAAATCAATAAAATATATTTTTTTAAAAAGAAAATAATTTATGGTTGGGGGTCACCACAACATGAGGTCGTGGCATTAGAAAGGTTGAGAACCACTGTGGAATACTTAATGATGTGGAAATATATCCAAAATACACTAAGTTCAAGAAAGAAGAGGACAAAGCTTCATAATAGTATAATCTCAAGTTTGTTATGGGACTAATACAAACAATACGATATAAGTTTAAGGTGTGCACTATGTTGACTTGATACATTTATATATTGCAATATGCTTACCACCATCGCCTCAGCTAACACCTTTACCACATAACATAATTATAATTTATTTTTTGTGGTCAGAACAATTAAGATCTAGTCTCTTAGCAACCTTGAAATTT